ATGTAGTGTTCTGCCACCAGGTTCTATACCTACTTGCAGAAATAATAAATCTATCTATCTATCTAACATGAAAGTGCATCTGAATATCGTAGAAGTACATCAGAAAAAAATTGCAATACAAAACAGAAATTGGATTTGTTTAAGAATGTTTATTTACAAGTAATGTTTTTTTTTTTTTTCATTGGAAAGAGAAGTAAATAGAAAATCATCAGCTTGGGGAAAATTCTCCTTATGAATAAAAACTTCAGATTAAAAGAAGAGAAATTTTGAATACAATAATTTTGCCAATCATGACGTGCGGCACACAAACGTGATTCCTCACTGCGCAATACCTGAATAAGATCATGGTATCACAAAATAAGATCATGGTAAATACAAAGAGAAGTAGTACACCTTACCCTTGCACACAAGATTCAAAATGTGGCAATAAGAAAGAGAGCACAAATCAAAAACACCTTAGAAAAAGTTTGGTTGAAACTATTTGAAATGGAAATGGGGAGGACATGTTTTATGTATCCAACAAAAATGTGGGACTCATCATTTAGCATCACGGGACTGCAGGCACGCAGCAGGAATGTAAGAAGACAAAGAAGAAGATGGGCAGACGACTTCAAAAAGATAGTGCCCAGATTATGGACAAGTGTGGCAAAATGGAAATACTGTATAGGCCTGAATTATTCACAAAAACAGTCACTGCGATAAGTATACAAGTGATGAAAAAGGGAAGTAGTGATTAATGATTTCAAATAACAAATGGTGTTAAGAATCAAGTGACTAGAAATGGTAATTAAAAAATACTCTTTTCAAAGTGCTGCTCAAGAATCATTTTTCGATGTAAGCTACCTACCTAGCTGGAGACCCTTCTCGACATGGGATGTTAATGGCTATTATTACTGATGATAATGATAATCTCTCTCTCTTATGCATGTATACACTTACCAAGACTTCTTTTTCCAAAATACCTCCTAGGCTACAAAAGATCCCACTTGATCTGTTTAATTCAAGATCTTCAAAAAAATAATGAACTTTATAAAAGTTTTTCTTTCCTGGGGAAAGAAACTAATGTTTTACATTCACATGATGCTGTCAAGAGCACCACATTATTAGCTTCACTGTCACTTGAAAGCAAGATGTGTACTGAATAAAATAAACAAGTACTTTGTGATCCAGTGCAGAAAAATCAATTAAATTGAAATACTGTTTCACTCTAAGGTTTCCACAAATGGGGTCGATTTATATAGAAGCAATTTCCTTAAGTTTGTATTGGATACAAAAATCTGTTCTTATCAATGAAAAATTTCTAAATGATTTCATGAACTGGAAATTGGAACCCCTCAATCTAATGATCAGCGTGGCATTATTACTGAAATTGCTAACAATCTTGCCAAGATCCAGCTCAGATTTCTAACATCTTATGAAAGCTATCTAGCTATCTTACACCTAGTAGATTCTTTAAATATAATAGTTACAATAGAATTATTAAAATGTCTCTCAATAATTGTGCAGATTTTACTGCAGAAGGACATAAGTTATTCGTAAAATCAGTTTGTTACATAGATCAACCCAATGAAGCATTTATTGAAATTTATTTATTGTATAAGTAATTTTCAATTTTATATTTACAAATATATATCGGATTAAAAAGTGAATTATTAAATGTAAAAAGACACTAAGTGTGTAATGAATTTAATTTTTTCTGAAGTAGTCTTTCTGTTTATTATTGGGAACTGGATTTATAAGTACTACAAAGTATATTAATCCCTCACAAGACTGTTTCTCTTAATTCTTACATGCAGTACATTCATCTGATCCTTTACTCTGACAATACTGCTCAATGATATTTTGAAAAGTATTATTATTAGTTTTGATTCCACAATGGAATGTGTACAGTCAAATACTCATTGATTAGCATTATACCATGTTTGAACACAATTGAAACTGAGAACCTCTTAAGTCACCTTCACACAATCAAAAGGGGAGTTCATTTCTCTTTCACAGCCCATTTCAGTCATTCATCCCATTCCATGACTGAGTTCAAGTTACGTGCATTAGCTTATCAGCATTACCAATTTTGAAGTTGGACTTTATGGCACATATTACTTGAAATTATTATTTTTCTGTACAACATCATACACCATTCAGTTATAAGAAATTTCTATAATGAACTACACACATACATTACAAAATTAAAAATTGAATATGTTAAGATTAATATAGTAACAGACAACTATTTCAAATCAAATATGCACAATTAGAAATTAGCAGAAATACTAAGCTTATTAACAAAATGGAAAATATGCATCACAAAATTATGAGTAATTAAATGGAAAAAAGCACATTCCAACTGGGCAAATTTCTGACTTCAGGGGGGAACTTTGCATTAAAATCCAGTCCCTACTGATTACTTACTAACACAGGCAATTATCTGCAAAATATTACATTACACATTAATAAATAATAGAAAAAATAATGTTCTCATATGAGAGCATACAGCTCAACAGAATTATTTTAATTTTTATACGATTCACTATCTTGCAATATTTGAATCATTGCTTTAAATATATAGCTAATCATATAATCAAGAAACATATTTTCCCTTTTTGTGCACTCATTTGGAATCATTTCTTTGGATTCAAAATTTGTATACTTTCAATAAAGACACAAATTTAAGTCCGATTATGTTATATTTTATCTGAAGGAGAAAAATTCTTAAAGCCAGGAATTATCCTTTCTCCAGTTATTACACTACAGAAAGATGATTCTGAAGTATTTATCTGTCACTGTCTCACAACAGTACTCCAGAAATGTGTCACTGCTTTATAGGTAATTACCCCCCAGGATAATCAAACAGATTTAAGACTAAAAATGCAAAATTTTGTAGTTATGCTATGAAGAATTCAGCAGAGACATGCAACCCATACATAAGGTACCTTAATGCTCAACTCAAATACATTGCCTTTTAGTTAATTATGCATATAAAACCTGGTTTTTAGATCTCACATTACACTTATAGGATTGTTATCTTAAAAATATCGTTTAGGACCTTTTATTACAATTTTGATGTCATTTTATGTATGGTTCAATACGTGCAGAATCTTTAAAACTGTCAAATAAAATTGATTGTTTGATATTCTGTACAATTTTATCACATGGATCATTGTAAGAATCTTTGTTAATAAATGCTTACACAATATTAGAATATTTACCCGGGCACAGAACCTCGCCTTTACTATTTAACACTTGCTTCAGACACTGGTCATTTTTTAGTTGGGTTCCAACAAACAAAGATTTCAAAGTGTGGAATGTGTGCATGAGTGCAATTAGTGATAATATATTTAAGCTTAAAAACAATTCTTGAAGAGTATAGTAGCAGTAATGTCATCCGTCCCTTACTGGTCCCCAAAATGTGAAAATGACGAAAGTCAATAGATTTGTTGACCTTTAAGATTTTCATTTCAAATTAGGATAAAACATCATTTCTACTTCAGTGAAAGAGATCTTTACAATTATTTTATGGGCTCTTGTTTGACAGCAAACTAGTGTTCCATTGAACATTAGTTTCTAAAAATACTCATTGAACAAGTGAACAAAAATTATCAAGATTTAATTTGACTTCATGAATATTGTAAACAGCGTATTGAAATAACATAGAAAGGGGTTCCAAGAGGCCATTTAGTCAATTATAAATTATCAGTGAAAAGATAAACATCTATGATGAGTATCGTAAACAAAAAATTGTCTTATCTAAATCTGGAGAATAAATTTTAAATGATTAGAATTATCTCTACATACATTGCAGTAAAAGTCTTGACCTTTAACACGACAAAAACTAAACACCAATATTAAGTACCTTAAGATAACTCCGAGACAGAGATGACAACAGTCCTGTTTACAACATTGTAATGAAAAATAAACTTAAGAGAAGGATAAATATTAAGTAGCACTGAATACAAAAGAATATTGATAGCCACAAACTTTGTTATGAAAACAAAAATTGCCTTAGTATCAATTTAGATGTGTGAAAATGACAGCTGTACACGCAAACCAAATACCTGATGAAATATAAACAGAATAATCTTATGCTTAATTATTCGTTACTTAGCAATGAACATGTTCTCTGTATTCTACTTGTGTTTTATTTCTACTGATAATACGCACCTATCTTATTTTTTTTACATTTTCCTCGAATTCTTATGTAATTACTTCACTTGAACAAGAATTATACAGTTTGCAATGGGGATGAAAACAAGGCCATCAAGATTCTAACATTTCAAAAAACAAAAAAAAGGGGTAACAAGCAAATAATTTGAACTTTGCCTTTTAAAATGAATTGTGTAAAAGGGAAAATTATCATGCAAATTTATGCCTTCATAATTCTACAATGCAATCAATTGTTGATGTACCGAGGATTAACAATTTAAAATCAATTTGTTCATTGCAAATTCAGTGTGCTTGTAAAATGGTAGAAAAATACAATAAACAAGTACATACTTCATTTATTTACATCTTTTAGAGTGCAGTCTATAATCTTTCACTTGTAACCCAGAGTCTAACATACACTAATATAAATACAGCAAATTGTTAAAGAAACCTACAAACAGAGAACTCTTAGGTATCATTAAACTGTCTAAATGTCCACTTTAACTGCAATGATGTTAATGTACATGTTCTAATTGGTAATTTCAGTATTATACACATTTTCTTTGCAATGGGAATGTAATACAATTTCCCAATTTATTTATAAAATCACTTGTGGTAGAATACACTATTGTCCTGAAGATATGAAAAGTAATAAGCTTCATATATGTATTAATGGTGAAATATAGAAGAAAAATACCCCAATTAGGTATAAATCATATATTCATCTTTAACAATAGCTTTACAGTTGTAAGGCTGTAACACCACCCAGTAAGAAAATGCCTATTTATTTATGAACAGTAAGTAAATTTCTTCTTAACTCCAAGTACAAGTGCTATTTTAACTAACTGACAACAATGGTTACAGAGCTCCAGCTATAAAATTCTTATTAATTCCTACCATATGTCCATTAATAGTATTCTGTGGACCAGCATAGTAACGCCAAATGAGACTAGATCCTCTTTTGAGCTGGTTAGTACGTTGCAGGTGTGACCAACAGTCAATCCAAGATGTGTAAACAGGCATGTGCGGTGGACGCCCAGCAACAATTCCTGAGTTTGTGACAGCCATACAAGTGGAAACTGCTTGAAAAGGGTACATGATGGTTGCTGCAACGAAACCCATGGATGCAGCCACATATTTTTTGATTTCACGGTCTTCCACTACATAATTATTAACTACAAAAGAAAGTGTTGCTGCAATAGCCAATGCTGAAAGTTCTCCAAGAATTCTAGGTATCAGCCCACTGAAGAAACCAGTGATTCCATTTTCTTTATAGATTGCCACAACAGAAGATGAAAGACTACTATATTTCTCTTCACCTCCAATAAACTGTGCCATCATACGCACTGCAATGACATTAAAGGGTTGACTTACAATGAAAGCAGCTGTTCTTGCAGTACCTTCACGAATCACACTATTAATACAATTCCATCTTCTTTCTTCCATGGGTAATTCCTCTTCATCTTTTGTTTCATCATCACTTTCACCCTCTGGCCGCAGTGAATCCGTCACTTCAGCAAATACTATGGCACTTACAGCATTGGCACATAATTTGGGGCCAAGCCCTCTATAACAGCCAACAAACCCATCAACACTTCGAATGTACGAGATGTACTGGAAGACATTCGGCAGAGCTAAGGCTGGTTTTCCAAAAAGTGTTTTCGTGTGATATGGAGGTATTGGTTCGTGACCAATTTGAATCAAAATTTTCGCATACTCGATGGGATGGGCAGCAGCATTTACAACAAGCCTGAATCCTAGTTGGGCCCATCGATTCTCTTGTTTCGAATTTGACATTCTGCAAGAACTTCTGTTTTTCCGTTCACCACCAAAAAATATAAAATCGATTCAATTTCCAAAATGAGAATAAAAACTTCAACCGCGTTAAATTTCTACACCGCCTTCAAGACCAGAACAAGACGCTCAAGATATAGCCGCATGATCCGCAACTGCGACTTCAGCTTGCCGGGAATATCAGTTTTACCAATATACAAAAAATCATAAATATCATATCATGGTCGAAAATTAATTGTAATTGTACTATGATAATCGCGTTTTGACATTATGTCATTCGTGAAAAGTGTTAATATCTGTTCAAGAATTCATACGGATTCTAATTTATTTTATTGTTTACAGAGAAATGTGTCAATCGCACATTAAGGCAGCCAATGTCAACGAGCACAACGTTCAAAACCCAATTTTACTTATCTTGATTTAAATAAATGTCATATCCATTACCTAAATCGTTTTTCATCAACAAAAAAGTATTGTTTACAACACAGAGTTGATTTCATTTCAAGGGAAACTTTGAACTTGACTGCCCGGTATTGGTTAATTCTAGGGATCGAATTTTTATGCAATTGCATATTTCTTCTGCTTAGTCACAAATGTATGGATTGCGGTTTTCTTTCCGGATGGGAATCCCTGCTGCTTATTTCGAAGTTATATTTTGCATATTGGAGCTATACTGCATAAAATTGCATATTTAACAATCAATAATGCAAAAAATTGCACATTCCAAGGATAATTTATTATTTTCTTCGATTGACGTGCTTCTTGTAGGCGAAAATCAGTTGATAGGGAATATTAAGTTATTCAGATTATGACATATCTTGAATTAATTTATTTTCCCCCTCTTGAATAATATACCTTGTGTTACAAAAGAACGATTCGCAGGATCGAATAAAATAATATAAAGGAACCGCTCTTTAATCACAGTCCTGTTTCCTGCTTTATTCAAAGAGGGGCGCGCTCAAATCATATTCTTCCTACATCGATTTCGTAGAATCAGTCGCTACGTATCTAGTACTACCAAATACTATATAGTATTTTCTCTATAGTATCTAGTACTATGTATTATCTAGTATCTCTATAGTATTTGCTACTACTTTCTATCACTTCTTTTTCTCAATTTGCCTTAAGCCTGTGTTGCAATTTTTTCGCCAACACAAAACGGAATTCACAGAAAAAAAATCCCAAAAGTGTATCATCGAATAGATCCAAACTACGACTTTGAATTGCGGAATTGGATAAGAAATGCGAAGTACTTACAAGTGACGGATACATGGTGTTTTACAAACTTTGTGGTAAGCAAATAGCCGCTGAGCGGAAGTCGCAATAATACAACATGTAGCAACAGGTATTCGTTTTCTATTTTGTTTCAGAAGAAATAGGTAATCCAAAAGTAGTTTCTACTTATTTTAGTAGGTATTTCGGTTCGTTAGGTAATGTTTTTACTTTCCCGTATACGTACGTATATACGGAGTAATATACGTAGTACAGAGAAAGTTATGTAATGCTGTGTGTTAGTTTTGAAAAGTGAGAAAGTTATGTAAAGTGTTTTGTTTTGTTTTTTCAAAACGGCCGTCCGTCTGTCTGTGAACACTACTAGCGGAGGAATTTCCCTAAATTGAAGAAACCCCTGTCCATCTGGCTCGAGCCGAAGCTTTGAGATTTTGAAAAACTTTCTTTAAAATTTGGGGGTACTTTACATGCAGCCCCAGGGACATTTTACATTTTTTCAATAACGGCTCTACATTATTTCTTTAAATTTCTTGTAATAATTAGGTAAAATATACGCATAGAGATGGCTTAGGTCCAATTTTCAGGGTTAACTCCGAATTTTCGATTTGTAAAAGTTTGGTTTTTTTTTCGGCGTCTTCCTACAACTACAAAATTAAAGATAGAAATTTTCCTTTCAATGAAATTTGTTATCCATAACTAGTTCTTTCATTAAGGTAATGTACATTTTTTAATCATTTCTTAGTTTTCCCGCAATATGTGCAATATTAAAAAATAACAAAAACAAGAGTTTCACGAAAACAGCAAATGTTTTCTTTAAGTTTTTGGAAGGGATAGTGTACAATGTACTCTATGAGATGACACACGCTATTTTTTTTTTTTTTTTTTTTCAAAACTACAAACTTTTATTGTTTTGACGTCTCATATCGTTAATATTTACATTAACGGTGATTTGTTCACATTATTGCATTTACGAGTACATGTGCTTTAAATTATATCTAATAACGCGTCTTGAAAACTCAATAGTTTTCTGTGAAAATTCGCATTTTTTCAGAAATGGCTCCAATTTTTTTCTTCAAATTTCGTCTTTTCTAGATCTTAAACGATTTATTCCTGAAAATGGCTCCAAATGTTTTAACGAAAATTTCCTTACATAACAAAGTTTGAAATGTGTTAATCTAAAACAGATCTTCGAATAAGGTCATGATCAATTTTTAAAAAATGTTAGTAGTTTTTACATAAATTTGAAAATAATTTGGTATGGTAAATTCGAATTTCCAAAGCTTTGTTTGAGGCGGTGTCAGTCTGTAAAAGTAATTCGAGAGGAGGACGCAGTCGGATATTTTGAAACTCCCTTCTCATTGTTTAACTTAATATTACAAATCGTAGAACATTAGTTGGGAAAACTGATATCTATATTAATGTAAATGTCTATTAAGTAAGCGTAACAAATATTGCAAGGAAGAATAAGATTTCACGCAAACATTTGCGTGAAGAGCAAAGTAATAGAATTTTTAGAACATTTAGAATATTTATTGTTTTGAGATTTTCTTTTGGGGCGTAGAGAGCAGTAATTTATAAGATTTCTCTTGATGGATACGCTCGAGGTGTTGCCGACTTTAATTTTAATTGTAATTATAATTTACTTAATTAATTTAATTATAATTTACTTAATTAATTTAATTATAATTTACTTAATTAATTTACTTATAATTATCGTTTTAATTATAATTTATTATTGAAAATAATTTTGGACCAACGTTTATTTAATGTGTGATAATTTGATATACACTTTTCAGAAATCTGGCCACTCTGGTTATGAAGATGCAATTTAACAATTGGAACGCCGCAATACGACTTTCACAGAATAATCAGACTTGGTCCACATATAGCATGGTCCATGCAGCTTCCACGGCACCGTCGGGAAGTGTAGTACAAGGTTATGACGCCATATACATGTACAGGAATTTGAACGACACGCCGAGACGAAGTGTGCCATGGTTTCCATAGACGGCACATCCGAGGAGTTGGAGATATTTGTACTTGTGGCGGCAAAACTTGTACTCATTCACAATGCGTTCGCATAAGCATAGCACATAAGACGTTAACTTACACACTTGCAATCTTCTATGCTTTTGCTTATGTAAGACATAAGAAATGTACCAATTACAGTACGAAAACTCAAAATCCAGAAACGAAATATGAGGGAAGTCGATAGACGAACTAATGCCATATAGGCCATGGGCCCAGTCGATACCTCGAAATCGATTTTCACAAGCAACCAATAGTAAACTTGTAGAATGTCTAACAGCCAATAGAAACTCTTACTTTGCATCCGTTTGTGTAAGATATTGTGAATACTTCAGTCTATCACTTATGTTAATGTTTACGTCTATGCGTTATGCCCATGTTTGCGTTTGCACTGTGAATGGGCCTTAATGGAGTGCCGCTGTGTAGGAGGGGGCGGAGGCGGCGGCGGCATCTGTGGGCCCTCGGAGCCCAAGGCAGAGAGTATATAAGTGAGTGGCTGCCCCCTGTCCGAAGGCGAGCGACCCGCTTGCGCGAGCCCTCGGCGATGAGACGTCCCGCGCTCACCCACGCGTTACTGGGGAGCTCTCTACGAGGCGGGGGCGGCGGCGGGTCGGGGTCAAGCACCTCGTCCTCGACCGTCGCCACCTCGAGTCACTCAGCCTCCGCATAGCCGTCCTACAAATAGTCGCCCTCATCGCCATCTTCTTGAATCACTGCTTAAGATCTCACGCAACCTTCTCTCCGCTCCGCCGCTGTTTGGGACAGGGCCCGCCAAATTAACAAAATTCTCCAGTCGGGTGAGTCGGGGAGATGTCACTCACCCGGCGTGAGGCCTGCCGGGCACGTGACCAGAAGGAGACAATTAGATTACCCCTTTCGACTCGTACGCTCGATAAGTACTTCCACACTCGCGCCTCTGCTATTGAGACCCGCTGCGTATACGAAGCCTCTTGGACGAGATCCACATTCGAAGTACAGCGCAGCTGGGCATCCTTGATAGTTAGGATCTTATTGGCGGAATTCATGCTCCATTCGGACTCGAATCTTAAGTTCGTGAATCCCTGCCCCCGTCACCCTTTGATGCGCAGATGAACGCATTCGTCTCACTAATGGACAGAGAAAGGAATTCATGCACCGTATCCCGCTCCATCTTGCCCCAATCTCTCAGCCCTTGTTTATCTCACCTAGCCATACATAGGGGTGAAGCATTGGCGGTTGAATGAACCGCTCGAATGCTTTCAACGCCTGCCATCCCAGTAGGGCTGACGCAAAGATCGCAACTGCTAGGACCTCTTAGCCTTTTAGCCTCTTAGCCTTCTCGGGACTCGAAGCCTGGTTGGAGAAAACCCAGACGGTAGGTCGGCGTTGGATGTCGCCATACTGCGGGGGAAAGATCACCACCACCTACCAGGAGGCACAAACATGCATTACACTTACGTTGCCTTGGTCCGCTTCCCGCCGTACAGGAGGGTGCGGTGGGTTGCTTACCCCTGCAGCTTCAGGGGCTGGGCCGGTCCGGCAGTTCGTTCCATTGTACCCTGCGTTACTTGTATGTCTATCAGCTGCGGAGATGTGCTTACCCACCTCCGATTCGTGATCTCCCGTAGCTCCTGGATGGCTTGAAGTCTATGCACTCGAGTTTCGGGGACCGGTCGCCTCCGAACTCTGCCAGGACTTTCTCGATGTATTTAGATCCCTCGATTACCTCAGCCGCGACGGGAACGCGCGAGTGTCGGTGTGTGTGTGTGTGTGTGTGTGTGTGTGTGTGTGTGTGTGTGTGTGTGTGTGTGTGTGTGTGTGTGTGTGATCGTCTTCAGTTCCTGCTGTTGCGTCCGGGTTGTTCTGAGGGGCGGCAGCAGCTTCCGCCGCCTTCTCCGGCAGATAGAGCTCCCGCCGCCAGGCCAGCTTCTGCAGCCGCAGTGGAGTTTCATAGCTTTTTCGGCGCAGATAGCGACCCAAGCGGCGGAACGACTGCATCCGTTTCCCGTGAGACAAATTGCGCAGCCGGCAGGCGGTGGCGGAGTTGGAAAATTCCCTGGTAGGTGGTGGTGATCGTTCCCCCGCAGTTGGGCGACATCCAACGCCGACCTACTGTCGGCTAGCTGGGTTTTCTCCAACCAGGCTTCAATCTCGTCGAGTCCCGAGAAGGCCAAGAGGCTAAAAGACTAAGAGGTCCTAGTAGTTGCGATATTTGCGTCAGCCCTACTGGGATGGCAGGCATTGGAAGCATTCGAGCGGTTCATTCAACCGCCAATGCTTCACCCCTGTGTATGGCTAGGTGAGATAAACAGGTGCTGAGAGATTAGGCCTTCCATGCCCTTCCCCCAAAAAATTAAAATGTGCAATTTGTATCAAGAAGCTATATGAGTAGTTTTATTTTGACCAATAACAAAAATACGTTTAAAAGAGAACTAGCGGTTCTACAGAATGGCATATACTTTCCCTTATTAGTTTTCTATTTCGTTTAGTCTTGGCTAGCTATACGGGCTTGCCACATTCTCTTGACAGCTTTCTTTTATCGCCGCCCAAAATACATTTTTTTGACATTTTCTTAATTTTTGATTTCCTAATTTGAAGTGGAAATATTATTTTAAGATTATCAAAGAATAATAAAATCCCTTCCTAATTCTCGTTGCAATATTCTTTGAAAAATTTGTAGCCGTTTTTAAGAAAATGAAGTAGCGCTACAGTGAATTCCAATTTAAAACACTTTTTCCAAGAAAATGTTTGAGTTTTGAAAACACTTCATTTGGAGAAGTTTAACTCACAAATACAGTCGTGTTTACAATTTGCCGGAGATGTGCATATTACCGGCGTGAGAGATTTATCAAAAAATTTACGTTTGTGTAATTTTTGAAAAAAAAACAACAACTCGAAATGAACTTAACGCCATATTAAAGAGTGCAATTAGCACTATCCCTTCCAAAAGATTGAAGAAAACAATTGTAGCCGCTTTTGAGAAAATGGCGTTTGAGCGTTTCTGAAATTGCGAATATTTTAGCTACTTTGGACATAAAACGATTGAGTTTTCAAGAACCTTAATGACATTATTTAAAGAATATGTACTTATAAATATATCAGGTGAACAAATTGCCGATAATGTAAATATTAACGACGCGAGAGACAAGTCAAAGACATAACATTTTTGTAATTTTTGAAAAAACAAAAGAACGGGCCTACGGTCTTGATATTTTAGTTTGTAATACCCTAGGACACTTCATTTGTGAGTTATTTAACTATATGTAATAAAAACAATCTCCGGGCGGAGATGAATGCCACAAATCATAGATAATTAAAATTGGCCCAGCCGTTCTTGAGTTATAAAAGATATAACTATCACAACTTATATATATATATAGAAAGAGAGAGAGAGAAATTGCTAATTTTGCATTGCTTACTCCGCCAATAAACACAACAATAATTCAGAAAAGTAATGTTGGATTTGTTGGATTATAATTATCGCGTTGCAGTTTCTAAACTATGGTTTTTCGTTGTAGGAGTACGTTATACTCTACATTTCAGTTTCAAAAAATACTCGGCATTTTCACATAATACTCGTGGAAAACCTTGCAACAAACCCATCGCCTGCGGTCAGTACTGAGAACTCACGTCTCGTAAATCATGCTCTATATCAGGACTGTTGGCAATCATTCGTGCGCATGCGTATGTAGTGTGCTCAAGATCCCCCGGCGACGGAGTCATCAGTTGTTAACAAGTGACAACTGGGATACCCAGTCCCTGCCACGGTGTATAGAGCGATTTTTATAAGAATGAGCCAAAGTGATAGTTCGCTAAACAAGTGAACACCACGTGTAATTCAGAGAATAGGAGCCGGAAACACGCGCACCGCCACCAGTACGCATCTCACATTCAAGACTCTGTTTTTAAAATAAACATAATACTTATCACACAAGAACTAAATTCAACGTAATGTTTATAAAAAAGAATTTTTACAGAAGAGCTCTAGCACTGCACATCCTAATTTCAATTATTTCTCTTGGCGCAAACACATTTTTGTCGGACGAGGACATCACAAAAGGAAGCGTCAAAACCATTTACAAGTTGACCACCTGCAAACGAACGAACGAAGCAAGGAGAGTCCAAAACGCTCAAGGACACAACGACCGCAGAACCTTCAGTTGAGTTGCCAGCACGAGCTGTGAAAACGTCCCATTCTTATACAAAATTGTCTATAATATTTCTTACACCGTGCTCCTACTGAAAGAAGAGGTGCTGAAAGGAGGGGATAGCGAAGCTTTGTGAGGAGGGACGAATACAGAAGCGGCAATGAAAAGTCCGAGATGCGACAATCAGCATCTTGCACACAGCACATGGTTAGGGGTTCAACGACATCGACGAAGTGAAGCCATTGAAGGGATGTTTCTCAGGCGATCACATCTACGGAGGTAACAGACGCGTACCGGTAGCGCATGGACAAAAAATGAAAGGTACAAACGGTACAGAGAGATAGAAAAATATTTTTAACAAAAGTTTTAAAAGAGTCGAAAAACTTGGGGATGAGGCACCCGCATCCATTGAGCCTACGCTACACAAACAGTACTCTAGAAGTCAAGGTAACCACTAATTAAACAAAATGTTTCTCTGTGTGTGTTGTTACTCTCTGACTGTGCATCTCAAGGGCAACACTGGCGATTGACGTATTGGTATTGATTTACAATTTTTTATCGCAATCCTGTACAATTTCTATTGTTAAGAATGTGTTTCTACAGACTTGATGCTATTCATCCTCATGGCCCTATCTGCCCTATTTTACAGAAGCTAATTTACTCTCTAGATTGTGATATATATATATATATATATATATATATATATATATAATTTTTTGAGAAAAAATAAAGCCCTATTACGGGCCAGAACTATACTTTGGCAGCACTAGCCACAACATTGAGACAAGATGATTTCAGGAGTCTCCTATCATAATTACCGCCAAATTATAACAAATTTATCTCAAGAAAATGTTGGAAGCGCACAAGAATCCCAATGCCATGAGGATTTGTCTTCCTAATTATCTAAGTTCATTATTTTAGAAATTAGAACAATTAAGAAACTATTATAGATGAATTTTTAAAGTATATTCGCACAAATCTGTCAAGATTACCCAAATTCCGCGGTTCTTTTTTAAAACGACAGGCATAGCAACTGTTACATATTGTCAAACTCTGCCTCTTTCAAACTCATGCTCTGCTGCAGCTTATAATACTCTGTGCTCGGCTCTCTATCGCTGGTTTGTATAGTAAGTTGGACGTGGATGTCAATATGCGAGAATGGGGGCTGGTCAGGTGTGATTGTAATACTCTTGTGTATTCGTGTGGAACATGTTTTACGTTTGACAACATAACGTGTTATTTCTAAATACAAAAATTAAAGCGTATTCTATGAGTACACTACTGTCACAGAGTTGAACAGTAAATATTTCATATTTGCGAAAGATGTGGATATTATTGGTTGTTCAGTCGGTCACCCAGGAACGTTCTGCGTAAAGAAAAATATCAAGGTATTTAATCTGACTTCTATACTTTATGTACAGATAAATACCTCCTAAACATGGGCGGGAAACAAAAAGCACAAAGGACGAAAGGCAATGTCAAGGTAAATAAAAACCAAAAATTGAATATTTGCAACCGTTTTCGAAGATGTCAATTAGTTATTAACATGCTCTCTCTTTATACTTAATCATAGCCTTCAAGTAGTGGACGGAGTGCTGCATTGCTCAGCACTTCAACATTTACAGGATTCTCAGGATTAAAAGATTCCATGTTTCCTTCATTTCAACCTGCATCTATTTCTGAAGAAATAGATGCTACAATTGATCCAAATTTTCAGTTAGTTTTAAAGAAAATGAATAAGAAGGATCCCACTACACGTGTTAAGGTTTGTTTAATACAAATTTCTTCTACGTTACATCATTCTTACACTATTTTCCTGTGGGACTGGAAATTGCACATGCATTTTTCATGAGTTTCCTTTTACAGGCTCTTCAAGAATTTATTAAGCTAGTTGAAAGTTCTGATGCTGAGGTTCTCAAAGCTGTGTTACCATTCTGGCCAAGATTGTATTGTTTATTAGTGGGAGATGTTGAGCATAGAGTAAGAGAAGCAGCCAATGATGCACAGCGCAGTGTAATTGTGCAAGCTAAAAGGAATATGGCCCCTTATCTACGTTCAGTAGCTGGTCCTTGGTTTGTTGCGCAATTCGACACGTATCCTCCTGCAGCTTCAGCGGCAGTTCGTGCATTTCAGGTAGAGAAAAAAATATTTTGAGATTCTTTCAAGTGGCTACACTTTTGTTAAGGAATAACCTTGCATTAATACGCATTTCTTTGAGATTTTATAACATTTGGTGCCAAATAACCTCATTTATCTTCCACTGCAAGTACTCATTTACTCAAGCCTTTTTATTTTCTTTCGTGTATGTAAATTCTTTAATTACTTATGGTTGGAGTAAATGAGAAATATGCTAGTTATATCAAGTGTTTCAGTAGAGTTTTATATTATTTATATTGAAATACAATAAAAAAATTTGAATTGTAAATATTGTGTTACTAAAGGGTATAGACATGCAATATTTTAATTTAAAGGCTAAAATGTAGTATACGGTACAACCTAGGGAAGGATTTAAACCGGCACTTCATGCCGCTCTGGCGTTAACTAGGCAGTTTGAATTCTGGAGGCCTTCTTGAAAAGTGAATTGGTAATTATGCGGTGGATAGACTCAAGGATGTTTATAGTGAACGCGAGGGCCAAAGGCCCAAGCCTCGCTGTGACTTGGATCCGGGCGAGCGAAGCGAAAAAACTTGCCTTTGAAAGTAAATTGGCGTTACAATGTGGCAGGGACAAAGTATTTTAAGGGCGAACCATGAAAATCGCCTATCCATATGTTTTATTCATTTCTATTTGAGCATGTGCAGGACTTAAACCCAGCCGCCACGTTTCTCTAATGGTGTACTGTATATTAAATTTTAACTAATTTAAATTTATTTTTTACCCACTGTCAGTATTAGTTAAATGTTTACCCATATTCATACATTTTCACTTATAATGAGACATTTTTGTACTGTAAACATTGAGTTCAATGAATGTTTAGAGAAATGTCTTATGTTCTGTCATTTTCTGGGTTGCTATGCAACCATCATTGAACCCGAAGGGAAACCTCATATGGAAGGCTTGCTCAATATTTTATCATTAAGAACAGCAGAGTGTAGGTGATGGATATAGTTTGGATGGATAACAAAAAGAATAATTGATATTGCATCTTTATTGGATCAGTTGATAAATAAAAAGGCATAAGGTGATTTCAACCATTCTTACCCGAAGAAGAAAACAACCAGAACTTGTATTTACACACATGTACAGTAATTGGTGACCATTGAGTCAAAAAATGAATCATGCGTAAAGAATAATGCAAATTAGAATAGAAAATTAGTTAATTTTTGTCTTTGCTGTACTTTTTACCAATAAAGTTTGAGTTCTGTAATAATGTATGCTAATGCGCAAAATATAGAGAAAATCCACATGTTCACTAAAGAAAGTTTAGTTTAATCTCAAGAAAATGGATCTGGATTGTCTACAGTGCACGGACATGCTTCATTCTACTTTTTAACTAAAAAAGGGAAGAGAAACTAAATTTCGTCTTAAATTTGAGACCTAGTATGTTTTTTCTTTTCGTATCTCCTGTAAAATTTACTTTTTTTAGCAAGTGAACTTTCTTAGTATTCCCATTCGCTTTCTTAAATCCAATTTTTTTTACTATTTTATGTATAGGAAGCATTTCCTCCTAACAAGTTGTTGGAAGTTATTGCATTCTGTCAAGAGGAAATTTTGAAGTACATTTCTGACAATCTATTAGACCAGACAGATGTTAAACAGTAAGTACCCTATTGATTAAATTTTATCTTATTTTCTTCAATTCAAGAAATTTGATATTTTTCCAACATAAATTTTATTTTTATTTTTGCAGAGATAATTCTGGAAGAACAGAAAAGCAAGAACGTGTAATAATAACAAGTTTACAAGGTTTTTGCCACTACCTTATGACTGTTCAAGATGATTTATTGACCAATCCAACTTTTGTCCAAATCAGTGACAATTTATTACAGTCACAACAATTTTGGAAATTTGGAATTGACAAAGTTCCATTGGTAAGGAAATACTAGTTTATCTGGAGCTAGAAATTAATGTTTTTAATTTGGTTTCTATTTGATAACTATAATTTTTTTTTATTATTTGGGAGTTTTTGCACCCTTGAATGTTAAAGGAATCGAAAGCACTCTTGATTTGCTGCGCATGCCCAATTCAAGTTTTGCATCACTTTTGTGCATCTCTGCATGTGCGCAAGATCGAAATTGTAACTGATTTGCTGTTTCCTAAGGTGTACAAAAACTCCCTATTAAAAAAATTTCCAACAGCTTTTAAAGATAATCTTATTTTACATATGTAATTTAGAAACACACTGGATATATTTTATACACTGGATATTTTTGTCAACAATTCATCCATAATGAAAATTAAATATTTACGTTATTTATAATTTTCTAAGTCTTAAATGTTTGATGCCACCAGTGTAGCTCTGTGGGTCACTGGGTTACTCAAGCACAACCACTATCACCACTACCACCACCACCACCACCACCACCAAGAACAACAACAACAACAACATCAACATCAACATCAACTACAAGAACCTCTAGATGGGGGTTACAATGAAATATACAAATCAATAAATGGAATCTATTAGGTCTAATTTCAGAAATGACAGGGATGCAAAATGTGTAGATGAAGTGGAGATAGCGTTAGCAGGTGTCCATTGCAGTAACAGTCTTGTCTTCGAAGAATGGAGAGACTCAAATGGAGATTGTATAGAAATGTTCTGGTTAGTGATGAATTTGAAAAGATTTAAATTTATTCCAAGAGGTCTTATATTTGATCATAGGTCAAGTCATGTGGAGAGAAAATCACTTGATCTCTTGGCAACAGACAGATTCAATCTTTGTTGCCAACTGCAAAAGTTGCTATTCACTGGGAGAAAGTGTTATCATTTAAACATTTTAATAAGAACAAGGTGTTGTTTTGTGCAGTGCATGCTATCAAAACCTCTATGGAATAAAAATTTGTGCTCTGATGGATTCCAACATATTGTACTATAAATGGAAATTTTGAAATGTATTTTGGGAAACAATCTTTAGTAACAAGCGTACTGATGTAGTACGGTGTCTGTTGCAACCATTATTCAAGAATAGTAGGAACATTACAGCAGACAGATTGGCTTACTGGCTGCAATCTGTTGAGAAGACTTGCAGAAAGAAAATTGTCTTTTTAGTCTACTTTAATTAGACCAAAAAATGGCAATTGAAGGGGAAAAATTCTGGAAGTTTGAAACTTGGCATGATAAATCTTGAAGTGTACGGGGTGAGCTGGGGACAGAAAGCCATGTGGAGGTGCTTTTTCAACGTTTTTTTGCATATTCTTTATAACTATCAATCCTATCAAAAATTATGGTCCACACAAAATTAGAATAGACAAAATTTTCTACAAAAAAGTTACTGTATGGTTTTGTTGTAAAATACATTGTTTTAGGCTTCAAAAGTCCTTGTTTTTGTTTAACAAGATCCTTTTCTAGTTATCTTCATTATAAAAATAATGTTGTGGCTAAAATAATGTGATGTACTCAGGCCATCCACATCCAACTTCCCCACGATGTTGATCTCAGTAGTTTGCCTTATGTTAAATCAGGCTCTATATATGTAATGCAGTAAAATACATTAGGATGGTTTCAAATGTATGAAATAAAAAAATTTAAAAAAATAAATTCTAAACATCTCTTTAAGGAACTCTCGCTTTTGGCTAATAATTTTTCATGGGCCACAATAAATGGCACCGCAGGCTGCCAATTGGACAATCCTGTCTTATGTGCACTTTTTTTAGGGAGATGGTTTTTATATTCTTTTAGTCTGCAGAATTTGTTAGCACATTTTTGATTTTAACTTCAAAAGAAATTCAGATGTGCACTTTCACTTGTGGATAAGAGTTACATCGTTGTTATATGGTGAGCTACTATTGGTGTGCTTCATGCTTCTTGAGTTTTCTAAGTGTAACGTATAATATGATTACGGAGTCAGATTTAAATGACAGTTTAAGTTAAAATTTACTTGTTATTACAATAAAACAGGAGTATCTATGTAAGAAGAAGTAGTTGTTGTTTTTATTATTATTATTATTATTATTATTATTATTATTATTATTATTATTATTATTATTATGATTATTTCAAACCTTGCTTTTTCAAAATATGAATATCCTACACAGCTTTTTATTGATCTTCTCTATTTTGAATAGATTTTTAATGAATTGAGAATTTTTCTTTACATATTGTGGTCCAAAAGTGTTAATTCATTTTAGAATTTAAATTTCAGGTTCGCAGTTCATGGTTATCTGTTATAACTGCTATTTTAGAAAAAGTTCCTCATTTGCTAAAAGATCATCATCAACTGCTGGTGAAACGAATTTTAGGAAGATTGGATGAAACTGATGCTGTAGTTATCCCATATGTTTGGCAGTCAGCACTAAGCATTCTTGTTAAGCTTGAAGTTAGTATTGTGACTTTCTTATTACTATAAATTGTGTGTGTGTCTCTGTGTTTGTGTCTGTGTGTGTGTGTGTGCATTGGCAACCATTGCACATATTTTATTATTATGTAGCAGATGTGCTTACAAATGGAATTCATATTTCAGGATTGGTCTTCATATTGTGATGTTAATAAGCAAGTTTTCCCTCGCCTGTGGAATATTTTACGAGAAGGAGGATATGGCTGTGCTGCTACAATATTTCCCAATATGCTTCCTCTACTTAATGCTCTATTGGAAACAAAAGAACTTAAAGCCGACAAGGAAGTTATCGTAGACACATTTTTCAAGTCAATGCGTGAAGGGTAAATATAACTGTTTATCAGATTTTCTCTGAGAAGAGGTAAATATAGTGCTTTTTCTCCAAAAAGACAAATTGTGCAATTGGCCTGCAAAGAATTGATAAAATTTCACAGCAACAACTGATGTCAGTAACAAAATACTACGCAATATCCATCAGTTTATAATCTTGAAGTTGCTGTTATTTGTGATTAACTGTGAGAAATATTTGACATGCTGGGATTGCGAAAAGAATATATTGTAATTTCACTATTCAATCCATTGTGATAACGTTGTTCTACAAGGGTCAATTTTCTTATAAGTAGTTTCTGAAGGTTTTTCTAATGATAAATTCAAATTTGGTATTACAAATTTACTATTAGGTGCATTTATTTCAGTTATTAAAAAAGTATTGTGTAATAAAAATAATTTCACTGCATTTTTAGTTATTGGATATGACAAAATATAATTATTAAGCTGCGGAATTTTGCATATTTGCCTATTTTTTCTTTCAAGGGAAAACATAATTTTTTAGGTTACTTTATTTATTTTAAGGCATTAGGAGTATTATATGCGAATTTTATAGGCCTATAAATGCCTATTTTGTGTTTAAATCCCTAAAAGTTGCCTATCCTCATATTTATTGATCAAAATGCAATTATCTGTAATCAAAAATTTTTAAAAGTGTAGGTTTTTTGTTTTTTATCCTGCAGATTACAGAGATATTGAGCAACTATCGATAAATCTATGTTCAGTTTTACTTCCACCATAGTGTGGGAATTTTGTAATACAAAACATGTGCAAACTTGCTTGTGATAGTCATGTTATATTTTACTTTGAATTTTTAACTCAAAAATGGCTCCAAGTTGTCTTAAATTGTTCTCCTAGAATGTATCAAAGGATCATATAAAACAACTAGTCCCATTTTTCACAAACACTATATTTTCTAAAATTGCAAAAAGTTATTGCAGAAGTACAATATTGAATACAAGCTTTTGTCTTGAATAAAAAATGTTCTAAAAAATCAATCTAAAAAGGCAATGTATACATTTTTTTAAAAAAACTTTTGATGAATTTCTGCTTAAATTTATTGCAAATTATTAAAAAAATTCTCAAAAATCTCTACCAATGTTTACTTTAATTTTCTCTATAGATAGAACTAGAGACACTTTAAAGAATGACACAGGTCTTATTTTTGTTGAACTCTGAATTTTTGAAAATTGCAAATTTTGAAATATATTTTTAGATATAGTACAAGAATGTATGTGCTGTAATACCATTAGTTATATTTCTGTTATGCATGGCGATTAAAGCAAATTGTACAATATTTTCACTTATGTTTAAATTAAAAGTGAGAAGATAAGATCGCACTGTCCGGCATTAGAGTATCACCTTGTATTTAATGTCAAGCAGAAAGGTAGTTACTGCAATTGTGCCCTTTTTGCCCAAATTGCCCAACAATGAAAGAAAGGTTTTGTACGAGGAATTGTCAGAACAAAGATAAAAGCAACCTTCCATGATGGTAACTATATTATGTTTACTTCAGTAACTTTCTACACAAGAACATAAATAAGTATAAGAAAAGTGTGTACAGTAAAACTTCACTTACATGTGTTTCAGGAGACTGAACGGAAAAAATGTTCAAGTGAGAAAAATGCATAACCGAAATTGAATATAATGAGCAATATAAAAACTCAATATTTTTACACTACCATTTCATTAGAAAATATATTATAAGAAAAAAATTCAATATGCTGTTTAAAAAATTGCTAATGAAAAAAGTCTGTTATGTTGGTGTGTTTAACATTACGATTCACCGATAGGGTGCAGTAGTGCATAAAACATATTCCAGGATTATTCGTTAGTCTTAAAATCTCTATAAATTTATCTCTGAAGTCTTGAAATTAACTATAAATTTATATATTATTATGTTTTTATTTAAAACATTATATTTAAATTGCATTGTGTGAGTGAAACTTTAAAGAATGTAAAATAAAATATAGGTTAGTAGGTAATTATATTTATCCAAAGTCTCCAGTTCCCTTTCCACAGCAACTATAAAATTTTTCAAAGTCTTTCTGCTGGAGGTGGCCCCAGGATCTGACTTTACGCTACCATCCCGTGTGCTGGCACGGGTTTGGTCCCTCAGCTATAATATATAGTAGAGCTTCGAAATTACAAGTTTCATAAACGGAAAGTCTCCTCAAAGGCAGAAAGGACTGTCCATGAAAGTGCTCTGGAGCATTCAATCTCCAGTAAAATTCCAGGTGGTCAGCAAAAGCTGCCCCGTGCCTTATCTGTCCCCTTTGAGGGAACATTTGATCATTATACAGTCTTAAAAGGACTTTTATTGTGAATGGATAAGTGTGAAAATCTTATAAATATAAAATGCATATCTGATATAATTTAGCATGGAAATTATAGGAGTTTATCCGGGACTTGCCACAAAAATATATAAACGAGGAAAATGTACCAGTGCAAAGTGGATAAACAGAGTTTCACTGTAGTGCTTTTTTAAATGCCTATTGCTTGCATATTACTACAGTTTTTTATGCCTTTAAAATTACAGATTAATAATTATCAACAGCTGACAATACTACTTATTCCAATTGTTTTCATTGACAATCAAAATTAGAGAACTTTTGAAAGATACAAATTTTGAACATTGTCTAACACCAAAAGAAAAGAACACATGGATATGTTTCAAGAATGTAAAGAAGAACTTTCTAGGGGGAAAAAGAGCTAACAACTAAAAACAAGAAGTTCAAGAGCTGATAAATTCATAAAGAAATTGAAGATGCAACATGTTTTTGTAAATGCAATTTCTTGATTCTCATTTGCATTATTATCCTGGGAACTGCAGTCATGTTTTCGATGAACATGGTGAAAGATTTCATAAAAGCATAATGACCAGGAAAAAATACAGTCTTTCTAAAGAAATTGTCTGTAACTTAAAGAACTGTAAAGAAAACTGTGCTGGATAGAAAGAAACTGATTACATATAGAAATTCAGGAGACAGATTTCCATATGAATCGTGTCTGTTTCTCTCAGAAAAAAGATTTTTGTTTTTTTGTAGAACAGTATAATTCACTGTTGCTACTTCATTGTTTCTTAAAAGTTTTGGTGACCATTTCTTGTATTTTAGAAATATACAGAAATCAGAGATGTGTAGGGACATTTGTGCACATCAATGAACTAATCTGAGACACTAATATCAAATGTTAGTTCTTTCCTGGTAAAAATAACTTTTCACTGTTCAGTTATGTATGTTTTACCTAATTTCATTGCTCTAAATTTTCATAATACTAATTTAATGATTGTTGTTGTGATTTTATTCTTTTGTAATTTTCTTTTTCCTAGCCCCTACTAATTTTCATTTTACTTTTTCTTCATGATCATTCGTGTGTGACTGGCAGTGTGTTCATTTGTCTCAAAGATATTTCATGTAAACTATTTTAACAGTTCAAAATTTCATTTCACTAGAAATTTTTGTCATGTTTGCCATCCATTCAAACTGGTTTGTGAATTGAGTAACAGGAGGTGACTTGAAAACTTGAGTGTGCAGGAAGATAGTCTTGTCCTAAACTTGCATTCCTAAATGTTAAAACAAGATTATTTTAAATTGAAATCCCAATTTCCTTATTTGTTTATCTTTATTTTCACAGAACTAATTTGTGAACCTTTCCCAATATTTTTATCAGAAAAGTCAACTTCCCTGCAATATTATCCTTAATGAATGTTCAGCTATGTTTAAATTGTACTCTTAATTTCAAATATATGATTTTTATTTTGAGGTGCATGTTAAGTAGCCATGTTTCCATATTCATTTACTTTTGTTCAGTTTTGGATTGTCCAAAAAATTATAAACCATCCAGAAGAAATGTGCCTCCAACTACTGAAAATTAATTAAAATGTTAGAATAAATCATTTATGTACTTGTTTTGCAGTTTTGAGAAAAAATCTATCCAAAACAGTAAATCTGAAAGTGATGCTGCAGCCCAGTGTTATATGGAGTGCATCCGCTTCGTGGTAAAATGTGGCATTGAAGACTCAAAACTTGTGTTGGAACATGTAAGTGTTGTTTATGACTGATGTGAGAATAATTTATTTAGACCTTCTTAAAACTGATGATAATAATACACGGAACTAATTATTTCCTAAAATGTTCTTATTTGTAAAAATTATTTACTTTTGCAGTTGATGCCAGTTATGGAAATGACTTTGACTGAAAGCAGTTTGAGAGTACTTTCTAAGGGAATATATGAACATGTTTCCCGTCTTCTTCATTACTGGTGTAGTGAAAAATGTATGTCTCAGTACGAAACTGTGTGTAAATGCTTTTGGGATTCTTCCTTACAAATATTCCAGAAAGTTTTACTACAAGCTGAAAATGATTCTGCAAAGGTTTATATTTTAAATCAAGAGGTGCAATTTTGTTCAAATTTGAAGAATCCAAATAAATTTAGGAACAAAAATGTTCATAAAGTGCGATTTAGTACAGAAGAAGATACTTGTGTGACCAGTGTATCTGAAAAGAAATTTGATGGTGAAGAACTACTTGAAAGTGAATCATTCAGTAAACATCTAAATAAATTTATTATGTCTCTGAGTTTGATGTACCTAAAAAGAATTAATGAACAGAATGATCTTTGTTGCGTAATTCCACTTGCTAAGTTATTGTCTGAGCATAACAGTCATGAGCTAATCGAACATTTAGTATTGAATTGCAATGTTTCTGATCTCTTTAAAACATTGTCAAAGAAATGTTTTGTAACTTCTGGCCAAAATAATGAAATTGTAGTAGAATTGGCATGCTCCATGATACAACATTTGGAACCTGCAGAACGAGAAGAAATACTGAATACTATGTGTCAGGTAAAATGATTTTTCATGTAACTGATATTCTCTTTCTCACAATTTTTCATTAATGTTTCTCAGTTTGTCAACTTGATCAAAGCCTTTATTTCTGTATTTTTTCTTTAAGTTCAACTTCATTTGTGATTTCAGAGTTATTTTACAATATAATAGATGGGGTTGGGGTAACAATAATTCTCATTTTACTTATCAAAAACTAACAACATTCAAATTTTTTTTGTCAATTATTTAGTTTCCTAATGGTAGAACAGATATATTACTTAAAGAATATTATAGAAAAGTAAAACCAAAAAATTTGGAATCTTTTTAAGAAAATGATGTTTAATGACACTGTGGATGCAAAATTTTAAGTTCTTTTTCACAGAAAACATTAGTTTTAAAATCTTCATTTGAAGCAACTCAACATACAAATGCAAAAATGTTTACAAATCTGGAAATATTCATATTGAGGGAATGAGAGATATTTTAAATATATTACATTTATGTAATTTTTGAAAAAACAAAAGTACAGCAAAATTAATTTTATGTCATCTAAAACAGTTCAAAGTTGGAAGAATAAATTTTGAGTCCTTTTTGAGAAAATGGCAGTTGAGCGTTTTCGCAAAATGCGGAATTTTGAGCTTGTTTTCACAGAAAGGTTTTGAGATTTCCAGAAACTTGATAAGACATAATTTAATGCGCATGTACTTTCAAATGTAATAATGTTAACAAATCACTGCTATTGGAAATATCAATAACTTGAGAGAGATGCCAAAAAATTTCATTTTTGTATTTGTTGAAAAAGCAAAATATAGAGGAAAATGACGTTTATGTTATCTTAAAGAGGACACTTAGCTTTTATCTTTCCAAAATGCTTAAACAAAACATTTGGAGACTTGTTTTAAGAAATTCTTGTTTCTGTTATTTTTTAAAATATGATATAAATATAATATAACAATTTTAAAATATAATATAATTATAATATATATAATATAAATATATTTTCGCAAAATATTGCAAAAACTAGTAAAATTTTCAAAAAAATTTGCATGACCTTAATGATAGAACCAATTATGGAAAACAAATTTCTTGTGAAGGAAATTTCTGTTTTCAAAATTGTCATTGTAGGAAGTAGCCTTGAAAAAAATTCAAAGTTTTGCAATTTTCGAAAATTCTGGGTTGCTTATGAAAATCAAACCTATACTTCCTTTAAAAGTGTATTTTACTCTATACGTGCAAGAAATTTAAAGTTAAAATTTGAGCCCCAGAGGCTTTATATAAAGGAGCTGTATGTAAAGTACCCCCAAAAATTAATGAACGTTTTTCAAAATCTCAGAGCTTCAACTCATTCCAAACTGACAGGAGTTTATTAGGTTTGGAAAAAATCCTATCCATAGTTCAGATAAAACAAAACAAAAACAAACAAAACATTGTGATCCAGGCCATTTTAACATTCTCATAGAACTTTAATATATGCATAGAAAATTATAGAAAGTTTAAACTCTTTCTGAGACAGTTTTGGATGTTCAAAAGCTTTGTTTTTCATCTGCCTTTCAAAAACCAGTTTTAAGGTTATCACAATGTTTCCCTGATCGCTTTAATTTTCAAGTAGAAGTATTTTTATATAGTAATTAACTGAAATGTAGTATTATGAAAAGTATTATCTGTTTCGAGGAAAATAAGTACATTTCTGATGAACGTACCTCGGGTTTATGTATATTGCATGCATTCTTTTATCTTAACACATTTGCTGTTTGAATTACATTTTCATCTTCAAAAAATGTTTGTTTCAACAGCTAATCATTTAATAGTCACTTACCAATGCCATTTCAGTTCCCTGAGCTCACCAATGGGAGGGGGTGAGGGATAGGGGAAAGGCAAAATAAATTGCAATAAATTGCAAAATAATTAATGGAAAATTTCATGAATTTAAAAAATTATTTAAATAAATATATATAGAAACATATTTTTCATTTTCTGCAAGTTTGTGTTAAGTTTTTGAGGTATGAAAAAGGCAAAAATAGTGTGAACGTTTGTACATGTGGTTGTTTCTATAGGGACACTGATGTCAACCCCCCCCCTTTTTTTTTTCTTCGTAGTATCTGTTATTTACATTGACAGATACTAAAATAGGATTGCAATGTGTATATGGGCAGGCTTGTGAGTAAGAGAACACTGATTTCCACTAAGTGTTAACGCTTGATGACACTAATTATGTTGTTTCTAAACATCTAATAAGCATTGAAAGTTGAAACTCTCACTTAGGATTAAGAAAGGTTTTAATTAGTAATAAATAGTGAAACTATTACTCTTTATCTAAAGAAAGTTAGATGAAAAAACTACTTTACAGTCCCTGGTCACATTCTTATGACTACCTGCAAAATTAAATGCCCCCCCCCTGTAAGCATTTCAATTGATGATTTTCAGTACCAACTCTTCTGTGAATATTTGTCAACATCTTCTTTTTCTACAACATTGGTCCTGTGGGAGGCCACATTGATTTTATTAGTGAAAGCTCACATAATTTTCTTGTGGAATAGCATATGTACCTAAATGTAAGTCAACAATTTTGAAAAGGCCTCCTAAGAATTTTTAAATTTTCAACTAATTCTTACTATTCAGTCAAAATAATATTGCAAATTGTTTCATTTACTAGAAAATTAGCTTGTTGATGTGAATGTAAAGACTTATTTCCTGAATTTTCATTTTCTTGTTTCTTAAAATCATCATAATCACGGTTTTTGTCACCACTGTAATCATCACGTGTATTTACTTTCTTTCATTTTGGTCTGGGACATTCGCAGCCTTTGTAGGTGCCTCTGAACGTTTTGTGCACTTATTTTGCGTAGTTCAATCTTCCATCTGGCTCCACCTGAGAACAATTCCTTCTATGCCACCAGATTTAAAATCAGCCATGAATTTTTTCAATGAGTAATAGATTTGAAATGAGTGTCCTTTAATGTTCATATAATCAAGTTGTGAATTGTGAACTTGTACATGTGTGACCCTCCGTTTTGCGGGTAAACTGGAAGATTCCAAGTTTGGAATCATTTTTGCTAAGAAAATATTTTCTTTCTCTGTTTACTATAGTTTGATGAAAAATACATACATCTAATGTGTGTGTTTTTTGTTGTTGTTTTTTTCATTTCCATCTTTTGCAAAATGCAGATTTGCATTCATCAGGCATCTAACCTCGCTTCCCCGCTGACTCCTTGACTCCACATTGTGTTGTCAGACCCCAAAACATGATACATTTGTGCCAACACCATCCAGTTTCTTCTTTAAATCGCAAAACACACATGTGTATACTAGTTAGTAGCATTACACTACATAATCCAAAAGTTTTCAAACCCACCATCACTTGTTTCTTTATGTATGTCGCCACGCTGGATCCCAAACCACCAGTTTGTTATGTGCCACCACCCTCCAGTTTTTTATCATGAAAAACTCGTGTGAATACTAGATTTTGGTCTCTTGTAGCATTATACTCTACACAAGCCAAAATTTGTCAGACTCAAAGACTTTTAAAAAGTTTCTTTATGTATGTCAATGCGCTGAATCTGAATGGGAAGCCAGAATTGCTCCACCACCTTGCTTTTTTTTGTCATAAAATAACACAACGAAAATAACAATTTCAGTTTTTTTTTCCCCGGCAAGGAGTGGTGACAGGAATGAAGGGTGGTGGCGCAACTCTGGCATCAGATTCAGATTCAGCATCTTGACATACATAGAGAAATGTGTCAAGGCTTTGGGTCAGACAACCTTTTTTTGTGTGCCTGTATAATCTACTCACCTCCAGTTCTTTGTTGCGGGAGAGGGAAGTGAAGATGATTGGCTTGCTTGAAATCAAGCTAGCCTGTCACCTCTTTATTGGGGCCAAATATGAGAAGTAAAAATATTGGTTTTGCAGTAATAAAATAGTTAAAAATTCTGGTACTTGTTTGATTTGATTCTGCTATGGTGGGCGGGCTAGATTGATGGACCTCCTTTTCATGTTAAAGATTCATTTGATCCAATGCCATTTGTTTGAGATTTTATCATTACCAGGCCATTCAAAAATATCGGTGTGAATTGACTTTGCAAATTCCCAGTGGACGCCAAGAATAAGATCGCAAATATAATTGTGTTATAGATACATGAAATATTTTTACAGTCTTCACAACTTATTGTTAATTCAATATTTTTGAGTTTTGTAACATGGAAAGGCAATGTTAAAACAAAGCTTCACTGACTAATTTATTGTTTTAATTTAGATTTTCTTAATTTTTTGTTTCATAATTCAATTTTGTTTTGTTTTTTTAATATACTTTTGTATAACATAATCTTTGCCTAAATTTGTTGTTTGTTTTGCGGTAAAGAGGCCAAAGAACCTCACTCAAAGGAAAAATAAAGGCATTAGTAGAACTTGAACCCCTTTACAGGGAAATTACAGAAAGGTGAACTATATAAAAAGAAGAGTGGTTACATTAATATAGCTAGGGACTGTAAGTTCCGACATTGACCCTCCCCCAGTCGTTGGTATGTGCCTGTTAATAAGATTTTTTCAAGTTTCTAGTCTTCATCTACTTTTCTGAATTTCAATTTTCAGGAACCAGATGTCCTTGTGTGTATATTCCGTGTTGCACAAAAGGAAAAAGTAAAACCGTATATTTTGCAGTGGTTAAGAGCTTCGTTTGTTAATGATCAACTTATAAAGTTATCTCAAGAATTATGCTCTGCAAATTATTCATCTAATATAAAAGAAGTGTTGATGGAATGTACAGTAAGTGCATCGAATGGAGGTTAGTGTAACCCTTAAATTGTAATAAAATATTAGATTTGTAAAAATTTGCAGATAATTGTTCTTCAATTTTTGAGGTGTACTAATGGATAGCTTGATCTATAGATGTTTCCAACAATAATATCTTTAAATTTTTCTAATTTTTAATTTAATTTACTTTTTGCTTTGGTTTTATCAAATTAAATTCTGGGATTGTCTAAAATAAAGAAAACGAAATAATTTTGAATGTATTGTTTTCAACATCATCACAACACATTTAAGGCAATTTGTTCATTGAAATGATCTCTGCATATTTTTGGAAAATGTAAAAAAAGGCACGGGGGGGAGTGAATTAGAGTTTATGGAAATTACATGTAGGTGTGTAGGGCAAGCTTCAGTGAAAATGATATGTTGGTAATTTCCTTGTATCTTATTTTCATACTTAAGTATTTTTACTCTTTATTTTTAATTTAATTTTTTTATACTTAAACCTTTTGACACTTGAAGCCTATTTATCATGTTTCACTTTATTTGTGTGTTCAGATATCCACTAGGTAATTATGGAGTTATTTTCAGAAATTGTTTTCATTTAATTTCTTACTGTACTTAGGGAATCTATTAAATACCAATGAAACATTTCATTCAGAATAGATGTTTGTTAATTTATTAATTGAGAATTTTACTGCAAAACCTTCTGGGGTAGTTAACTGGCCCTTGGTATTATAATGCCAATTCCACTTATGAATTTGACACCAACAGTCTGTAGCAATAAATCTGGTTGCCCCAATTAGGACAACACATCCATCTTATTTTTCTTACTTCTCTCTTCTGGTCAATTGTAAGCTGTGATACATCTATCTTCGGAATGTAGTGGGTCACTACAATCCTAAGACAGACCCTAATTATACTGAAAGCATGAGTATTATTAATTTAATATTTAACACATTCAAGAACTGTTGGACATAATTTCATTTGTACAATAGTCTCACATGCATGTTGAAAAAGTCAAAATAAATACGTGCTGTACCAACCATAGTAACTTCAAAATTTCCTTGTTTGATATAAAGCATTGATTTATACTGTTTTTCATTAGCAGAATTACACTGCATGTAGTATTACTATCACTTTTATTTTTGTACTTTTTTATGGATATCCATGTATGATTTATTACTATATAGTTTAAATATACATTGAAGAGCCCTTTTTAGCAGTGTTATACTCCTGCCCATGCTTCTTATACTTCTTGCAGCCCATATTTTAGACCATATTGAATGTGTGGGTGTAATTATGTATGTAGTTCTAAACATTTTCTTTGTCACTACTTAAAAGGATTTTATAGTCGACATCTATTTATTCGTTGTGGATTAATTTGGGACAATTGGAATTTTTTAAAAATTGACCCTATAGTGGGTATCTTATTTATATCGATATTTACATTGTATTTTTTTATTTTCATGTGATTACTAAAATTGTATCGCATAGGTTTTGTTTATGAAGATGTTATAGCTTAGATATCTGGGAATGTAATGCATCTGTCATATTTTCTTTTAACGTAAGTGTAAACATTGCATCTGTCGTATTTTCTTTTAACAATATTACTTTTTTATTGCTACTAATCAATCTGCATAAGAGACTCGTTTATTCTGTGACGATGGTGTACAAAAACAATAGGAATAACAGTGGTCGCAATGAAGATCTTTAGAAAGCTTTTAATAAAGTAAATAATACCATTGTTTCAGATTTTCTTGTGGATATGGGCACGATTTCATCAGTTATGTATGAACTTTGTAATGCATCCTGCAATTCAGAGATGGCAATATTTGCAGCACAATTTTTAAAAAGTTTCCAAGTTTCTTTGTCAAAAATAGAAGATTTACAATCTCTCATTCAAGTAGAAGATTTGGCAAAAAGTATTTATAAACTAGTTGTTGTCCTGTTTCGTTTGTGTTGTGATAAAGAAAATACAAGTGGCAGTATTAAAGACCTTTTATGCAATGGGTGGCAAAGTGGAGTAAATATTTTATCAAGAATAAAAGCAACAGATGTTGCTTTGTTAGTTACAGAACTCTCTGGTATTGTTAGGAAGAATCTATTGTGCAGGTTAGTACAATTATTGTAATTCTATTTTTTTATGCTTGAACAGATTGTTTATTGGTAAATTGTCTGTTTCAGTGACATCTTGATGATTGAGGATATAGACCACATAGTGGAAATATCTTTGAAGTTACTCAATGCTGCCGAGTTAGATGATGTTGAAGTGTTTTCCTTATTTACAAATGGTGTTCTTTCTACTTTCGAACTTATGGAACATAGTTTGACAGTACATTGTGAAAACATTCTCATGGTTCTTGGTGGACCTGTTTGCAATTTGAAAGTTGAACATTTGCTAACTTCTGAAACAATATTTCAGTATGTGTTATTGTCTCTTTTCACATCAAAGATTATAACAAAAATTGTAGCATCTGAACGTACTCTCATTGAAGAAAAAGAAAATTCTTCAGTTGACCCTCATTTTGATGTTGAAAGCAATATAATGTCTTTAAACAATCTGGCAGAGTCACAGAACGAAGTGAAAGAAATGTTACCTTTTGTAAATGATTGCAAATCAATTGTTCATAAACCAATATTTGACAAGATCGAACTATTTGACTTTGTTTCACAAAGAATATTACAGCTAGCACTTGCAGTATCTTTATGTGAAATGTACAGTATCTTCTTCAAAAACGTAAGTATGTCAATTGCATACAATGAACAGTGGAATGCAATTAATCTTTTATTATTAGTTCCACTTAGTCATTTTTTAATGTAAATTATATTGTGGAAGTGACAACAGTGCTTTTATGATAGTAATAAAATATTCATATGAAATATGTATCATTATGTTTTTAGGAGACATACTATAAATGTAGCTGTGGTTTAAGAAGTACTGTTGAACTCTTTTTCATTGCACATTAAAATAGTACAGGCTTGTGGAGACAACAGTGTTAATTAGCTCCTTTTTATCTACACCTCCATATTCATGAGAACTTGCGTTCCATCATTTCAACTTTTGGTTAAAGAAAAGAAAACGTTGTGTACTGTTTGAAAGTTTTCCATTAACCAAATTTCGTTTGAATTTGCTAAAATTTAGAAATGGGATTATTAGAATGGATGGTAGAATTGCTAATTTTTGTTGCTGTGTTTCAGATGTCGTTTTACAATAAAACAAAAATGTTCATTAATGATTTGCAAAATACATTTGTTAACATAAAGTCTAAATTAAGTAAAAGTGGAAAAATTAGTAGCATCAAAGAATCAGCTTTAGAAAAGTAAGTACACTTTGTGTTCCTAATATCTTCATTGGAATGCATAGCTTTTGCTATATTGTGCAAGAATTATGTTTCTCACTTTGAGGTGCATATTACAAGCAACCTAATGATAGATTCAGATAATCACAAATATGTTTAGTACCTGCACATGAAATATATGAATGACAAGAACAAAGCAAAAGCGTTCTCTTTAGAACTGTCTTAAAGATGGAAATTAATACACTTTTTGCTCTTAAATTTTTTTTTTTATTTCAGAGCCAGTCATCTTGGGGGTCTTTGGGTGCAAACGGCATACCTTCTTAGTGAAAAAGATGAATGGCTGACAATTCATAAGACTCTCTCATGTGGCAATTATTCAGGATATTCTGCTAAGGTTTGTCTCCTAGAAGTTTTGTTAATGTATGTGTTTGTATTCATGGGCTGTGAAGCAGAGGATTATGAGTTTTTGTGATGTACATTAAGATTTAAGTAGTGTTAATATTAATGTTAAAAGCAGTCCTTTAATTGTAGAAATTGTTTCCTTAATACAATTTTCCACTATTTCTATTTCTCAAAAATAAAATTAGAATCCAACAATATTTAAATTTTGAAAAGACTTCCTTAGTAGCAATTTAGAGTTTACTCGCAATTACCTAATTTATTCCCTTATGTACTCGTAAACACATGGTCATCTTGAGAATTATGTTATTCACCATTCTGATTATTGAACTCTCACTTTTAGTAATTTGTAATACTTAATTGAATTTGTATTGTCTTTTTCATTACTTGACCATACAACCCAACTGGTCCTGATGTAGTGTATTATTTTCAGGTTCTGTTCAAGAAGGCCCTTGAAGTTTCAATGGAAATCCCAGTTGAAAATCTTGGGTGTTCTCCTGGTATTGTTGAAATAACATACTGGCTTAAATATATGAAGGGTGTCCCTGACAAAACAATCTTGCCATTGATTTTAAGCTTCATAACCAAATGGCGTGACACTGATCGCAAGGAACTTCTTTATGACTGGTTTGTTCCTGTGTATATATTTATTTATCGCGGTGAGGCATACAGAGGTCATTTTAAAAATACATCACTATACAATGGAGATAAAAAATTATTTATTTATCAAAAATATCTGTACAAGCCAATGTAATCTTCATTCTCCCTTTTGATAGCTCCCCAATATTTTAACATAATTTGTTTTGTACACTTTAACTTTTTGTTGGGGAGCTATCTGATTACTCCAATCACCTCATTGGAAAGTTAAATATTGGTATCAAACTGTTTTCCACAAAGTGATTGCTCTAGTTTAGGGAACAAATTAAAGTCTGGTGGACCAAATCAGAACTATAAAGAGCGACAAAGAATTTTCATCCATAGTTCTAGAATATTTCATTTCCTGAGGTGACAACATGTTGTGCCTAATTGTGCAAATGACAACACCTGCTGCAAATGACAGGCCTTCTTTGAAGATTTTTTGGGCAAAAACCTTTTGGGTATATTTTTTGTACAAATGAATTCTAGGGCAGTATTATTTTGCAAAGACTCCATTTCGCCATGTAATCTTCAATTTTGCTCTCTATTATTGACCAGATTTTTTTATCCATGGTAACTGAATGTTTCCCTTTAAAACAGATTTATGTTGTGACTCAAAATGTTACATCCAGGTTTCATGTAAGGCAACAGTCTTTTCCAAACACTGCTTTGCTTCTGATTAGTAATGCTGATACAATTCTGTAATTCTCTTGCAACATGCTTTTTGCTCTTCTTTCAAAAGGATGTTACAGTTGTTCTAGCCACTTGAGTAAATTTTCTCTTTTTTTTATCAAACTTCTTGCAAAAGTCATTAATTTTAGATGTGATATCTTCAATTTGAAATAGATTCTATGTTTTTGTACTTTACTCGAAACTCCCAATAATATTTTCAAAATTTTCTAAAAAAAATGGCCTAATGAACTTCGTAGGTCTCTTATGTGTCAACAGATGACAACCTGGAACAGGATGTAAGAAAAATGTAAACTAAGAAATAGACTAAAGAAATGGGAACTATCTAGTGTAAAAAAGTCTGATTGAATACATTTTGTAGCACCTTAAGTTATTTTTCCCCTTTTTCTTTTACAGTTGTGCCTTTTGCAATTCCTTTTTTGTACAGAAATATGAGTGTTAGATATTAATAACAAATTTTCTTTACAGTGATATTTCAACACAACCTTTTACTAATGTGGAAAAATTAGTTGAGAAAATATATTTTCTCTCTGCCTGTGTTAAGAAATACCCACATATAATGGAGCAACATATTTGGGATTTTATCATCGTTTCTGCAGCATATTATGCACAAAATTTGAAACATATTCAGAAGTTTTATTTTTCAGAAGAAATGGATAATCTTTTAAATGTTCAAAGTTTAGAATGTGAAAAATTGCGTAATGTGTTTGTATTCAGTTTTGCTACATTTGACCTACTAAATGCCATAACACAATTTTGCCAGAATGTCAAGAAAAAAGAAGACAGTGAAGTGGCTAATTTTGAAGATTATGTAAATGAGTGGAAAAATGTTTTTGGAGAAGAAGTTCATATTATACTCACCAATATTTTTGTTTCTGCATCTGGTAAGTTTTATTATGGAGTCTTCTGTCAACTTGTTGACGTATTGTTTCAAATTTGAAACTTCTTTACATTTATAATTACAAATGAATGTCCTATTAGCAATTGCTCAGTAGTTCTTTTTACTTTCTTGTATATGTACGTGTATATGGAGTAATATATGTAGTAAAGAGAAAGTTATGTAATGCTGCAGAAAATCAATTTCAATATTTTAAGGAAAATACAGGTTTTGGAGACCCTAGATGCCACAAAAGCTTTTTTTTAAACCGGCCATCTGATGTCTGTGAACAACTCTAGCCTAAACTATGCATAGAATTTTTTTTCCAATCTGGTTAAACCCCTATTAATATCACTGCACTTGAAGCTCTGTGATTTTAGTTGTTGATTGTGAACATTTGTTAATTTTGAGGGTACTTTACATCAAATTTTTGTGTGTTGTTTGGAATTTACAGGTGCTTGTTACTGTCATAACTTGTTATTTTACTGCTTTTTTCTTTTTAACTGTGATAATTTCTAATAATTCATAATAATAAAAATTTCATGTGTCAAATAAAATATTTATGTTCTTTACATTGAAAATTCTCAAAGCATGTGCTTTTTCCACAGCAAAACACTTATTGCCGATCCCTGCCAATGAAAAAGTGAAAAAGTTGTTCCTATATGTAGTAATTTGCTTCATCTAACATGTTCTGATAGTCAGAATCCATGTTTTGTTGGACCTTGATACTAAAAAATTGATTTACAGCAATTGTGATCAATGTTAGCAGCTAATCTGTTCAGAGGAGTTTTTCCAAAATTGATATTCCTCCAGAGAGATTGCACAGCAGAGTGTTGTGGATTTTCTTAATTCAAAAATTTCTTATATTTGATGTAAATGCTTTACCAACTTAATTTCTCTAAAATTTATCTGAACCAACTGAAAGTGTTTTTGAATGATCTTTAAAAAAAATTATAAGAGGTTTTCTGCTTTATCTAGTATTCATATTCTGACAATAATTATGTTTCTCAATTGTTATTATATAGGATACCCAGATAAAACAAAGCCTTCTTTCCTTGGGCACCTCTTCTTACAAAAATATTGCTCTCTAATGATCAACGTAAATGAAGAAAGTGTTGCTGTTGAGGATACTTCCAAGAAAGTGGAAAGAACTATTTTGATGGCTTGTTGCAAGTTATTACATTCTCCAGTGTCATCACTTCAGCTGACAGCATATCACATCTTCAAAAAGTTAGTAGCTCAAATGATGAATTTGAAATATTATTATTTTCAATATCCATTAAGATTTCATTTATCCGATTTAAAAGGAGTGGGTCAGGTTCATTTTAGATGTAAAGTATGTTGCAGATATTTTATTTTTATATATGTAATATATGGCATAGCATATCAGGAAAATCTCTCCACAGTTACTCTTTGCTGATGAGCATGTTAGAAACAGAAATTATGTTGGCAGCACGAGCTGCAGCTTGTAACAAAAGATAACGTAAATCCTGTACTCACCACAATTATTACAGATTGTGGAAGCATTGTCCCCTTTCACTTGTTTCCCAATTATCTGATTGGTACCAACATTAATGCAATTTTTAATAGGAGGCCCTTACTCAGCTCAGCGAGGAGAGACTTTCGTGGCGCACTATATATAAACATACTTGCTTAAAATCATGTTTACAAAATATTTGTATAGAAAATTATGGTAATGATATTGAACATACTAAGGATCTGGCCATCAGTAAAAGAACCTTGTAGATTAATTTACACAAATATGGGGAAAAAACTGTATAGTATGTAACTCTAATAGTTTTCAGAAAAAATTATTATCTAACAAGTTTGTGAAAATTAAGTAAAAAAACCAAGGTTCAGAGAAGAACAAACAATTCAGAATATGACACTATTTTGTAAAATAAATTGTTGCACTTGGTACCATTTTAATTATGCTTGTATCATGAATTTTGTGTGTTTCAAATTTTTCAGAAATCTGATTTATCTTATTAATAATGATGCCAATGGTCTGAGTAATAATCAGGGCATGGAAGAAAGTACACCAGAACAGTTCGAAATTTATCCTCTTCTTAATGCCCTGCAAGACACACAGACTGTGGTGGACACCATGCTTACCGAGTTCTCAATTGGAGATAGTTGTATCATACAGCCACATACTGACTCATATTATTATACAGCTGCATATTTATTGCTGTGGAATCTTGTATTACATGCATGTGACCTGGCAAATTCAGAGTTGCGGTATCAGTATGCAACATTATTGAGGTATGTAATCTTTGTTTTGTTTTGTCATAACACGGGAACACAGGCATGAGAATTTCTTTCATGAAAAATTTGGAGAACATAAAAAATGTCTGTACTTCTCCAAAACGTCTGTACTCTTCCTTGTTGTTTAAGCCCCGGCAATTTACTGAATTTAACGACACACATTTGGTAAATTAAAACAAGTTATATCACAGGTATCTGTGGATTCAGTAATATGCTCGGGTGATAAATTTAGAAAACTATGGCAGCAATAATAGAACAATGAGCTTATTGGTTTGTTGTACCTTGTAAGAGTGGTTTAAAGAAAGTACTATTAAAATTATATTAAAATCAATGAAATCACCTAAAAATGAATTAAAAATCATCTAAAAAGGTAAAAATGACTTGCTAGTCGAAATTGATGAAAAATGCAAAAAAAGGCTTATGACATTGGGTCTCTTCATTTTGTCATAACATAAAATGACTAAGTGGCATTGTTCTAATGTGAAAAGAAAAAAGATGATATTTCATGATAATCCGCCTCCATAGCTGCCTAGACACACTCACAAACACGAAATTATTAATCAGACAATCAAATATGACATTTTCTTCTCTTTGACTATATGTTCTGCTACTTGATCTCTGGTTCTGCTTTCACATTTTCCTGTCTCCTAATACTCCTTTTGATGCTTCATGGGTGTATTTTTCAAAAAAACTGGTATTTTTATGCAGTGTCTCCTATTCTTGCCGAAGTCAAATTTGTTCATACATGAAACAATTTTGAACACTGATTTCAACTGTAAACAAACAAATGTATGTATGTATTATAATTTTTCAGTAGGAAATGTTCAGAATTTGCTTTTTAACTTTTTCAGAAATGAAGGATTCTTACCAAGTCTTCTAAACAACTTATTCATTTTAATGCCGTCTGAAGTTCTGGAAACACAGCCTAAAGCAAAAACAACAGCTTTAGGAAATATGTTTGGAGAAGCTCCTCAATTAAGTTTGGGCACTGAATGCACGAGCCAACAGCTTCAACACATGGCGTGTTGGGTAATTATTTAAGTACTTAGTAATCATTTCTTTTCTGTGATTGTATACACACACCACACTGCATTTCCACTATGCATTACCGCACCACATCACACCACACCGCACCATAATATACACCTCGCCCTACACCCCATGCACCCACACCACACCCCATCACACACACACACACACACGCACGCACGCACGCACGCACGCGCGCGCGCACGCGCGCACGCGCACACGCGCACACGCGCACACGCGCACACGCGCACACGCACACGCACACGCACACGCACACACACACACACTCCATATACACACGCACTCACATCACATGGATGATTTAAATGAAACACATAATTTGGCTCATGCTTAAAATAGGGTTTGAAAATTTTTCTAGCCAAAACGTTTAATTAATTAAATCATTAATATAAATTCCTGATAACATGCTTTATTCATCATATACACTGCATTTGTTACACTGAATTCAGATTTGTTTTCTGCCAGCTGTAAATATAACAAATTGATTTGTCAAAGGATCAAATGTTTCAGATTTGATATGTTGCTAGTGTTGTGAATTTTGTTTATGATTAAATGTTTGTGTGTAGGTCTGATTGGTCATATTTGTTTTCAAGTTGTATTAATTCGTTATAATGTAAATATAATTCCTTGTCTTTATTCTAACAAAACCTTAACCGGGTCACAGATATATTGTTGGGCAGTAAGCAGATTACCTGCTCTTGTCCGCCAGTGGTGGAGTGATACAAGGGCTAAAGCAAGTGCAATTGTCTTAAAAACTACAGTGCAATATGTAACCCCATTACTTTGTACAAGAGATTTACAAGCTATTCAAAATCAGAATACAAAATGGAAAAATATGGAGGTAAGTTTTTGTTTCATTTTATGGTGCGTATTTTTCTTTTCTTTTCTTTTTCTAATATCAAATAAGAATTTTTGAAAAAATGCAAATAGTATTTCAAATTCAATATATATGTTTTAAACACTCACAAATATTAATTTCAGTTGGATTAGAAATATTCATTTGAATGTCTTTCTGAATCCTTGACGTTAAATTGAATGTGCTGATTCACTAAAATCAAGAGCAATGCTTGCTTTGTGATGCAAGAATTTTCTACTTGTTCATATATAATTTTGGCGTGTATAACAACATGCATTGCTTGATGACAGTACTGACTCTATTATGATTTTACTCACTTTCAAAGTATTGATTATTAAAAGTTGCTTTGCGTCATTAATACATGTATTCTTACAAACCTACTGTGTTCTAGGTCAAAGTTCACAGTAAAGCTCGTCAAGTTGTAGCAGTTTATTCTGTGGATGAATCACAAATGGAGCTCATTATAACTCTTCCGGAAGAATACCCTTTAGCCACTATTCAAGTTGACACTCACACTTCTTCCTTGGTTGGAACAAGTCATTGGCGTTATTGGGTGAAACAATTGAGTATATTTTTAACTCATCAGGTTTGTAATAAATATTGTATGTTTATTCCATGTACAATTTGAAATTAAAATAATATTCTAGAAAAAATTTCAGATGGTATTTATCGAGAAAAATGAATATAAATATAATATAATGTATATAAATAGAATATTTATGTACTTTATAATTTTGGAAGAATATAAAATCAGGTTTAATGTAGAGTGCAATATATCAAATAAGAAATTAGTTGGGTAAAACAGAAAGGCAAAAAATAATTCCTTATCAATATCAATTTTCTCTTGGCTATTGAGTGTATGATTTTTGTCACATTTTGTAATAATATATAGTTTTTATATGAATTTAAATATATGATTGATGATGATGATAATGATGATGATAGGGAAAGCAATTAATGGAAATTAGTGTCTGAATATGCTGGTTTTATTTCTTAAGTTTTAAGTAAAATTAAGTTGCTGATTTTGTATATAATTTTCCATTTGAACTGCCAATTGATTTTTTCTTTCCTTTTTCAGAATGGTTCTCTTTGGGATGGATTAGTTTTATGGAAAAGCAACTTGGATAAACGTTTTGAGGGTGTAGAAGAATGCTATATTTGCTTTTCTGTCCTTCATGGTACAAATTTCCAGATACCAAAGCTTTGTTGTAAAACCTGCAAGAAGAAATTCCATTCTCCATGTTTGGTAAAGCATTAGCATATTATAAAACTATTCTTTATGTTTAATTTTTTGTCTAGATTTGATTTTTCAATGATTTTTATGAGTTCAGCTTTACTTTTAAAATGTTTGCATCTGTGCCTCCTTTTTTTTAACACAATTATTCACATACATTTTAATTCAATTTTACTTTCTCACTACCGCTTTCACAGTAGACAGACAGTTATGTAATGCTGCATGAAAAATCTGTGATTTTTCGGAAGAAAAACTTATTACGGGGTCTTAGTAATGAAAGGGTGGATAAATTCAGTTGCTAACTTTAGAAAAAAAGTCCTCTGTCATGTAATGTAGCCCGAATCTATGGTTTTGTTGGATACCGAAAAAGCAATTGCCAGTAAAACATCTGTCTATCCATCTTTCTGTGAATTATGCTGGCACCTGAACTGTTCAGCCAATTTTCTCCAAAATCCCTGATCGATCTGACTGATGTTCCAGCCCCTAGTATTTAAAACCAATATTTTAATTCCAGGGACATTTTCAAACAAATTACTGCATCATTTTTATTAAATTTTGTTGTTGGATTGTATGGTGGAGTGTAACAAAATGGTGCAGGTTTCATTATAGTTAAAAAAGAAGTTTTTTCAAAAATTGCATAAATTTAAATTTTTTTGATTCTTCCTTCAATTTCAATTATAAAGATAGAGATTTTTTATCTCAACGAAACCTGTTCCTTGAAGATAGATTTTGAAATAAGGTTGTGTAGAATTTTTCAAAATTTTGAAAAGGTTTTGCGTAAATTTGCATGAAATATAGGCAAATTTTTAATTCTGTTTATACCTTTTTTTCTTTTCCCCCCCCCAAAAATGGCTCCATCGCTTCTAATGAAAGTTTGTTGTTGGATAGTGTGCAGGACATTTAAGAGAATGTTGCAGGTCTCATGTTTGTTAGAAACCCTGATTTTTTTAAAATTGAATAAATTCAAATTTTTTTGGTGTCTTCCTACAACTGCAATTATGAAGGTGAACATATTTTTCTTAATGTTCAATTGTGTTCAGAAAAAGTTGATCTAAAAATAATGTCATGTTCAATTTTTCAAAAACATGACATGAAAATTTTGTGTCAAATAGGCAATTTTTATTTTCTTTACCACTTTTGTTAAAAAGGCACAAAATTTATAGATTAAATTTAGACTTAAGATAGCATAAAGAACACTTAAGAGAATGTTGCAGCTCTCGAGTTCGTTAAAATGCTTGGTTTTTCACAAATGTATATAACAATTAAAAATTTGTTGGTGTCTTCCTACAACTACAATTGTAAAGATACATTTTTTCTTAATGAAATGTGTTCATCAAAAACAGATCTTTAAATAATTTTGTGTTCAATTTTTTGAAAATATTAGTATTTTTTGGGTAATCGGGTGACAAACATAATCACTCTCTTCGAATTTACTAGGCTTCCTGAACGTAATCCAGGCAATTGGATGCTCCATCAGTTAGAATTTGTATATTATTTCATATTTCTTTGTTTGTTTCTTACATTTGTGCTTTTGTTAAACATTTGCAAATTAATCTTTTAGAAATTATTTAAAACCCATTTGAAATATATGAAATAAAATTTGCTAGCCTTCAGGGAATATCAGATTGGAATGCAACAATGACTCAAGAGCTAATTTCTGAGAATTACATCTAATTGCTATTGTTACATGTTATGGACACTATTTATGTGTATGAAAATAGTTATAACTGTCAAATTTGTGTTGATATTTGCTTAAAAATATTTAGTTTTGCACCAAACGTTCTATGATTTGTAATGAGTTTTCCAAAAATCAGTTAGATGTGTTAATTCAGAGAGAAATGGTGGTATAAACAGTATTACATAATTATTACGAAAGGCGAAAAAGTATGTGTTTTTTCGCACCACTAGTGTATATTTCACATTATGTATAATGTTTGATGTATTTCAATTCATAATTCACTGTTCTTTTTTCTTTTTCAGTACAAATGGTTCAGCACTAGCAATAAATCAACTTGCCCCATTTGTAGAAATATGTTCTAAAACTTGTAATAATTTTTAAACATCAAGATATAATTTCATTGTTAATACTGTCATAAATATTTTGTTAATAAACCTATTTGATTTTAAGAATTTTCTGTAAATTTGCACATTAATTTATTATCAGTTTCACCAGAGTAGTGAGAATTTTGGGTTTAGAGGTAAAATCAGAGGAACAATTGTCCCCTGAAAATTTTTGATCCTAAATATGATGTATTTATAAATATGATCATTCATCTAGAAACTAAGAAAACTATATTTTAATATGTAATTTGGGTATGTTAATAAAACTTACTATTCCATTGGAGCCGTTGTTTTATTTGCTATTACAATTCTTCAAAAAAATATTTATTACTGCTTAAAAAAAGTCAAAATTTAATTAACATCCCTTTCAAAGTTTTCTTTGAAAATTAATGATTTGATTCCTGTAAGGAAGCAATGCCCCTTCATAACCCTTATTGTGAAAATTGAATTCAACTCCTCTGCATCTTACCTGTCACGAAAATAATATTTTTATATTTAAAAACGTATTTAAATGATCACTATGGGTTTATTGTAACAAAAATGCGATGAATCTTTTAATGAGCTTTGCAAGTAAGGACTATTTTCTTTCTTTCTTTTTTTTCCGAAAAAATAATTAAACTTTTTAAACTCTTGAAAAGTTAATAATCACTTCAAGAATGAGTTTTTTAAGTCCATTTTTACCTGCATTAAGATATTAGAAGAGTTTTGGCACATCATTGCGCAAACCTTTATCGATCTTCTGGGCTTGCGCAAATTCACAAGTGATGCGAAACTTGAACTGCGCATGTACAGAAAATCAATAGTGTAGTCCGTTACGACGTGCAAAAACTCTGTATAATTTGTGTACAACTTCAATTCTGGTATTTGTCGTCTTGAATTTTTTCTGATAACTTATGCCCGAAAAATTTCTTTAGCATGGCGGAATGATCGATTACCATGCGATGTAAGTTTCCCGCCAAATCCGACGGAATTGCGGGGCCCGCTAACACTGGTTCGATTTCCAGTGGCGCAGAGGTTTAAAAATGCAATCTTGCTGCCCGCTAAGGTGTGAAAGGGATGCGGTATTCCACGCATTGCCAAAACAGGAGGTGGTGTTTCCAGCCATGGTTCGCGAGTTAAGCTAAAGATCCTGTATATATAAAAAAGTGTTAGTTAAACTATAACTTAAGAACGTCTGGACCAATTTTAATTATCTAAGGTTAGTTGGATTCGTCTTCGTCCAGAATAGCAATATAACTATTAAAATATCGGGAAAATTCACAAGAAAAGAAAAAAAACGCAATACTCACATCGAATGCAACACACGGCACGGATTTTTAAATAACTCACAAATGAAGCGTTCTATTGCATTATAAACTATTTTTTTAGGCCGAAGGTCCCAAATAAACGTTTCTGACACCGTAATCTATAGGATGAGATCTTGAACATTCTACTATATTTTTGCTGGTTTTCAATTTAATTTTCATTGAATTTCCATTCAAACTGCGATCCACACCAGCTTCATTGCTGCTGGCCGTCGCTCGGGGTGGCGTCGAGCATGACAGGACGAGCTGGGGAGCGTAGTAATATGAACTAGTGCTGAGCTGGGAAACGACAGCGAGGGGCGATTGCTGCATGAGATCAACCAAGTCGTAATGGCGCTAATAGAACAGAAATACGACGGGTGGACGGCGCCATTTTTCAGCGAGGGTAGTCTGCGACTCCTGTGGGAGCATCCGCTCGGAAATAGTAAATCTATCGGAAGTGCGCTAACGTGAGTGACGAACGAACGGACGGAGACACGCTACACGTTACTCGGTATTATGAGTAAAATGTATTGTCAAATTTTATCTGTCTGTTAGAACCGATTTAACGTAAAAAATACTTATTCTATAAGCTGACATTTAAACACATTACAGACACCACCCATGGACAAAGTTTTTGTTTTACAGTGATATCCCTAAAGATTCCGAATATTACGCCCGCTTTATTTGTTCTTTAACGTAATAACAAAACGAAAAATATCGCATATCACAAGGTGCTCCACTGAAGAGAATCAATCTGACAGCAACCCATACAGCAAAATACATATTAGTTTCAATAAAGCAAATGTCTTGCTGACACGCCGTATAAAAACTTGATTTTTGTACCTTTGTTGAATTTTTATTTTCTTTATATATGTTATCTATCTATATACAAAGTCGGGTCAGTTCATTTATAACTCAAGAAAGGCTGAACCAATTTTAATTATATCTGATTTGTTGGATTCATTTCCAACTCGAATGGCAGAATAACTATTAAAATATCCTAAAAAATCACTAGATTGCGCTATATAACAAAACTTAATGTTAATGTCAAATGCAACCCATAACACATTCAGCATGATTTTTTGAATCCATATCGTTAAATAACTCTTACATGAAGCGTTCTAGAACATTAAAAACTAAAACGTTGAAGCCAATGGCAAAAAAACCTTTCTCGCGCCTTGATCTACCGGATGAGATTTTTGAACATTTACACTATTACATTTTTGCAGGGACAGAGGTGGGAAGATGAAGAGAACAACTTCTGCCGGGTTCCGCTAGTTTAAAAATATACTAATAAAAATGTATTATTTACTTGTATTTTACATACAAGTAACCATGTACTCATTATAATGATAATTGTATTGAAAAATAGTAGTGTCAAAACTTCCTCTATTAGTTGATAATTACGAACATGTTTAGGACTGCATTTACAAGCACTCTGAAGTTTTTTTTTTTTGTTTGAACGATTACTAATGTTCAAAGTAGGTAATATTTCTCCCAAAGTTAATAATTAATACAATTTTCTAAAATAAATATTTAGAAAAATAGACAGTTAATTAAACAATACGGAAGGGGTTACTTCCACTAGCCCAGGGGCCCGAAATTCGTCGGCATTTTACATATCCAGTGATAGGGCACGTGGATCCAAGTGTTTCATACACTTCTTTTTATTATAATGTAGCACCTTGGTATATACATATATCATCACGGATATAATATTTGAATCATTTTTAAAATGACAAGGTAGTGATATACGTGTCTAATAGAATAGCGCTTCTTGAAATCAATTGTGTGAACAAGGCGTGCAGCAAAATCTATACAAAACGAAAAACATCATTGTAAATAACAAGTATGATAAAAAACAAACCTCGACAATCGCATAATACAGCCAAATTAGTAATTCTCTAGGAAATGCTTTCCCGCCAACGTTGTGACGTCACTCTGGACGACTTTATTCTTCGACGGTTTCAATACTTATACCATGTCTCTGAAGGTTGGCGGCAATGTAGTCACCGGAAATACATTCACGTGTTTCATTTTGCCGTTCAAGCTGGTTTCACCATACCCTGAACAGTTCACTACCGGTTCCTGTTTGGAAGTGTCGTGTGTTAGGCGAAGATGAAGTAAGTGTGAATTTATTGTATCTGCATTAAAATTCGACATCGGAGTGAATTTTCTCCCCATGTAGTTATTACTTATTTCTGAAAATCGCCTTGCATTTAATGATTGTTTACGATGTTATTGTAGGATCGGCCTTTGTGCGTACAGTGGGTATAAAATATACCCTGGCCATGGCAAGACCATGGTCAAAGCTGACGGGAAGGTAATGTCATTATTTTTCTTACTGAATGTGGGTATCTAGTTGTAATAAATATGCTGTACTTCAGACAATATTTTGTTTATAGGTTTTTACCTTCCTGAACGCGAAATGCGAGTCGTCGCACCTCATGAAGAGGAACCCTAGGAAAGTGACATGGACAGTTTTGTACAGGTGAGTTTTCTTGTTCAGAAGCTTTTTCGCTTCGCGAAAACAAATCTTAGTTATTTGGTCAGATGATTTGGGTTTATTTTGGTGCATTTAAGCAACAAACCCACATGGTAATGTGCATAACCTAACTTAAAGCATCTACAATGAGAGCCTTTTATATTTTGTGATATCAACTTAAAATTTTTAAGGAGATAATAATCTCTTATATCCGACTAAGTGGTAATTTATTTTATTATCTTTTCCATATGTTTCTGTATGAAGTTCTTATATTTTGTATAGTTCTGAAAGTTGAGGTATGGAAACCCATGCTCCATTCCATTTTCCTTTATTTCTCTCTTTATTATAATACTTTTGGTGCTGTAGTCATTGATACTACACATGTTGCGAAGCAACAAAACCCGGTGACTGTCAAAACGGTCACAAAAGTACTTAATAGAACTAGAATTAATGAGGACATTTTCACATGTTGTTCTTCATAACAAAATGGGTAGTATTGCAAGAGTAGGAGAATTTCTATGGAGCATCTGCTCATTCTCATAAATATATACTCGAAGTAGAAACATCACCACTCCTGGTCTAGTGTAATAAGCCAGACAGTAAATTTGGCACTTAATGGTTACAGGAGTGTTAGTAATTTCATTAGGTTTGATTTTAATTAATACAAAATCATTTATTCATGTAGCATTGATGAAATGCTTAATTTTATAAACAGGATTTGCCAAAAGTTTTGTATGGAGTTTTCTGCTGAAGTTAAGAAAATGTAATGGGAATTAACATATTGCTCTTCCTCCTAACTATTTTGAGAAAGTTTTGGGGATGAATAATTCTCTGATAGTGATTTTGCAAGGCACTATTGCACTGAGAGCTTCTTTTTGGATTATTCTTGGAGTCTAAATTTATCTGTAAATTAGTGGTTCTTTGCATGAAGATGGAAATAATGAAACTTTTCCTCTATTGTTTTTTAAAGAAGTAAGGTTCACTCGGGAGGGTATTTATTGTTGTTTAGACTTTTTTGAACATTTTTCTAGATGCTACCAATTGCGCTTTTGATTGCACAACATTTTTCACTAGATTTGTAGAATTTTTTCATTTTACAGTGTATGGTGGAATCCAGGTTTTGCACAGTGCTACACATTTGGATTTGATGAAGTCTTTTTCCCAATTTGATTAGTGAAACACCTGTGTTGTAGTATAATTCTATTTATGGGTTTTTACTCCTAGTGTATATATGTAAAATACAGCTGGCTTTGACCTTTTCTACATTAAGATCATTGATTGTTAGTTTCTCCTAGGTTTCAATTCCATATGTAATTTTGGTGAAATTATGGTGTTGAATGTCATGGTTGTGGCTAGCTAGTCTGTTATTGATTCCATCTATTGCTTTGGTGGCTGCTGCTGTCTCTTCCTATATGTATTAGCTGAATGATGTTTGTTTTTATATAAGGTCATTCCTAAGTACTCAAAATTCTTTGCTACTTTCAATGGCTCATTCTTATGTACAGTGTATCTTCTGTAGAGATTCTTCCACCTTTTTTTAAAGATTGCACTGTTTTTTCCTTGTTGATGCTAAAACTGTTTTTATCAACCTTTTTCTCTAATTTGTGTAGTTGCATGCTAGTCTTTGTTTGTGCTTCCGAGGGACATATTGTCTGCGTATGTGATTGCTGTTTCTTGTGATGCCCTGAGGGTGATATAGGTGTTGGCTGTAGCAATATTGAACAGCAGTGCTAAGAGGGTCTCCCTTAGATGCCATTTGCTTGGGTGGTGGTGGTTTCAAGTAGTCACTCCATCATAAATTTCAATTTCATAGTATCCTAGAATGTTTTTTCGATTTTTTGGATATTTTCTGTTTATCAGAACAAATTGTTTTCCCCCATATAATGGACATTGTAAAATATATATATACATATTTAATATGTTGGTAAATAAACCTCTGGAACTTACAGAAACCATTTTCTAATTGCTCCTATCAGTAAAAAAAATTAATGTTGAAAAACTATGAGTTTGTCATTATTGCAAAGGATTGGTCATTTATTCTGTATTTTTGAGAAAATTAGAAGCCTGGCTAGGATCTTAGTGAAATTTCAATACTGGTCCACATGTTCTTGCCCAGTATTACATCTTTTGTGCTTGTGATGAAATTTTAATCTGTCAATCCTCTGATACTCTTTTGACGAATAATGTATTTCTGAAAAATTTGTGATTACTTACAGGGTTGTAGCAATATATTTTCAGTGTGATTTCAAATTTTATTAATTTTCAGGCGCAAACACAAGAAGGGTCTGGAAGAAGAAGCTGCCAAGAAAAGAACAAGGCGCACTCAGAAATTTCAGCGCGCTATTGTTGGTGCGTCTTTGACAGACATCATTGCAAAGCGTAACATGAAGCCAGAAGTACGAAAGGCCCAACGGGAACAAGCTATTAGGTTGGTATTTTAGAAATATTTTACTTTTTATTAAGAGTAATAATTTTAAAATGATGAATAACAAATTATCTGTCAATCCACTGATATATATAGTGATTAATGTAGAGTTCTGATGGGCAGTTTGGAATTTAAAAAAATTCATTGAAATTTGCTAGTTTACTGATAAAGAAATGTTTTACAGGGCTGCAAAAGAACAAAAGAAAGCTGTAAAGGCCTCCAAAAAGCAGGTTGCACCTCCTAAAGTAAGTATATTTGGACGGAACGTTTTCTGTAACCATTTCTTCCTTTTTTCTTTATTCTTTTGCTCTCGAGAGCAATGTATGGAAGTTGAAGAAATGTATTTTCTTAATTAGGAGTCCCGTTTTTCCCATAAAGGTGAAGGTGTGCATGTTTTTTAATTGGGTGGAATCAAGTGTTTAAAAAGAACAATTTTAAGTTGTCTTGCAATCCACTTAGGTGAAGTCAGGATTGACAATGAAGTTTTACACAAGTACAAAAATGTTAAGTTATGATTGAAAAATCAATCCTATTGGCATAGTAATTGGGGTTTCTAGGTTAGCTATTGAAGATGTCATTAGACCTGTAGATGGTAGATGATGTATCCTCCCAGAAGCAGGTAGGATTACCCATTCTAATGTGAGGCAGGTGAAGAAAGAAAAGAGTAAGAAATTCAGGGCAAGTGATGAGACTAGTATTTTATGAAAGAAAATTAAATCATAGAATTTTCTCCTATCCTGAAGAGTTTCAAATTTACATTAATTGTAGAATTTGAAAAGGTCGTGATTGAATCTATGAATTGGGGTTTAATTTCTGAAAGCTAGGTGGCATAGAAATTGACATTGCACCATTTCCAAATGATCGATAGATAAATTAGTGTAAGGTGATAAACTGATGAGCATATTCTAAAACAGGACAAATCAGTTTTGTACAGAAATAAGTTATCGGCAGATTGGAAGGATTTGTTGTTGTGCAAGATTGGACTCAAGGGCACAGAGCTTTATTTACTGTTACAGTAATATGTATCAAGTTTATAGTAAAAAAATCGCTGAACCCAGATTCTGTGTTCAGGGATTAACAATTTAAAGAATGTTGCGCAAACTTATCAGTGTGGAGTTCCATTTTGTTTGTAAAGCTCTGGTGAGAAGGCAGAGAAATCCTCCTGTAAGCGGTCTTTGTCTCTCTCCCCTCTCTCTTCATATTCAGAACTGCAATATTTTAGTTTTTAACGCTTCGTTTAGGAGTTATTTAAAGATATAGTCAAAAAGCAGCAGTTCTTTAGTTATAAATGGTGTAACTAACACAGCTTTGTGTGTATGTGATATATTTATACAATTTGTGATATTGATTTATTTCAGCAAAAGCAAGCCCCCAAGCAGAAGGCTTCTCGTGTTACGCAGAAGAGTGCACCTCGTGTTGGTGGCAAACGTTGAAATTTCTGTATGTAATAAAGTTGTGAAAATAATGAAAGATTTTTCTTTGAACCCTGAACAATGAAACAAATAAACAGATCTGACTTGCAGATGTGATGATAAAGAGCTCTTGCCTTGTCCTTCAAATCTTATAAATGTTTTGTTGCAATTTAAGAACAAAAATTGTGTAAAATCTGGGGCAGAGGAGCTGTGAACAAATTTGAGAGGATGGTTTAAGGTGGTATTAGCTCAGCAAACCTCCAGCTAAAGTTTGTGAATTGCCATGAGTATATTATTTTGCGATTAATTTTGGTGTTTTGTGCAAGTTTTCAAGCTTGTAAGGTTTCATTTTTTTCTTTGTTCCATAGGTTAAAGCATGAGATGTTGTCACTGAAATTTCAAGTCAGTTTCTAGAAATGTGGGCAATGATATTCATATATTCAAGCAATTTCAATGTTTCAACTTTTTTGCCAATATATGTACTTATGAAGTATATTGTAATGCTGCGAAGTAATTATTTTGCCTGCAATGCAGTTGGTGATGAATACAGGGATAATGCGTATTGTCTTTTCTTTGTTAACTTGAAACCTTGACAAATTTGAATTATGGTACCGATGTTATTTAAGTACTTAAATTTTGCATGAATCAGTGTTTAGGGTAATTCCTGAAAATCGCGTATTTTGGTGTTTTTACTGGACGCTTTTGCAATATCCAAAATTTAATTGGATGAAATAAAATCGTATTATCAACTAGTTTTAAATTTACCGTCATTGAGTTCTCAAACTGACAGTGAAGTGTTTGGGGTGGCCTGTGAAATTGTTCTATTCTGCATTTTGTAGCTCTGCGTGCGTGTACTTTTAATAAAGCTTATTGACAAATTAAAATTAGAGGAACCATACGGTTGGACGCAGTTGGAAATGGAGGATTAGTGATATTGCCACGAATTGGGCCCGCGGCTTTTGATTGCGGTCGCTCAGCCATTGTACCAGTTCTATCTTCTCAATCGTATCAGTTTTGTCAATTTTCGCTGAACTTATCAAATAGATTGCAGGCGCGAGTCACGTATGACCTTCCGTTCTGGCGCGAAGCTTCTACTTGGGTTTTTATTTCTGGACGCGAGGGATCTTCACTGTGGAATTTCTCACTATTTCGCGTCTTTCTCAGTCGACGGTGCGCGATCGCTACCGAATGAGCATTTAAAATGTAAAAATATATTTATCACATTATTTCAAGTGGATAAATGGAATGTATGATCATTTAAATTTATTTCAACAGAATTGAGGTTAAATTGTAAGAGTTTATATAGGATTTGAAATAAGTCATCAGAATCTGTCGAGATTGTAGTCTAAATAGATATTGTTTGGTTTATTGATGAAAGGTCTGAAAGAAAAGTTATCAGGAGAAAACTTTCAAATTTAGAAAATGGTGACATCAGGAACTGAGGAACTATCGGGTTCAGAATGTAATGAAGTGGGCAATTTTGCCTACAAAACAAGGTAACAGTAGACCAAGTTTTATTCTGTAGTCTCCCTGTAAGGTTATTTGCTAATGATTCTGGGCATCGTTAACTGCTGGGGTCATTAGTCCGGCAAGTGTAGTACGTTTTCCGCAGCCTGTGGCGGCGGCGGCGGTTTCCTGGATTTGTGAGAAATGGAGGGTTTTGAAAGGGGCAGGTACCAGCATGCTGAGGTGCGGTACTTAAAAAGTAGTAAAAATTATTTGTATACTAAAAAGTTTTGGATTATTTTCTGCATTCTTAGTACCTCAAGAGGAGCAATTCCGAACCAAAAAAATAATAAGTTTAATATTTCACTTGGGTACATACGAGCGAATGTTGCTCAAACGATGTTTACGTGTTGAAATCTTAGCGAACTGACACTAAGTTTAATATCAAACGGTGTATAATTTACAATATGAATTTACGGCGGGACTTCTAGACTCCGCCATCATTTAAAGCTTGCGTCTGACTTGTGATCGTTGGCAGTTGCCATGTGAATTGCGTTATTCTTTCTATAATTTTTATTTTGGTTGCTTTGAACAATAATTTACATAATATTGTAGGCTAGGGTTTTGATTCTTGTTGTTTATTTCAAGCTATTTTACATTTGTTCATTCGAAAAGTTTATTCTTTGTGTTGTGCCATGGCACAAGTTTTCCCAAATCACCCCCACGTACCCGTGCGAGAAGCCTCATGTTAAACCCCCACACTCTTCCTTATTCTTCTATTTCCATTTTAAGATGGAAAGTTTTCAACGACTTGTTATATACATAAAGAATTAGTGACAATTTCCCGCAGAGTGCACGCTCGTGTTATCTCTGCGATAAATTTGTCAATGATTTCTAGCTCTTAGCTTGAGCGGAAACAGCGAAACACCATTCAGTTATCTAGAAAGCAATGAACTTATTTTCAAAGTGCAGGTTATACATTTTGTATGACATTGAGTTAACGCACCTATGCCTGTAATTATTTTAACAAAAACTGTGACCGCCACGTTTAAAAGGTTGCGTTCAAACAACTATGAAACTGACAAAGTTGTCAGAATATGCAAATTCGTCGCCGAATCATTAGCTTATTCCATATGCCGCACGCGTATGTTAGCAGAGTTGCCACTTTGGAGAATTTTGTCCCCAAAATGGGGATTTTTTTTCGTTGTGGGGAAAATAATGTTTTTCTTTTATGTAATAGACGGGGAAATGTTTGGAGATTTTCTTGGAGAAATTATTTTCATCCAAAATAGAGATACATTTTTCTTACAATTATCACGAATAAAAATGAAGCAATAGACGTCAATCTTTCTAATTTATGTATCAAGAGAAAAATAAACGACATGCATAGAAAATGAAAACACGAGAAAAACGAAGATAGTACAGGACTGCGAGCAGCTCGATGATTCGTTGATTTAAATTATTTGAATTTAATGAGACAGGCATTGGAATTGCCAAGGACAGCACATCTCGTTTGCCGTAATTTGTAAAATATCTTTCGTTTTAAAGTAGTTGTATGAACGCTCAGTTTAAAAAAATATAATTATAGTGTATATGCAGCTAAGTTGCTAGAACTCCAAAAAAACTCAACTGTACTACTATTGTACAAGACGGCAGTGAATATAAAAGCTATAATTTAAATGTAATTTAATTATATATTGAAGTCGATAGTACTCAGTGTTAGGAGTTTTTTCCATGAATCACCCATATTTTGAAACAGAATGTCGACAAGCTCTCACTTTCCTTTAATAGTGAAACGTGATATTTGAATACATATATACTCTATGTTTGAATATTCATTGCATGACTGGACAATCATTACAGTGATGAAGTGTGTTTGTTACTTCTAAATCAAATGTATTACCAGCAATCAATCTATTTTATTTAATAACAATATTATCTCCATCATTCAGTCATCACGACCAACGACAGTGAGATGAATTTGCAGGTTCTGGAAACAATTGTGTTGCTACTTTGCTAATTAAAAAAAATTGTAACAATTTATACTGTCCTTTCTTAATTAATACTTGTCTTAAGAACCAGTCCTTTTAAACTACTTTTGACAGAGAATTATATAATTAGTTTATTTAATACATATTATCAATTATTTTATTCGTACTGTGTGAAATAAAATAATTATATAATTCTCCGCAGTCTAACAAATTTGAAAGGGACTGGTTCTTAAGAGAAGTAAAAATTATTTAAGAGATCAGTGTGATTACCACTCTACAAGTGAGTGTTAGTGTTATACCTTTTGTTTATGTAGGGGAAAGGCATGCACTATTATAGTCTCTGGGGAAAGGGTGGCAAACGGTTTTACCTTGGGGTTTAACTTCTGTAATAAAGAGTGTTCTAGTGACAACTCTTAGTACTCGAAGTAATGTTGATGCCACAGTAATTAGTTTATGCACAAATATATTCCATTATTCGTTATTTGGTCAAGCGTTGAGAGTGTTTGAAGTAGTTTGGTGTCTTGGAAATAAAATAAAACCGGAATTTCTATGACATAAGAAACCAAACTAAGATCGTTATTATATATTTTCGGTGTAGTATTGTGATTGGCGTCTTATTTCTATAATAACATTAAAATAAATATTTTAGACTTGCTATGAACATTTCGTTACAAATGATCTTAGGTGAACCTTGGAACATTTTTGTTGTATCTTGGGACTTGAACCATGCAGACAAACATTCTGCAGCAATAGATTCACCATGAAAACACGCACTCGAAAAATCGCGAGAACAGATTTCTTCAACAATAGTGCACTGGAATCGTTGTCCATTGTTTCTGAAAACATTCGCCATTTCACCAAACGCCACCAAGAAAAACTTTGGTTGTGGAAGAAGCCCCGGGTGGTGCATGATTGCAACTGACACTCCAGGATAGAAGAGGGAGAAAGAATGTTTTTAATACAATTTGAAGTCTTAGACAGAAGTCTACGACATATTTATTAAGGCGGATAAGTAACGTAAAACACTGAAGATATCAGTGAACAAATTCTGACGAAGTGAAGGATCAATTTTGTATTTCCTACATAAGACTTAATATATTTGTAACAAATAATGTACTTCAGCTTCCGGGTCAATGACCCCCATCTCGATCAGGTTTTTAACCAGTTTCCCTGATCCAATGAGCGAATGCTGAGATGTAATTCTGGACGTAAATGTAGCTTCACTATACGCACGTTTTGTTGAACTATTCTTTTGCTTGTAATGGTAAGAGTAGAGATAAGGGCGAGTTGCTATTTTGTTAGCAATGCAGAAAAATCATACTTGCAGTTCGTGTACTGATGCAAATAAGTTTTCTATAACTCAGAAACAAAAATGACAATTTTTCAAATATTGCTAATTTTGCTATTTTTAAAATTTATTTTCATTTATCTATGTTAAACTTTTACTCATCTTTCAACTATTTATAGTTAAAATGAATGGAAGGGATTGTGGAACTCTAGAATACGTGCGCAGATAATATTTTCTCCTCTACGCCACACACAGGTTTTTTTTTTTTTTTTTGACTGAATAAAATCTAATATCTACTGTTGATTATGTCATGATTGTTATTCGTTCTTCTGTTGTGAAGATATTATCAAAACAAGCAATGCGTCATGGATGTCATTCATTTAATATTACTTTAACATCAGAGCTAATTTTAAAATGAATAATCCGTCCATTGTGTAAAATAATAGATATTATTGCAAAATCCTGTTTAATTTCACATTTCTGCAACTATAATATTCAAATATATTAGCGATATATTAGTGTCCTAAGGTACAACCACTGTCCCAAAGTAAAACCATTGGTTGTACCTTGGGTCGCGTCATCACGTGCTCAATGAAGGAATAACTCTGTAAGCTCTGGAGCTAGCATAAATAGCTAGATGCCAAAAGCTTCCTAAAACTGCAATCTTTACATGGTATATTTTTGCTTGATTGTCCAAAGTTTATGTACTACAAATTTACGAATGTTTAAAAAGTATCCCAATGTGCAACCCTTTCCCCTAATGCAATGGATAGATGCACTACAGAAGCGCGAAAGTACGAGTAACTGCAAATTCGCGCCATCATACCCCTCTTTCTGAGCGAGGACATCCCCACTGGGTAACTCTATGATGATTGCTATCAATTTTATAAAATTCAAGGTAAGAACAAGGCAATATATAGAGTGAGAGATGAGATAATTATTTCTCTATACTTGTGTTTTTATTTCTTAGCGCGTGAGGTCATGTCTTCACGATGGAATATGCCACGGCATTTTGCGTCTTTCTCGGTTCTCGCATGATCGCCAGCACTGCTCCATGCGGTCGCGATCATGCGACATTAGCGGCACGACCGAGAAGACGCGAAATGCCGTGAGATATTATTCCTTGGGCAACTTTTCTTGAACGATGGATTGACGATTTCGGGTTTAGTGCGGGTATTAGTTACAAAGTCGGACACTAGAGTATTTTAAGTAATGCCCACATCTGTGAAATGAAAGTCAAAACTGCATCTTCTGTTTAACTTTTTGGGAGTTTTAGTGACTTCCTTGAAGGACCTGGACCTGACTCAGCCATTTCTTTCGATATTGAAAATTAACCTGAACAGGGATTCTGCACTATAAAAGCAACTGGCTTTAACTACCTTCTGTTTCGCGCCAACTAAGTTTTAATGCTTGGAAGGTTGTCATCAGTGCCCGCTGCGAGCTTTTGCCTTCAACTGTTTATTGCACAAGGGAGGGGGATCAAGGTCATCGTTCAAGAAAAGTTGCGCGAGTAATACATCGTACAGACAGCCCCTCACGCGCCAAAAAATAAATACCCAATTGTAGGCTATGGGGACGGAACAGATCTTTTGGGAAATGGGATTTAATTATTGTGAGAGTAACGTTGCTTTTACCGAGGTTAAAGTGTCTGGTGCAGGGGGCAGTTCAGAAGTTGGAAAATAATGTAGACGAACATAAAGAAGTGGTAATTGGTTCTCTGTCCAGTTCTCTATGAAGTTGTCTGTGCGTTATATACCACGGTGGCATTGGCAATTGTGCGTAGCATTTTATTAAGGAAGGTATGCAAGGGTTTTAGAACGGAAGAAGCGGCACCTCCCAAGATCGGGGCTACGTGTTATTAAGAGTAGAACTTATTTGTAGAGAAACAGATAATTTTCTATTTTTAGAGATGATTTTGTATTAGTAATGGGATATAATTTGAGAAGGGATTCATAAGTTTTATTTAGTGTATGAATAATACGAGGTTTCAATGGGAGACGAGTATTAAGGAGGACGCGTATGCACTTGATTGGTTTATTTGAAGGGGTCCATGTGGTCGGGTAATTATTTACTTTTAAAAGGGGAGAGATATTTGTTTTTCGCAAGGTAAACATTTTGGTTTCAGCATAGAGTGCCGTAGCACAGTTTGATAAATGGGGAATCTGTGCTGTCAAGATACTAAAGAGGATTGGAGAGAGGGAGTACCCTTGAGGAACGCCGGCTAGAATTGGGGTAGATAAGGATAGGATATTGATTATTTTTTACTATGAAGAATATTATCCTGAGAGCATTGTATTCTTGGAATAGATATTCCAGGAGTCTTAGTTTACGTAACTTGCATTTGTAATGTACATTGTGTCACTGTGTCATTGTAGACAACGCTTCGGGTCGATCCATTTTAAGTAGTCCAGCAATGGTCGCTCGACCATCTCGAAAAAAAAATCATACTTTGTACATAAATTTCGTTATGTTTTGGCTGTTCAAAAACATCTTTAATTTTTTTTATTGTACCTGGTTTAAAAATGGAAATTTTTGTTTTACGACATGCACCATTTTTCGCATTTGTACACATTTACTCTTTTCTAAATTACTCAGCTCTGAGTTGTTGTAGCATTCAAGAATAAAGACATCGGATTCAGTATACTCGTACCTACAAGCCGAAATATGATTTACCTACCTTCTATGTTTTTACTCTTCTCGTCATTTTTAAAGCATTTTCTCGGATTTCATAGATTTTAATATTTTAATCAGGGGCGAATCCCGAGAAAAACTTTGTGTTATAGTAATTTTTTTTCAGCTTCGAAAATATCCGTAAATACGCGGGGAATGGATTGCGGCAGTGAGGAGAAAGAACTGGACTCCCAACGTCTTGTTCTACTTTACGTTCAGTGCATTTTAAAAGTGATTAACAAATGTAAAATTGCCTTCACATTTCACGCAAAATTGCGCAAAAAATACTCAAATTTTCGAAAAATTGTACATGACCTAATTTCAATATCTATTTTTAAGGAACAAATTTTATTAAGGGGTATATCTTAACCTTTAATATTATAGTTGGAGGAGGACGCCGATTTTTTAAATTTTTTTCAATTTTCGGAAAATCAGAATATTTAGAGAAAATGAGACCTGCATCACTCTCTTAAACGTTCTTTACACTATCCTACACCAAAATTTAATTAAAAACAATTTTTGAACATTTTGAAAATATCCCAGGAGCTTTATGTAAAGTACCTTTCAAAATTAAAAATATAAATTTCAAATCAAGAGGCTACGATATCAACCAGATCGATGTGGAAATATTTTGGAGCAAATCGGCTGAACGGTTTAGCCGCTATTGTTCACGGGCGGCCAGGTTTTGACGTCAATTGATTTTTCAGTATCAAGGGCCCACAAATCAGGCCCATGCTACCACGTGTTGGAGGATTTTTTCTAAATATAGCAATTGGATTTATCCACTTTTTCGTTGTCAGGACTCTTTAATAAGAGTTTTTCTGCCGAAAATTCGCCCAGCATTATGTAACTTTCTCTTCTTAAGAAGCTCCTTCTGAAGCGCGAGAAAGTAAAATCGTTTCTGAAAAATTTTAGGGTGGAAGATTTCCTTCAGTTCCCTCCCTGTGGATCCGCGCCTGTTTTAATGGAACGTGCTTCAAGTAATATTTATGAGATATAAAAATGTTCTTCACAGAATTCCTGAGTAACCTACTCGATTTCTTCGTAGTATTGTAATGTGAAGAGTAGTGAATATGTAATCTAAGATTCCTGTGACATCTTTAGCACCTTTGTCAGTTCGATGTATTTCATAACTAAAGACAAAGATTTCCTGATCCAATCTAAACCAAACGTTTGCAAGCTGAGTTCACTTGAAGGAAAGGAAAAAGCCCTCGATTACATCAGTAACATATCCAACAGGTTAAGTTGTTCATCTTAACTGGTTTTGATAAAATATTTTGCGTCATTTTTCTTTGCGTATAGGCAATTTTTAAAACATATTAAGATCATGTTATCTAGTGATGTTTTAATTCATCAAAATGCGCCCCCTGTAAGTTATAGATATTATATGACGCGGCGGCCTTGTATCACTGTATAATTAGTATTAATGTTAGCTAATTCTTCTAAAATTGATAGATTCAATTCTTTAAGCATTTTATTGGAAATATTATCATATCCTGGGGCTTTAATATTTTTTAGGTTCTTTGTTATCTTCTGTCTTCGTATGGGGAGATAAATTTAATTTTTGCTTCTTGTATACTGACACCGCCTCAAACAAACCGCGGGAAATTCGAATTTACCTTTTCGAATTTTCCAATTTTCAAAAATACAGAAAGTACAACGTAAATGGAACCAGCACCACTTTCCGCGCCGGTTTTGCTAAATACGCGAAAAAATAAAGAACAAAATTGGAGTCGTTGCTGAAAAAATAATTGTTTAAAATTTAAAAAATAGCCCGTGTTTGACGCGTAATTACACAAAAAAAATCACTTTTTCTAACGTTTGTATATGATATTAAAGATCTGTTTTTGATGAACACATTTCATTAAGAACAAAGTTTGTATCTCCATGTAGTTGTAGGAAGACTCCGAAAAAAAGGACCTTTAGTAATTTTCGAAAAGTTAGGGATTTCATCTAAGACGAGACCTACGCCATTCTCTTAAATCACCTTCACGCTATCGGTCAGAATGTAATAAAAACTAATGGTTCTACAGAAGGGCACATATTTTCTTGTATTAGAAAAAAATGTTTATATAAAATTAAAAATTGCCTACTTTTCACGCAAAACACACGAGAAGTACCCATATTTTCGGAAAATTGAACTTGAACGTATTTGAAAATCTGTCTTTAAGAATTAAGAAAAGAATCGTTATCTTCAACGTGTTAGTTGTAGGATGACTCCGAAAAATATTGAACTTTTGCAATTTTGGAAAAATCAGGGTTTTCAACGAAAATGCGACCTGTACCATTCTCTTAAACGTCTGTTACACCATCCAACAACAAAATTTAATAAAAAACTTTGGAGCCATTTTTTTGAAAATTTTGAATATGTCCCGGGATTCTCATGTAAAGACACCTCAGTCCATCAATTTTTTAAACATTTCAATTCAAATATCATATTTTGATTAAAATATCAGTTTCAAATTCAAGGGGCCGCGTCTTCAGCCAGATCGATCGTGGAACATCAATTTTGGAGAATATAGTATATCATTGCTGTTTTAGCACCACTAGTTTGCTTAGAAAACGTGTTTTCGGGCAAAATTCTCGTTGGCAAATCTGAAATTCGTGTTCAGCGACCCGAAAAACATACGAGAATCGAATTTAAAAACTACACCCAAAAATTTCCGCTGTTTGTCATTTTTGAGCACTGTTTGACTGAACTATAGGGTACTGGACACTAAATGGTTTTGACAGTTTTTCACATAACGTGGCAATATTTTTGGCGGTTTATTTAAAAATAGAAATGCCATTCCTGAAAATAGAATGTATTACCAATTAATTTCTCCTTCATCTCGTCGAACAGAAATTCACTTTACGTAATGGAAAGGTACTCACAGGTGTTCTGACACGTCATGTAACCTACCGCCTCTCGACCGGTTTTTGATTTTTTACGTAAGTACACAGTGAATGAACTCGATAAGCCTCTACTTTATCTCGCGTTTCCTCTTGACGGATTGCGCGAGCGAATCACCTATTGAGCCCGATTTTGCCCGATTGCGATTGAGCCTTTGTCGTTAAGAGTTTTTTACCGTGCGTTTTCGTTAAAAGAAGCGTTTGAACCAGCCGATGCCTTGGGCACCGTCAGTTCATCCAAGGTCAAACGAGGAAAGTGATCCCCAATGTGACTGCAACAAGAATCAGTAGATAAGGACACATGACATGTTAGAAACCATATAAAACAGCAGGAGATAACTCATTACATTCCAGTGTTTCCTCAGACAGTGAAGATGGCTCCTAAAAACGAGAAAATTGGAATTGTTGGCAGGTGAGATTCTATTTCAATGTTGAATTAGGAGAATAATGAAGTTTCATATTAGTTCTTTAAAGCTCTTCTGCATTGTTTCTAACCTTTCTTTAGACACCTATTTTCTGTTCAATTTGAATTTCTTCAATTTTACATAATTCTATTCTTGCATTTAGTGGCATCATTGGCCGAAGCTGGGCCATGCTTTTTGCTAGTGTGGGATATAAAGTCAGCATATTTGACATTGAACAGAAGCAAATTGACTCTGCTTTAGTTGAAATTACAAAGGAAGTGAAGAGGCTTGAATCACAGAAAATTCTTAGAGGAAAACTGTCTGGAGATGAGCAGATTGCATGTGTCACTGGTAAGTAAAGTGCTGAATGGAAATTTTGGGGCAGATTTGTTCTCTGAAATCTTGATTTCTACAAGGAGCATAATTGCATAGTTTTCTGTCATTTTGGAAAATATCAAAAAAAAATTCTCAGATTGTTAAATGACCAAATTGTTTTACTGAAGATGTAAAGTAGACAATTAAAAAATAAAATTAAAAGAAAATGTATTTATTATAAGCTGTTAGTATTATTTTACACGACTTGGTTTCTCTCTTCAAGTAATTTTGTTTGTTTGTTTGTAAAACAATGTATTTTTTTATTCCAATTTATGCCAAACTAGCTAAGTATATAAATATTAGTGAAATATTATCACATATACATTGCTGCATTTAAAACAATTAGAAGTTTCTTTTTTTAATTTCAACATTTTATTTTTTAATGTAAGTTTTATAATTATAATAAATTATTTGAGCTGTAGTAGTAGTAGTAATAATAATGATGATGATGATGATGATGATGATAGTAATAATAATAATAATAATAATAATAATAATAACAATAACAATATTAGGAAATAAATACCTAATTATAAAATATTGATTTATTTACCTCTGAAATGGTATTGAGTTGGTAAAATTGATGCAGGGGCGGATCAAGCCAATCATTTTGCAGGAGGATGGATTGTAGATTTTAAAAAAATAATAATTATAGTTGTTGTTATATTGATTATTATTTAGGTACTGTAGATATATTACACAATATTATTGTTTAAATAATTACATAATTTGAACATAAAGACATATTTAAATCAATTTTGCCAAATAAGGAGAGGTAACAAACGAAAACCCTAGGCCTTTTGGGGGCCATGGCCCTCATGCCCCTTCTCCCCTCTGGATCCGCTAGTGCATTGATCTCTAATGTCCTAATTGATTGGAAGGGGATGATTAGACAAATGAAAGACACAAAATATTCCATTTCAATTGTGTATTTTTCAATTGAGACAGTAGCTAGAAGAAAGGCCATTTGCTAAAATGGTGGAAGAAAAAGTATTCTGCTGTATTCAATTGGTTATTTGATATCATTATTTTTAAAGCATATTTCACTAAGAATTTGACTCAACATTTCATTAAGAATATGACTCAACCATTCTTAATTTATGTCTTCAAGAAAGAAATTGGTTATAGGGTGTTCTTCAGGAGAACTTTTTATAAATGTTATTGAAATGATCTAAATCAAAGTATTAATTCATTCACTTTTAATTTTTTTATTATCAATTCCTTACTTATTATATAATATGTTTTGTAAATTGTTCTCAACATGCACATTCTTCTGAGTTGCCTTATTCTGCCTAGGCTGGACTTTCTTGTCTTTCTCTCCAACCCTCTTGAGCTGTAGAGAAAAGAAGTTGTTCATGACTAAGTTACTCCTCCAGTAACTGATGATTTGCCTTAAGACTACTTTATATATTTTTAATAAAAATTATGTTACTTCCTATGGATTCAGTAACAAACAAAAACAATGGTTACTTCCAATGGATTCAGTAACACTAAAAAGAAGCTAACTGAATATTTCATAGATTGCTCATTGTTGCTTTGAACTGCTCTACTAACCTAAAAGAAATGAAAATACAATATTAAAAAGTTGTAGGGATACTGCATTCTACATGAGAAAAGCATAGTCTTATAACTCCCTCTACTAGCTACTGCCTCAAATGGTTTATTTGTTTTTGTGCATTCTTGGTGATTGTTTAGTTTCTAAAAGGCACTCAGGATTTATAATATAAATTTATTAAATTGAATCAGCTTTTCAAACTCATTCAATTTTAATATATGCACATATTTTTTTGTGTCAGGAAATACACGTGATGATGTAATGCCATAAAAATGTTTGAATATCGTGTATTTTGAAGTGCTTTGTTTATTGGAATGTTATGTAACTGAAAATGAGTTGTCTCCCTTGATTTCCACTTGATTGATAAGGATGGATGTGTATCTAATATGATGTAAATTTGTGAGATACAATTGTAGTTTATCAGGTGTCTCTTCAAACTTCAGCTTATCTTATTAAAGTGATTCATATCTTCATTGCAAAATGTCCACTTGTGAACAGACTTTTGTACTAATATTTCAAAATTTTGATTAATAATGATGAATGACATTGCTTCGCATTTATTTCTTTTCAAGTATAAAAGACATTGCCTGGGATTCTTGGGATGGAATCCATGAAAGAATTATGTCTATTTTTATTACTTGAAAAATCATTGTAGACATTGATATTATTTGTAATTGCTTCATAGTTATTTAGATTACTCAGACAATTTAGAACACACAATGAATCAGTAAATATAATGTTTGTCTGCTTATTTTCTTTAATGTATTCGAGTGCCTTAATAATAGCATAAGCTTCACAGAAAACAAATTGAAAAAAAATTATTATAAAAAATATTCAAAGAATATTTTCATTAATTTTGACTGCAATGCCAGATCCAAACTTGGAGAACGAACCTATCCAAACTTGGAGAGCGATCTGTATAAATTTGTTTGTAGTCTTCGTATTGATTTTGTAGTTCTTTGAATAGGGATTGATATACAATACTGATTGTGTCTTCTTTGATGAATGAGGAATGAGGCTCTGAGACTTGTATTTATTTTCAGTAATGGGTCAAGCCATGGAGAGCGATTAGATGATTTTCAGAGATGGAATATTGGAATATCGAATTTTGAAGTGTATCCAAGATATACAATAGTGGATTAGGAAAATTCTTCTTTTTTCTATATTCACTTCAAAAAATATTAGTAAAATTTAATTTATTAGTAAAATTTAAAAATTAGTAATTTGGATTTGATGAAATTTTACTTGCAAATATGAAAAGTACTTTTCGTCTGCAGTTCGAGAGGTACATTGTTAGTGTCTGCATATTTAATAGCAGAAATAGATGTTGAAGATGATGTATTGTTGGTGACGCCAGTTGATAATTCTTCATTACAGACAATTTAATATGACAGTTTAGAAATGATCCCTTGTACAGAGACCATTGCTTCCTTACATTGAAGAGTCATTGAGAACACTTACCCGGCTTACATTGAGAGCATTTAAGCGGTACTTATAAGTCCAATCAATTAGACACTCATAAAACTTGGTAATACAACTTAATATTTGGCAATTATCAAAATTAAAATAGTTCTAACATCGTAAGATGTAAAAATAGCTTGTTCCGAAAGAAAACTTGTTTGTTTACATTAAAGGCCACATGGAATCCTATACAGTATATATGTTTAAACTCTTCCACTAAATGGTGAATCGATTAAGCTGTCTAAAAATTAAACTGTAATAGTTGACTAATTCAAAACTACCAATAGTTGAAATTTTACTCAGTGTAATTGATTCACCATTTAGTGAAAGACCAAAACAAAAATATTGTTTACTTGTGTAAGTCGTATTAAATAGTCGTATATTGTTTACTTTTGTTGTAAGTCGTAATAAATCAATGCTATTTTATTTTCCAAATGTTCAATTAGTTTAACAGTTTTTCTTCAGTGCACTTTTGAAAATTAATTTGTACATTTCATTACTTCAAATGACGGCAAAGTGTAAGAAGTGGGAAAAATGTTGGAAAATTTTGATGAAAAGTAGATTAAAAAGATTTGATTTAAATGAATAAAAGAGTTGTTAAAAAAAATCGATGTAATTCATGCCACTTCATTCTTAAGTTGTTTGGTGACTTAAAACATAGAAATTGCATATTCAGACCCTATATAAATCTAAGCTTGAATGTAATAATCTGAAAGTAGTATATACTTTGAGTTAAAATTAAAATGTTATAAACAAATTGTATTATATAATATAAAACTCTTACACTCTAAAATGCTTTTTAGGTTGTACATCATTGGCAGAAGTAGTTAAGGATGCAGTGTTGATTCAAGAATGTGTGCCAGAGAATTTGGATTTGAAGAAAAAATTATATACTGACTTGGATAAAGTGGTTGATTCTAAATCGATTATTTCAAGTTCTACTAGCACATTCTTGCCATCTCTTCTGTCTGATGGAATGAAGCACAAAAGCCAGTTTGTTGTATCCCATCCTGTACGTAAAGGATGATTTTAATTTTTCTGAAGTGATTATTTTTGTACCAAAATGATTAAATATTGTTTTTGATGTTCAAATACTTTTGAATTTATTTAATATTTTTATATGCAATAAATATAATGTATTATATGCTTGTTATTCCTTTTATTTTTATATATGAGCCATAGAGACTAATAAAAATTGAAGAAATCTAAGAACATGCAACTCGTTCTATTAATAAAAAATATTACTTTAACAGTGAACTGAATATATTTTCAAAACGATTTATGGGCTTTTTGTTTGTTTTTCTTCCATCTAGGTCAATCCTCCATACTATGTACCTCTAGTGGAAATAGTTCCAGCTCCATGGACAGATGCTTCTGTTGTGCCTAAAACAAAAGCCATTATGGAAGAAATTGGGCAGGTTCCTGTGTGTCTCAATAAGGAAGTTCCAGGCTTTGCATTGAACAGAATACAGTGAGAATGTTTATTATGAAAGATTTTGAATGAATAATCTATATATTCTGGCAGTAATTTTGTATTCTAATGTTTTGATTTTTCTGCAGATACTGCATTCTGAATGAAGCATTTAGACTTGTAGCAGACGGAGTTCTAAATGTGAAAGATGTTGATAATGTCATGTCTGAGGGATTAGGAATGCGTTATGCATTCTTAGGGCCTCTTGAAACTGCACATTTGAATGCTGAAGGTTAGCATACTTTTATTGTCAATTTGATACTCTTAATATTTTATATACATTATAATTTTTACTGTTTTGAAGAAAGTCATAAAAAGAAATTAGCTTCTAAGTCAATAACTTATTTCAATCAAGTTGTTCATCCAGTTTGTCTGGATCAATTGAACAAATTTTAAGATCCCTTATTTTTTTTCTAGACATAAATGTAGCTTCCCTATGCACACAGTTTGTGTAGCAGACCTTATGCTTGGTATGGAAGAAATAGAGTTGGGTTGTGTTTTGCTATTTTATTAGCAAAAGTTTTAAATCAAATGTGTAGAATTTGTTTAAAAAAAATTGGGATGGTTTTTGAGAAAATTATTTTTTAGAATTTGCATAAATCTCAAGTGCAAATAACGTGAAAGCTACTCTTTCTAGCAATTGTTCGTGACCTTTTTAAAAGAGCTGATTTTTTTAACAGCACAGTTTGTAAGAAGCAAAAATCTTCAATTTTGTAGTTTTGAACATTTTGCAATTTTCGAGAAAGATAGAAAAAGAAGAAGAAAAAAACACTGATAGTTTACCAAAAATTGGTCTAGCACCATATATTTTTACTATCCCTTATTACCAGGGGGCGGATTTTGATGACCTAAAACATTGCCTAAAATGACTTTATTTATAGTAATTTTCTACATTTCAGTATTTATCCACTTTTTCTGTATTGGGACCCCACAATACAAGCTTTCTAGCATTATATAACTTTCTCTGTACTACATATATTACTCTGTCTACATGTATATATATGAGAAAGTAAAAATTAATGACAGAATTTCTCAGACAAAAATAAATGAAGGGGAAAAAAGAAAGGAAGAAAAAAAAAATTCAAGAATTCTTAAGTAGTGTACATGCAATACTATTGTAGGTATTTTGAGTTTTTGGCCGTACATCTGAATATTGACTATTTTTGTGGTGCTTTGCAGAATTAAAACTCTACAAAAAAAGGAAAAAATTGAAAATGAACCTGATATCAAAATTGTTTCTTGTATAATTTCTCAACAGAACATTAGAAAAGAGAATTTAAAGACTAGGATTGTATGCAAGTGCACGATTTCATTTTTTTCTGGGAAACAAAGGACATACTCCTATATTTGAGTAGAACAGGCTTATGAGTTATGATTTTGTTTCTTTTTTAATTTTTTCAAATTTCAATTGTCAAATTTATCTTTGCAGGAATGAAAAGCTACTGCGAGCGCTATTGCAACTCTATGTGGAATGTATGCCAAACATTTGGGCCTACTCCTAGATTTGAGGGCCCAGTTGTTGATGTTATGAATGAGCAGCTATGTGCAATGACTCCTGTTGACAAACTCCAAGACCGCAGAGTTTGGAGAGATACTTGTCTCACTCATCTTGCTCAACTCAAAAAGAAAATGAATAATTGAATTAATTGTGTACAGTTATATTTGAAATTTACATTTTAAATGTTTTAAAATAAATTAACAAACATTACAATTTATTTTGTTATGTCGACATTTCTGTTGAAATTTATGCAATAAACTAAAATACATTGAATTTATTGAGTCTATTTATTTAATTTCACAAAGTATGTATTATATTTTGCATGTTTATTGTATCTAAACAGATGTCTGATTAAAATAGATTGATAAAAATACCTTAATCTAAATGATAAATTCTATTTGTCCACGTGAAAAGTAACATTTAAACATCATAATTTAACATATATAAATCAAAGATTAGAAAATATTTTCAAACTTGCTTTAAAACCTTAACGAGTTTAGAAGAAATTTAACAATAATTTGTCAGAAAATTAACATTAATTATTAAATTAACATTAATTATTAAATTAACATAACTTATTAAAAAGTAACATTAACTCCATACATCATTTCTCACTTATGTTTTCAAATGAAGTGAAAGAATTATCTGCATTCAAAAATTCTATGTGATCTGATACATCATAGTATTCATTTGGATATGAATTAGAAGTGGAAGATTTTGGAGAAACATTTAAATTTTTTTCCTGAAAATCAAAATTAATTTCATTCAAAGACTGTGAAGTCACGGGGTCCCAAATAAATTCTATTGAATTAGTCTTGGATGCAATGGAGTATTTTGATGGTGAAATTTGTGAGTTTTCCATCCTTGACAAATAAAATCTATCATTAAATAGTTCATTATTTTCATAATCAGAATTATGATCTCCAAATGAAAATAACTCATCTGTATGTATTATTAATCTATTAGGTACATCTTTGTTATCATCAGACTCAAATTGGTTATGCGAACATTCCCGTATTCCATTAATTTCATTTTTCTTAATGTCTTCTGTCTTAAGAATTTCTTCCTGAATAAAGGGACTTTCCTTCTCACAGCTCTCATTATATGCAATTGAAGAATTTCGTGGAAAACCATTAAGTTCTGAGCAATTGGCTGAATCTTCAATAAATCCACTTGTTTGTAATGCTTTACTGTAAGTACAATGAACTGTTTCAGAGGCACTACCTATATTGATATTAAATACATTTTGCTCTAGGGCTGAAAATACCTGCTATTTCTAGTATGAGGATTTTTTAACCACATCTTGATTGATGATGATACAACGTCATGTTTTGTATGCCTTGAATATTGAGAGTATGGATAAGTATCTCTTTGCCTGCAAAATGCAATCATTGACTTTCAGAAAACACAAGTACTCAAAATTACAGAAATAAATATACACTAACATTATTTTAGCTGAAACTGATAAAATATCCTCTTGAGATTTTGATGGAAAATTAAGTTGTTTTTTTTCATGAAATCTTGTTTCTGGATCACGATATGCAGTCTGAGATATTAGCATTCTAAGTGGCAGCTTCTGGTACCTACTACTGGATTTGATTTTATCAACAGGATAGTCATTGAGAGAATTAGAGAAGTGTGTTTCTCCCTGAAATAGTATAACAATTTTTCTCAAAATTAAAATTCTATACAAATGATTCAACAAGTTTCTAGAAAAGGGAAGGAAAGCAGACCTTAATACTTTCTCTTCTGGCCGGTTCAGAGAAAATTATCATACTTGGGTCATGGCCTCTCTCCCTCAGAGCTTCATAATGGTCAGTTTGATGCATTTTTTCTTCGTTTTTACTTCATAACTAAGAAAAACTAAAAGTAAACTTGTCTTCTTGTTTATTACGATTGCACAGTATTATCTCACTTTCGTACAAGGCGCGAATTGGACACTTTCGTTAATAGAAGAACGAAATGCACACGAGCAGGGTTACCATAACTTCATCATTTCTGAGCGGATCGTATCCACTTATTGTTTTAAATTGTTTCACTAGTTTACCAGCTATAAATTTTACAATCCAATGATAATTATAAAAAAATGTGAAATTGGGTTCCGTTTGTTTTAGTTATTTTGTTCCGTTTGTTTTAGTCATTTTGTCCACACAGGGTTGCCATCGATTCGGTGGTTCCATCACCGAGTAAGCAACAATTTCCCGATAAGAGAGTATTAAAAGATGCCAGAGATTGTGGAAAAGGACAGAGAATGTATATATTCGGCAAAGAATAATATTTGGGCACAGAGCATTCAGTCAGTTTGTTGTAGTTAGTTTTTCTATGGTTTGGGGAGGGTAAAATGGTAGCTGGTGGTAGCACTACATTGAAAGTGGAGTAGCGAAGTTTTAAAGTTTTTTTCTGAACCATTCCAAACTGTTCAGTATGTAGTGCTTTTAACAGTGTGGTTGCACTCAGGAGTTTGTTCGACTGTTTATAATGTCATATTGTAACGTGTTTTGAGAAAGATCGCATGTGTACCACTTTCTCGGAGATAGCATTTCTTTAAGAGCTTGTTTTCGAATTTTATTAGGAGTAAATAATATTTTTGGAATATATCTATGATATCAACTGTTTAAATATAGACAATTAAGTTGTATATTATTCTTGTGAATATTTGCTAAAATGTACTTTTTAGTACATAAATACTTCTAAAACCTTGTCATTGACGTTTGAGTGTTGCTGCCTGTGCTCTGACGTTTGAGCACTTTGTATTGTAAGCAAATTTAATTAAATTAATAACAAAACATTGGTGCGACGTAAGTGGCATAACTTCACAAGTTAGATGTATTCGTACAGATAAAATCCATTGACATGGCTTTCTAAATAATTACATAAAGTTGTGTGAAGGTTGCAAAGAACTATGGCTCCAGTGCCATTAGAAGGACATCAAACTCCTGTGGGCAATAATGTCCCACAGGAGGGATCAAGAGGAGGTTCGATTCCATTAGCCAAGCTTATAGATTTTATAATTCAGCGTACATACCATGAATTAACAGTTCTAGCTGAATTGTAAGTAATAAAAATATTCTAATATAGTGTTTTTTTCTTTTCTATATGTATTGTTTTTTTGGTAAAATTTATTTTTATTTATTTACTTTTAAGACTTCCCCGCAAAACTGATATGGAACGCAAAATTGAAATACATAACTTCTCGGCTCGAACTCGCCAATTGTTTGTGAGACTTCTGGCGTTAGTAAAATGGGCAAATAGTGCTTCAAAAGTTGATAAATCTGGGGTAAGTGTTGTTGTTGTGAATTATTAAATGCGATAATTATTTTGGCTCTCTCAATTTCTACTAAAAAAAATTGTTGAATTGCAGCTTATAATGGCATTTTTGGATAAACAGTCTATGTTGTTTGTGGATACTGCTGATATGTTGGCTCGCATAGCACGAAACACATTAGTACATGCTCGTTTGCCAAACTTTCACATTCCTGCTGCAGTTGAAGTTCTAACAACAGGAACTTATTCCAGGTTACCTGCTTGTATAAGGGTAATTAATCTTCATTATCTTTACTGCCAAATTTGGTATTAATTAAATGATTGGTCTTTAAGTGTATTTCTGTGAAACCAAAATGCTTCATATTATAGAATTACTTCACTGGCACTGTAAGTATGTACATCTGGTAAACTATGTTATAATTTACTATTTATTACATTGAAAGTCATGGAAATGGAAAATTTTGTGAATTAGTGATGTTTATTGCAGGAACGCATTGTGCCTCCAGATCCCATTACTCCTGCTGAAAGAAGAACCACTCTGCTAAGATTAAATCAAGTTATCCAACATAGACTTGTCACTGGCAATCTTCTTCCTCAGATGCGAAATCTGAAGGTCTGAATTTACTTCATCAGATGCATTAGGAACCTAGTGTTAGAAGAGCATGTTGATGTGCAGGTCTTATTAATCCATTTCTTGTGTATTGTGCAATGTAAAAGTTAGAGAGTTCTGTCACAGTACCATTGATAAAATCCCCTCATTGATATTTTAACAGAATGGGAACATCCCCGTTTCACTTATTAACATTACAGGATATACCTTATTGGGAATGATTGTTGAAGAGAGGCAAAGTTGTGGCAATTATAATCAGAAAGAAATCTGAGACAAGTGTAAGATTACCTCAATCAACTACACTCATCTTACATTCGTCAGGAGATGAAAGTGGAACACTGTAGATAAGACGAAGACAGTTTAACTTTTCTATTCAGTGTGATTTATCAACCGTCAATACTTCACAAGAGGACAATCTCAAGATTTTACTAGCTTTTGGCTTCCAAATTCATGTGATTGGTGGACTCAACCATCTGCATCACTGCAATTAATTGCACAACTTCAAACTCTTGCTTGTGTAATCCACAAGAATCAGAGCTTCTACAACCTGTTTTTGATAATCTAACCCAACTATGAAATAATTATAGACGTCATTGCCAACAATAGTATTTAATATAAGAGCAGCTTTCGATGGCTTAGCCATCCCTAGGCAGTAGTTTCGTACAACTGATGATGATGGCTAAGCCATTGAAAGCTGCTCTTATATTAAATACTATTGTTGGCAATGACAATGTCTATAATTATTTCATGAAAAATGCCAACGATAACGCACCACAACACTTATATACTAACCCAACTAGTTACCCAACCCTCTCACTTCAGAAATGACCTAGCTGACTGTTCTCGTCCTCCTTTCTAATATTGAAAATTTAATCACAACTTTTCGACTTCTTCCACTAGTACTCAAATGTGACCCTTGGCCTTGGTTTCAATTCTTGCCTAACTCTCATAAATCCAGGAAACTGTAGTATATAAACTATTTTGTAGTTGATTACATAAAAATAAGTTCCCAGTTAGAGGTATTAGCTATGTAGTTGCTTACCTATCTAGTTTTGATACACCTACGAGATTAAGTCAACCATTGTCCTTATTGAAAACAGAAGGTGTTGAGTCTGAGTTACTTCTCGCCTGTCCATTGGAAAAAAACATTGGAACATAGTGCCACTGGGATCAATTTTAGAACCTCCTCTTCTTACTCTTTGTATAACTGATTTGAGCAATTTTATCCTATTCCCCAATACTTGGGGTTGTTGATAAAGTACTATGGCAAGCCTCTAACCACAGTTCTTTAATCTGATCTCAATGAGTTTATCTACTGAATGGCTTGTGACAACTTACCCAACTGAGTTCTCAGTAATGTGCATTGGAAAAAAGTACCAGTGTTTGAAGAACTACTTACAGTTCAACCTGATTTTACCATTAGTGAATACACAAACCAATTTGGATATTCAAATTTCCTTGAGTTTGAAGTGGAGAAATCACACTAATTTCATAGCCAAGAATAATGGTGAACTATTTTATATAATCAGAAAATCAATCACTTACAATTTTTCGTAAAACTTTACCAAAAAGGCCGACCGAATCAAACGCAATCCTTGCCATTAATGGCAATGGCATTAATGCCTTTAATGGCGATCCTTGCCATTGAATACATCTGAAGAGTTCCCTGGATTGTTGATGGGAATGGAAATGACGAAAGACAGTAAGAAGCAGCTTAGATACAAATGCAAAGATTATGTACAAAAAGATCTCCTGTCTCCTTTCAAAATGTGATCAATTAATGATGGAAGTCACCACATGTAATCAGATGTTATTTATAATTGGCCATTCCATGGAAAACGAAGTCATCAAAACTTGACCTCTCAAAATTAGCAAATTTTTTTATGGCTGAAGTCTAGTATAAGGTACAACTTACTGAAGTCATTTAAACCGGCACTTCATGCCGCTCTGGCGTTAACTTGGCAGTTTGAATTCTGGAGGCCTTCTTGAAAAGTGAATCGGTAATTATGCGGTGGATAGACTCAAGGATGTTTATAGTGAATGCAAGGGCTGAAGGCCCAAGCCTCACTGTGACTTGGATCCGGGCGAGCAAAGCGAGAAGACTATCTTTTGAAAGTAAATTGGCATTACAATGCGGTGGGGACAAAGCACATGCAGGGCGAACCATGAAAATCGCCTATACATAAGCTTTATTCATTTCTATCAGAGCATGTATCATATTAGGGCTTAAGGAGACCTCTCGCCGCCACTCTTCTCTGAGGGTGTACAGTGTACCCTACTTTACCGTTTTTTTTATATTTGATTCACTTTAGAATAAATGTGCTTTCTGTGAAATATTAATCAATTATCACCCATTGATACATCACAATGGATGGTAAAAGTTCTACACATTTGCGTTTCTCATCTATATTATTTATTTTTTCCTGATAATGTCAAAAGATAGAATTTGATTTTTATAACACCATTTGTTAGAGTACAGAGAGACAAATATTTTCACTGTATATTGTTATTTTGTATACATTTTTTGTTAATAATGAAGTTCAAAACATTAATATATTAATAATTAAAGTGCAATGTTTTAATTAAATGAAAAACAATCAGTGAACAATGATGGATATTTGTAGGCAATCCTGAAAATTTCAAGACGGGACATTAAAAACTATGACAATAAAAAAATGAAAACTTACCGCGACATTAGTGTGCATCTCCCTCACTCAATGATGAACCGTGCCGCATCAGTTCTGTAAGCTTGTTGATGAGTCCTCATGTTGACATTTGCATCGAATCACAACCTCTCTGGGAGATTCAAGCGAGGAAGAAAAATGTTGCTGAGAAATGCAGGTTTCATACCACACTGAAGCGTCGTGTTCCTGGGATAGTATTTAGTTCCGCAAACCTCTTTTCTAACATTTGAGCTTCCTCTTCATGTTCAACTTTCCTTCTGAAACGAAACATAACTCCTTGAATATTGCTATATTTCAGTGGCCATGTATTTTCGTGGTTTTAATAAACAATGGGTGTATTATGGTTTTAAGGATGAAACAAAGCACCATGACTTTACGGTAATAATAACAACTTAAATAAACAGATTTCTCAGAATTTATAAAATGTCACTTATATCATCCTGGTTTTCACCCATTCAAATAGAGTGTAGAATGGGACAATGCTGAACAGAAACAAGTATTCTTGTCAGCATTCTATGGAGTAACTAGGAGGAATAAAATTAGAATTTATAAATCCATAGTACAAGGCATCATGCAGAGCAGAGGTAAGGGTGATTACAGAAAAGTTGAAGTCGAAGTTGAGGATTGTAGAGCTGGCGTTCTGGCAGAGATACTGTAGACTGACAAGAATGGATAGAGTTAAAAATAGTGACATCAGAGGAGAGACGGTTATCAGTATTGATACTATTAAATCGAAGGGGTTAAGGTGGTATGGGCATGTACAGCAAATGCCCAATAATTGGCGGCCAAAAAAGGTAAGCAATTGGATACGTCTAGTAGAAGAAAAAGATGTAGACCAAAAACACCTAGCTACAAGGAATCGGGAAGACAGTTGGAAACGGAAGTCTCAGAGAAGGTGATTGGAATGATAGATGGGAACTAGGTTTTGAGAGATGGCTTCCGTCACAGTCAACCCGTTTTTATTAGTATATTACATTGACTATATTGCAGTCAAAGTGAACCAAACAATGAGATTTATTAAACTGATGCCAATTAAATTTTGGAATTAAGAAAATAGCATATACATAAGTAAAGGCTGCAAGCATCTCCATCACTATACTTTGTGTGAAGAAATTCAGAACACAGAACAGAACTATTGGAACATTAAAAAAAAAAAATTATTATTATTAATATTACATTGCTTGAGAACTTTATTTCTCTATACCTGGATTGTCTTGTGATGATTAGATTGTAGCTTTAGCAGAGCATTAGTATCGTACTGAAAGTATATTGATTACATTTTTTATATAATCTTCTAAATAACAAAATTGTTAGTTTATTACTAATTTCCAAACTGCCCTGGAGATATTTGAATAAGTTTGATATTGAAGAATCAATAGTATATTAAGCAACTACTTTATGATGTTATGGTTTATTGTATACGTTTTGAAAATGAGTGAGTTTTCAAATTTGTACAGTTGCAATAAAGCAACATAAGTCCCATACACTAATTTTTAGATAACAGCATTATAAGTATATGAAAGAACCAAAATTAATTTTGGAAACAATTTCAAGAGGCAACTTTTGTTGGGACATCATGAAATAAGGATGGTCAGGAAGGATGACTATGCCATAAAATGTCATTTTGTAAACGATTTTGGGTTGGAAAAATTCGCTTATGTTGCTCATACACACAAAAGTGTTTCTCTAATCCCTAAGTTAAAAAGTAATTTGTTTTCTTTTGTTCCTTTATATCTTATGTGGAGGATTATTAAAATTTATGATTTATTATCTTTAAATAATGATTTTGTTAAACAGGTTTAGATATTTATTGCGAGACCATAGATCTAGTGTCTGTGTTATGTGAATAAACAAAGAAATAAATAATTAAATAGATATTTTGACATTCAATTTAGTCATGATTAATCCTTAGAACATAGTTCACACTGTTCATTAGTAGAGGAAATAGAAATATTTTATGGAAGCATGTAAGAGTATGTTCACTATTTTTTTTATGTTTTGCAGATTGAAAGTGGAAGAGTCACATTTACAGTTGAGCATGAATTTGAAGTTTCACTTACGGTGATGGGAGATGGTCCAAACATACCATGGCGATTGTTAGATATTGATATTCTTGTGGAAGACAAAGAAACTGGAGGTATGTCTTCAATTTTTGGTATTTCACACTTGTGTCTAATGATAGTATTTTCCTTTAACGCTTCTTTTAATGTTATGTTTGCAGATGGGAAAGCATTGGTTCATTCCTTACAGGTGCAATATATTCATCAGCTAATTCAAGCTCGATTAGTTGATAACCCCAACCCTCTCACAGAAGTTTACAACTGTTTACATTTTTTTTGCCAGAGTTTGCAACTTGAGGTGCGTATTTTTAATTTATTTAGCATTGTTGTTAGTGTGAAAGGATAGTACTTGCTCACCAGAGGGTATTTTTTATTTTCAAAAATATGTTATTCCATTCTTTCAAACAGTTATTGTTATCTTCATATTTAAAACGCTGAACAACTCAACCAAATTTCATGATTTATTTTTCTTCTTTTTCTCCTCTCAAATACATGCTAGTGATTCCTAGATGTGTTTTCATATGCTCTTATTAATCGCTTTTATAGAATGAGACCTGAATATTATTTTAAAGTTCATATGTCATCACTTGTTCATTACGTTGTTTAAGATTAACTAGAATAGTTGATTTTGCTTCATTTTTGAAGTGTGAGTTGCAGTTGATCTTTTAAAAGCAGTTGCTATTTTAGCGTGTGGCGAGAGCAAACTTATGAGTGTTTTGAAATACAAAGGCGAAGAAAGTGTGTTAATACATGCATCCCTTTTCAAAAGAATTTGAGTAATTACATATGTAATGTATGCATGAGAAAGTGAAGATGGATGGTAGTATTTCCAGCTTTTGAAAGCAGGAAACACCAATGCAACAACCATGCTTTTTGGAGTGGTTTCATTTCATTAACTGTCTCCCTTAGATGTGTTTTCTTCAACCATTGGCCTTGGAATGATTTTTCTCCAACAGTCCCTCTCAGTGATGCTTTCCACTTTTCTAACAAATTTCACAAACCAGCTTTTAAATTGATAGTCTTCCAATTTTCATATTCACTTTCACAACCATTATTAAACCAACCTTCACTATTTTCCCTCTATTCAGAGAATATTTTTAAGTAAAACTTGTGAACATTGGAGAGGAGATCTCTATCTTCATTTAACCAAGATAAGCCTACTAAAACAAAAACCCTCACCTTGGTGTTTAATTCTGTAGAAAAATGTCTGTTAATTAAGGTGATTGCTTAATCATGAAGGCTGTGCCAGTAAGTATCCTCTCTCTCCAAAGCAACTGTCCATATACCTCTATCCCTGTCTTAAACGGTATCTTTGTGCAGCTTCTTGCTGTTTCTTGATTGTTTGTTGTGAAATTGCAGTTCAGTAGGTAATTACCCCTAGTAATTACCCTGCAATAATTCAGTTAGATGTGCTGTTATAGAAAGGAAAGGTGGAGATTTTATTGCTATTATCAGGAATTTAAAAAAGGAATAGATTTTGTTTTAATCTTATGTGAATTATAGAAAAGAAAAGTGGTTAAGTCTTGTTTGATTGTACACAAATGGCAGAAATATTGTTGTGGATTTTTTTCAGTGTTGAAATTTGTGTGTTGTACTAGGTAACTGATTTTGGCATGTTTTATTTTCCTTTACATTTTGTGCAGGTCCTTTATTCACAGACACTGAGATTGTGTCGAGATCGCTTAGATGATCATATACATGTGGATGAATACACTCCAGGAAAATGTTTATCTATTTCCTACTGGCGGTAAGAGTTGATGCATTAAAATTTAATGTTATTTTATTACTTGATAAATTCTTATAAAGAAGTTTTCTTCTTTTTAACCTAGTGAATTAACATGCCGGGACCCGAGATCAGAACTTGGTTATCGCCTAACTGTTCAAGTTGATACACATGACCCTGCTCGACCATTGGCAGTTGTTCATGTACCTTCTCTTGGCAATAAGGTAGAGAAATATTATTCTATTTCTTCAAGAATAATTGTTTTTCTATTAAAGTTTTATTTTTACTTTGTTATTCAATGTGATTAATTCTTAATTATTCTTTGCAGGAGAGTGAAATTGCTGACCGTGCTATTCGTTCCGATTTATTGTCTTTGGAAAGATTATTGGTTCATACAATATATGTACGAACTCGAAGCAGATTAGCTGAATTAAAGCAAGAATTGCAAAGCATGCTAAAGGATGTTGAATGTGAGCTCATTTATTGTTTTTGTGTTGACTTAATTATGCTTTGCTTTATTTGCAGACCTCTTGCTTTGCTTACTTTGCTGCCTCTTAATGCTAAAGTACTTTTTTGTAATATTTTTTTAAAGTTGAAATAATTGAACAAGCTAAGTTAAAATTAGAGGGCTGTGATAGACTTTTTTGAAAAATGAATGAAGACTTAAAAACATGTAGATATGATTCAACCATAAATATGATTGACCTGCCGGCAGTAACAGCACCATCATAAAATAATGGTCTAGTATGTTTAGTAATGTTTTTAGACTAGGGTGCTAATGATCTCAGACAGATCAGAGCATCTTGTTACAACTGCTGTGTTAGTTCTCAGATCTGCCGTTTGCATTCTAGATTAGCACACTGTACAATGGAGATATGAAATGTTGTACCAGAAGTAAACAAACATCATTAATTTCTGAGGGTCAAATATTTTTCTGGTTTACCAATGAGGGTAACTCGGAAAACTTGTGTTGGTCGTTCAATCAAAAGCATTTCTTTTAATCTTGCAAATCATCAAGAAAGTGATTATTTCTAGAAGGCAAATATTTAGAATATATTTGTGTACTTGCTATAATATGTTATGTATTATTCACTATTCACCCAATTATAAAACAAGGCTTTTTCCTAAATATCTCAGTCAAAAAATGCTGAATCGTCTTATATTCGCAGTTTAATCCCAGTTGGTTAGGGTTTATGCTTTACCTTGCCTTTCCACGTCATAAAACTATATGACTAAAAAAATATTACTACGAAACTAAAAATATTGCACGTATCTACAATATGTAATTATATTCTCAGATGTATTTTCGGCAACCACTGCATATTAATCGGACAGTTCAGATCACTTATTTGGAAGGGGTGGGTAAAGAGAATCCGAAATGAATGTCATTTTATCAAGTGAAATTCAATGTGAAAGTGAAAGCCAAAATTCTGTTACATAATACAGGTTCGACGAAGCCATGCAGAATCTCTGTTCCTGGGGAAGGGGAAGGCGAATCTGCATTCGGCATGAGAGGGGGGGGGGAATCACATTGATAGACATTCACATTTCTCATATAATGCAAGAAAAGAATAATAAAAAATATATTTTCTTTCCAAACTTGAAAATTTCCTATTTTCTCCCTCTTTACTAAATGTGGGACAGAGTTGTATGTGTTTGTAGTTCACATCTCGATCACACAAACACTAAAATATTTTCAAGTTTATTCTGGTAAAGAACATGAAAGAACTTTAAATGAAACTGGCCATTAACAGGTGTGGGTCAGGTAGAAAATATGGTGACAAAGAAAGGAATGTTTTTAGGTGGCATCTGATGAAAGACAGAACAACGCAAATAAAAAGGGCAAAAGTTTCAAGCAGGGCATAAAATGTCAGATGTTGCACACCATTGGAGGAGGACCAAAAAGAAAGAAACATTGATACATGAGAATATGGTTAAGATAGTGACAAAGCAATTATTATTTATTGATTTTTAATTTTTTCGGGCTTTCCTCCAATATACAAATACAGAAATGAAACTAAGAAAAATATGACTTGTGAATGTCACGTTACAAAAATACAGATATTACACAAATCAATGCAAAATCAATACAAATATTATACAATGCAAATAACCCAGAATACAAATACGCTGTTCACTAAAAAGACATTCTCCCGGACTCCAAATGTCGCAACCTTACTCATTTACTGTCACTGGCAGATCCAGGGGGCGCCATGGGGGCTACGGGCCCCCCCCCTCCCCTCCAGAAGTCATAGTTTTCGTTTACCTATATTTGGCAAAGTTGATTTAAATATTTATATTCGAATTATTTAAACAATAATATTGTATAGTATATCAATAGTACATAAATAATATACGGTATAATAACACATATATTTATTATTTAACAAAAATCTACAATGGCCCCCACCAAAATGATCGGCTGGATCTGCCCCTGTTTATCATTCTAGTGATAGGATTACTTGCAGTGTAGAAATTTGTATTGGCCAACATGGAAAAAGTATCTTTATTTCTCAAACATCTCAAACTGCCCTGGCAATAATTGCATAAGAATTTTAACTTTCTCTTTTTCAATTCCAAATATTTAACCTCAGAGGCTGTCATATCCATGCAGCTAAGGAGAAAGTCTCTGACTACTATTGCAGTTGAAGAACTTCTCATGCCTCATGTCTAAAGCCTGCTCACACGTAGCACACAAGCCAGTTGTACCTTCACTTTGCATTAGTAAGATGGACCTTCAGAGCGGCCTTCAAACGTCCAATCAGACACTACACTGTCTTTACTAGATTCAAACTATGGCATGCACCTTGGCGTGTACCCACCACGCGTGCAGTATGAGCACTAGCACCCTCCAAGTTCAAAATGGGCACTGCACTATTCTTACTAGACTGAGACACTTGAGCGTGTGTTTTGACATGTACCCCTCCGTGCAAAGCAGCATGAGCACCAGCTCCTTCCAAGTTAAAAACAGGCACGCTATGATGATTTTAAGGAATTAGAATTGATAGTTCAGGCAATAAGTCTTATTCTCATCTACAATGCAATTTTCTAGTCAATAAGACCATTTGCGAATATATTTTGACTAAACATAAGAATTACTTAAAAATTTCTTAGAAGTTTTCAAAATTAGGGGGTTGTCTTGTATGCAAAGTCGACTTATATTCAGGTAAATACTATAAATTATGTTTTGTATTTTATTATTAAAAAATGTATTTCAAAGTTTCTAAATTATATACATGTTAAATTAGACAATAATATACTCTCTGAAAAATGGTTGCTTCAGAACTTGAGGTTTTCCATAATATTTATAGTGTGATAGAAATAAGTTTTTGGAGGCTATCAATACAAGTTTTTTACATGAAACAATGATTTTTGTTAATACAAGCTCTTTTTGTACTTTTTAATTGGACTCTATCTGATAATGTGGGTAAAAGTGTTTTATTCTTTCCTTTTGTATGATGCATCTTAATAATATGAAACAGAATACGTGCAATCTTTAGTGTCCTACAGACTGGTAAAGAAATGAAAAACATTATTTTGATTATGATCTTGAAACCACCCCTTGCTTCTTGCCAATAAGCATGTCATGAAGCAAAATCTTTTGCTCAAGGAAATTATTATAATAACAAATAAATATTTTCATTATTTCTCCGCAAAAAAATAAAGGAGCACAAACTCGTGCGTTGTAAAAAGGGAAGGAAAGTCGCAAAGGACCAGACATCCATCCTTTGAATATGATACTAAAAACAGTTCATTGTGTCAAACAGATACTGGTTGCCCTAATAAGAGAAGATTCATGGTGTGTTGTGATTTGTAATGTGAAAAATGAGTAGCCTTTTCATGTAACTGTGTATTCAAGATAAATGTTATCAAACTGCAGTGTATTTGAGATCATCAAATATTGTTGTTTTGTATGTTGTTGTTATTATTATTATTATTATTATTATTAAAAATTATGTCTGAACGGATTAAATAATTGATTCTCTTAACCAGGAATCAATCCCAAATTATCATGGGTAGACTCAAATCCTCTACCACTTAAAGGTATGGAGACACAATTCTTGTTCAGCTTTGTAAAAAACTTGTAAGATTAAGTATTACATACAATTGATAAAGGGATGGAAACCAAGTCAGGCCAATAAATTTTATAGGAAATAAATATGATGGTCTGCACATATTAATTACTTAATGCCAATTGTGGGCCCTGTATTTTCTTTACAGGTCAGTTGCAGGGATCACCTGCCATTCTCTCTGTGCCAGTTTTGCAACCATGCCTTCGTGCTGAACAGCTTCTTGTAACGGTAGATACCCATACCGGCATGCTGCAATGCCACGTACCTCAGTATGATGCTCCTTTGGTTCCTGAATTGCAGGCAGCCTTGAATGGAGATCATTCACGATTACCTACTTTAGTTTCGGAATTGAGGTATAGTGTTTTAAGATTCAGCAACAAAATAATATTGGAAAGATTGAGTCCAACAGCATGGGAATAATCAACTAAATTTGTCTGTAGGTACTGGTTAACACAAAGGCGTTGTGAAAAAACCTTGCAACATTTACCTGCCACTCCTCATGAAAGACTGCCACTCTTACATCATCCAGACCATCCCATGGCAAAAATTGGTCGCCATCGTATGTTTATTCGGCTTCATCGTCATCCAAATGTTATCTTGGTAAATATTTGATTTTCGTATGTTGAAAATATATTTTGAAATATTTAAGAATTTAAATACAATTTTTATTTTCAGATTGTGGAATTCAAAGAAAAAGAAAGTTCTCCTTGTGAAATAGATTGTTCTTTTTATCTGGCTGTTGTGAAACATTCTTCCATTGATGAAGATCCACATGATGATAGTATAGAGACTGAAATTCCCAAAATGTACCTGAAAGTTCTTACATTAATAGAATTTGATACATTTGTTATCACTCATGGACCATTTACTAGTGTGGATGGTGAGTATGCATGGATTTTAATTCAATGTAATTTATTTTAATGGTTTATATTAAGATTCACCCGAAATTAATTTAATGTGTAAATGGTTAGCACTTGTTCGGATGCAAAAATAGAAATAATGCAATAAACAAATCAATAAAATCTATTTTTGAAAGCCAAGATAGGTTATGTTTTTGCTCTAAAGGATTGAATTAAAACTTGGCTCTAAATTAGATACCACAGAAAAATATGAAGTATTGTTTTCATGATATGTTACATGTATGAACTTGTATCTACTAATTTTGAGGTGATGTCTTATAATGTAATTCTCAAAATATCAACATTGTAATTGGGGGAGAGGGGATATGTATTTGTCGTTTTTGACTGTACGACTTTGCCGGCTAGCTAATGGTGTCTCTTATGCATGGGTCTAGTTTAATTCTAATGCTTAGGTGTTAAGGAGACATGTGATAAACATGATAAATGTGATATGTTATTGTTGTTATAAAAAAATTAAAGCAAGACAATTTGAAACCAATAATAATGTGAGTATGAAATTCAAATGTCCACATAACCAAATTTCACTTTCCAACAGTTTTAGCTTTTTAATGTTTTGTTTATTCTTTATCTTTGTTAACTTTGTATTACTTTATTTTGGTATTTTGTATAAAACAGCAAGATTGTGATTGTAGTAATATGTGAGACCTTGATAGGAAAACGAAGGTGAAATTTTCATGTGACCTGTTTGGAAATTCCTGCTTTCACTTGGTCAGTAAAGTAGTTGTATACTTAGTTGTATTAGTTTTGAATAATTAAGAATAATTTCATTGGTTAGTGCAAAGTCCAAATTTTAGCTTTGGCTATTCACTCACATTATTTTGGTAAAGGTTGTCGGAATCTTTCCTTGGTATTGAAACCATATGAGGATTCTGCTTCAGTTACTTTCTTATAATTACTTATAAAATCTGCATTTGATTATTTTATGAAGCTGTTTCATTGAATTATTTTATTTCTTGTCAGTGGTTTCATGCCATATAATGGTTACAGTTACTCACACTTGAAATTTGATTATTTTTTTTTAATGACTAGATCATGGAGATAAAACTCCTAGTAAGAGGAAAGCTGGAGTAAGACAGGAAGGAGCAGCACGACGAACTAAACATCCTGCATATTTTATCCCAGAATTGGCTCATGTTGTTGCACTTTGTGATGAAAGAATTCCTTTTGTGACACTTGCTCAAGAGGTGAGTTGACTGTATTTTAGTATTAGTATGTAGGCAGCTGGTATTTTTACTGGTGTCATCAAAGATCGTTCTAATTTGACATTTGATAATGCAGTCATTCAGATTTTAGAAAATAATTTTTGTTATTTAGTTTCTCTTCATTCTATTTTTAGTTTAGAGATGGCAGATGCTTAGCTGGATTGCTAACCATTGCATGTTAGTCAACTTTTTTGGATTAATGTTTTGAATAAACTAAAGATTCTGTATTATCTTCAATATAATAATTACTGTATTTACCCAAATATAAGTTGACTCTGAATATAAGACAACCCACTAATTTTGAAGAGGCCACGTGGAAATTTTAAAATTTTCAATGAATTCTTACTGTTTAATCAAAATAAAATTGTTAACTGTCTTAGTGACAGTTAACACAGTGTTACGACTTATTGCTTATTATATCATTTTTTGGTTCCTTAAAATCATAAACATGGGTTTTTGTGACTACCCTCATCATCTTCACATGTAACAATTTTTCTTTCTTTTTGATCCTCCTTCCATTCTGTTACATCTTCTTACTTTTTAGGCTCCTGTGAAAGTTTTGCGATTTAAATTGGCGTTGTACATAGACTCTCGTCTGATGCCACCTATAGACATTCCCTTGTGTCCCCAGATTTTCTAACCATCCCCCACTTATTGATGGCCTCTGTTTCTTCAACTGTCCAAAAGGCAGATTCCATTCACCGAGGCATCAAATCAAAATTCACGCAGCCTCATCGAACCAGCCACTTGTAACAAAATCTCTGCATTCATTTTGACATTAAGTTTCATTTGATACAATGCCATTCAAATACCTTCAAATCGAGTTTCACTGCGTATAGATTGTTGTCCAGAGAATGAATCACCTGGGTCGGAGATGGTAAAAATACACAGGGGTGACGATAATATTGTGTCCAGGACGACCTGCCATATATTACTCTGCCTTGTTTCCTGGTTTTGACGTTTGTTCCTGGAGAGGAGGAATTATACAAGTCCTCTGGCAACATTTGTTCTAGGATGTGGGCGCTGCACATGTTCATAATTGTTTGTTATAAACTTCGGTATGCACCAACGGGCTTGCTCATGATGCTTGACCTAGGCATGGGCATGGTTTACAGTGGAGGTTGCGCACACTCAATATGTCTGTAGTGGCACTGATCGCTTTGGAAGATGGCAAAAGATCACAGGCTACACTCAGATGGGAACATCATTCTCCATGTGTTCTTGGTTGCGTTGTTCCTGTTGCTCACTCTCAACTTCTATGGGGATGTCTACAGACTGTACCTCGGGTTGGAGCTCATTAAATAGGTTTAAAATATCCTCTATGTTCTCCAGAGTACAAACGCAAATAGAGATACGCATGGCGTATACTTGCGATGTATTTACCTTCTTTGTAGTTTATTGTTACATCAACATTAACTAGTTTTGTGACATGGAATGGCAATGAAAAAACTTAAACCACCGATTAGGCTTAATCTGCAATTATAAGATGACTCCACATTTTTCAAAAAACAACTTTTTTTATATTTGGATAAATACGGTATCTCAATTTTAATTCTTATTTGTTCTGTGTATGTGTGTTCTGTGTGAAATTTTCAGCTTACCTATTGAGTTTACCTGTCAACTGATGTCATGAACTGCACATGATATTTCCTTCCTCGTCCTGATCTCTTCTCCCCCTACACACTTGAATACACTACCATACATGTTGTCACTTGTGTGGTAGTGTATGTGCTAATGTGTGAAACTCCTGATTGGGACCTCCATTGCAACAACCTCACCCATCGCCACCACCCCTCCACTGCCACCTTCACCTCCAGCACCTCCGCCACCACCAACATAGCCACTGCCACCTTTTAAATAATTAACTACGCCAGACTGGTGTTTAGTAAAATTATCAATTTTCTTCTCTAAGCTAATATTGTTTATTTTTATTTTAATTACCTTTTATGACTTAGTGTCATGTATGAGAAAAATAATTATGTATTCCTGAGATTTTAAGAAGGAAGATATTTTGACATTATACATTCCTTTAAATTGAAGTGATTCACTTTTACATATCATATCTTATGCTAGTGAAGAAGTGACATTGTTTGAATGGAATCAAAATACAGTAGCAATTTTTTTTAATATTCATGAATGGAAAATCCTTATACAGTCTTCGAAAGATGCTTAAGAGTAAAACTAATGAGTCACATGGCTCACCACTTGAGAAAAATTATAGTATCAACTTCTGATTTTTACTCTTGTGGTGAAAAATGTTCTCTAGAATGGATCCCTTATAACTTGCATTCTACTCGCAATGTCTAAAAAGTCTTTGAGTACCCATTCACAAAAATGAGATCTGAGAGCGTGAATGCCTCCTGATATGAGCAATTCACTGAACTTGTGTACTACTATTCTCTGGTAATTCAGTGAAGAAAATTTTTATGTGTAAACTAATGTTTAATTTGTAAAGGTTTTTCTATATAGTGAACCAATGTAATAGACATTGTGTAATATTACTTATGACATTAATTTGTATTCTGTATTTTTTTCAGCTCACAAAACGAGAAATCGCACATCAAGGTCTTCAAATAGAGGCAAATGCTACAGCATTAGTACTTCGTTTAGTTCAACTTCCTCATCCGCCAGGCCCTCCCATTGAGCCTTGGGGTTGGCTTTCTCTTCTGAAGAGATTGTTGTCTGTGGCTATTAGAGTCCAAGGGAAGGCCAGTAAGAGCTGGATGGCAGAGTTCATTTTTCATGGTAGTCCTCTTGCTAGTACTCATCCAAAAGAACAAGGTATTGATTACAAATATAAGATATTTAAGTTGTCTATTGATAACCAAACAGTCTTGAGTATATTTCATGAATGAAATTCATGAAATTGTATGGTGAAGACAAATTAGGTGCTTGACATGTAGAAGAGGAAGTGTGAGCACTTAGTCTAGAGCACTGGTTCTGCTGCAGTTTTGCACTTGGCTCACACTGAGTCCTAAGAATTAAAAAATATAGAATAATGAATGCTTAAAATTCATATTATTTCTATTGTTTTTGAAAATAATAGAAAATTGATATTTACAACATACTTGTAGGAGTTTGTTGACAAGGGAAAGGACTGAATTTTCAGTGTGGCATCTGAACATCCAACTTTTGAAACTATGAATCTGTCCACCTCCAGTTTATAGAATTTATATGGTTAATTATTGTCCTCATCTGTCAGGGTCAGACCCTCTGCCGTTGTAGTCATTTTTCTTATGTGATAATCCTTTTGTCTCCTCTTTCGTTATAGTGAATCATCTCATCCATAAAACTCAGTATTTGAGTGTGAACTCAAAGTACAACTAAAACTAATCGAAATAAGACATCAGTGTTTTTGATTATTATTGATGTTAATGGAATTAACGAGTGTTTTGCACGAATAAAAATATAACCTTAAAAGTTATCTCTTGACCGGCTACTGTGTTAATTACACATTTAAAATGGTTTTCGTAACAATGTATTAGTATTTCTCGTGTAAATAATGTTTGAAAGTCTCAAAAACAAATAGTGGAAGGATTTTAATAAATTAAATGGTATTAGCTACGGGATGTAATTAATTACATAGTTCATTCTTACCTAACAGATACTTCCTCTGGTCTTATTTCTTCTAACATTAAATTCAATGTATTATATGGAGACTTATAGTAATTAGAAGTACTGTACCTAAAACAAACAACATTATTTTATCAATTGAATTAGAAGAATGCCATCCTCATAAAAAGGTTGTTTAATTATGTTTTTATAGCAAGATTGCTATTCACAACTGTGATTACATTTAATTGTGCAGTAAGTGCATTGATTTAAGTAATTAGAACTTTGAAGATCAACTTCAATTCTCTTCCATTAGGTGTGCATTTGAAGTATGTCATAATAGACAAACAAGCAATGCAGATTATCTATTAAATCACTTTAACGTAGTCATGCAATACTGATAAGAATTATATAATTATGAGAGGTAATTTTGCAGAATTATTGTTAGGGAATTATCAATAAGTAATTCTTAAAGCATTTGACTGACTGAAACGAAGAGTATAACGATTATATTATAAATTATAGATAATGATTTCATAAAGTATCAAATAATATAATAAACTTCCCTCCAATAATTTTGCCACCCACGATGGTAACAAAAAATGTAAAGCTAGACACGAAGTCCTTGATACACTCCAATTCTTCATCCATAACAGCAAAAAAAAAAAAAAAAAAAAAAAAAAAAATATATATATATATATAATATATATATATATATATTATATATATACTATATAATTTAATACTATACTTATATATATACCTATATAGCTATCACTATTACTATACACACACACAATAACATACATATATACATATAATAAATAAAAAATGGATGGATTAAAACTAAAATACCAAAATGTAAATAACTGATCAAAGCAATGTAAGAATAAGGAATTTCACTCACAGCACTACAAGACATGAAATAACTAAAATTAAAACAAATAAATGGAAATGATAGTGCAAGTCACTCGAAATAATGGCAATCGATCACATTATAGATGCACGGTTTAAATGTTGGTGGAACTTTCAGAAGTAGTCATTTTTTTGTTGCAAACATAAATTTATGACAAGTCACTATTCGCTTTATTATGATATATATTGGGTAATTCTTATAATGTTGGGAACAATTGCTAACACAAAAAGAAATGAAAATACCCTATATCGCTTTTCAGTACATATGTCCATGCGACTGTAACATTTTACATTAAATGAAAAAAAGGAAAAAACTACTTATTTATTGAAATTAACAAAAATGCAATAAAATGACATAAAAATGGGTAATTTTGTTTTGTCATAACATAAAATGAATTTTTATACTAAACATGTTCCAAAGTGAAAAGAAAAAAATTACATTTCTTTAAAGTCCACCCCCTTGTCATTAGAAACGGGGATGTTTCCCTCCGAGTAGAAAAAAGCTGTCATCACACTAGTTTTCTACAAAGGAGACTACCATTTCTACAGCAAATACTTGGAACTTCTAACAGAAATTAAATATTTGCTGTAGACTTTTGTGTTGAATTGATAATTTGAGTGATTTTTATTGATAAGACTTTGTTGATAATTCTTGATGTAGATTGTTTCAATTTTGTTTAAGGATTAAGGAGACCAGTGTATTTTCAATATGATATGGGCACTGCTGACACTATATCCAAAACTGTGGATGCATTGCTTAGTGATTGGGCTCAGATTGTTCATTTGTATGTTGTTGTAGAGGAGCTAGCTGAATATTTCCGACTGGGTATGTAGTTCTTTTCTTTTTAGATAATTCAAGTAAGAATGCATTTTCATGTTTTTTTGATAATTTTTCATTAATGCATTTCAGAAAAGTACAATTTATCCAATATGGTGACAATAAAATCATATAGTTATAGCCGTCTTGTTATGGGGTATGGTCCAGATAGAGGAGCAACTGTTACTGTTCAGTGGAATAGTGCTGAGAAAGCTTTTCGTCTAATATTTGGTAATATTAAATTCATCATTTGACGATGTGTATTGTGACTTGTTCTGAAAATATAACATATTTAACTTTTGCTTTGCAGGTGCAACAAATAATTGTATGAATGCCCACTCCTTAGTTCGAGAACAACTTGAAGCTCATTTAAATAGACATCGCAATTTAGCACAGATTGTACATTTATTGCATGAAACATATGAACCTCTTCTTTCGATCAGTAAATTACCTACTATCCCACAACTTGGTGTACATAATTCGGTATGTTGTTAGATGAAATGCATGTATGATGTTTTTGCTCATATAAAGCTAAATATCATTTTGCCTTAACATTTCTTATAAGTAAACATGTTTTCAGAGACCACAAGTTCCAGTACAAACATTCACTATAATGCCTCAGTCTCCAACGCTATTACGTATAGCTTACCAAGGAATGTATTGCTTGGAATTGAGGTTGAGAGGTGGAGGTTTGGTGAGCTTGCGAGATGGTGCTTACAGTCGTTTTGATCGGAGCAATGTGGTGGATGAGTTCCATCCAACTCCAGGGTTGAAGGTATGCAAGTTAATTTAGATTTTCATTGTTATTGAAGTTTGGTGGGTATATTTTGAATAAATCAGTTTTAAACATCATAAAGTAATATTTCATTCTTGGGTAATCTTGGTACTGCACCAACACACATTGGAATGGAAGAACTAAACTAGTGGTTCTACAGATGTGCACAGACTTTCTTAGTTAGTTTTCTAGCTTTTCTGTCTTGCCTCATACTTTTGTCAATTGCCCTCTATCGCCACTAAGTAGACATCGCACATTGAAAACTAGAAAATGCACTTTATCTTGAGCTGTAGCTTGAGCATCTTACTTGAGCTGTGGGCACAATGCATGTTGCCAAGAATAGAGGTAGCATCACAATCATTTGTTTATATTACATCGTCCTTCACAATTTTACACTTTCTCATTCTAAAATTGAAGTATTTTTTTCCATCCTTTAATATCCTTAATCATCAAAGTATGGAATTCTCTGTAGGTTTTTAACTGTAAATTCATTTCATGAACCCTCTCTCCATCATTACAAACTTCCTTAAACAAACATTTTATTGAGTTGGGGAAAATGTAAACTTAGCATCTTCTTCTTTTAGAAGTGTTGTTCAACATTTAAAATTCACTATGCTTTGGTTAATATGTCTTCGATTTCTGATGTAAATTTTGGTCAGATTTCTATTCGACCTTGTAATATCATGTATCATGTATTATGTATTTAATACTGTATATTAATGCAGATTATAATCCTTATAAATTGTATTTATCTAAATACGTTATACTGTACTCACACTTCCAAAGAAAAAAATTGTTTCCACAATTAACACCATTTTCCCTGGAGTCCCAAAGTGTAAAAGAGGGGTTTTACTGTATATACGAAAAAATTACAACAAATGTAAGACTACCACAGGGATGCACATTATCCCCAATACTATTTAACTTATATGTGAACAACATAACCAAAACATTTATTTATTTATTAGTGGTGCCAGCAACAAGCTGTTGTACACATCTTACAACAGTGTGATAATAATTTACCTAAGTAGAGTATCATTGTTGTAATTAAATCACAAATATAGATCACATACGAGATAAGACATAATTATCAACATTTAGTTGATCACAAAGTTATGACTATCCAGACTATCCATGAAGGTGTTCAGGGTTTTCTTTTGTATTCAGTATGCAGGAAGTGCATTCAATGAATTAACTACTCAGTGTACAAAAAATGAGAACATTGTTCTGTCCTTGTTCTTTCTTCTATTATATATCTTGTTTTTGTTCAGCTTCATTAAATGTCCTCTAAGTCTAGATTTCATGGTTTTTGTGAAGAAGTTGTTAAATTCAGGAATGTTATAATATCCATTCCAGATTTTAAAAGTTTCTATAATGTCACCCCTGAACCTGTCCTTGGAGGACACGCTCTGTAAAGGCATGGGGTCTTGCTAGTGTTTCCAATCGCTACCTGGAATGTTCTGTCCAACAAGTATTCTTGAATCCACATCAGTAGTTTGTCTCATATACCCAAAGACGAGAGTTTGTAGATGAGATGTTGATGTGGTACTTTATCGAAAGCTTTAGCATTATCTAGATAAATGTCATCAACTGACTGTTTCTGATCCATCCTTCTTTGGCACATACATCCAGTGACTGCAGTAAATTCGTGGATGTTGATCTTTCAGGGATGAAACTGTTTTGTTGTTTAGTTATAAAATAATTTTTAGTTCATTATCTAAAAGCCGTCAGACTATTACTCTTTCCATGATATTGCTCACAGTGTTTGACTGACTTATTGGTCTGTAGTTTATTGGTGAATTATTGTCTTCTTTGTAGAAAACTAGTGTGATAACAGCTTTTTTCCACTCTGAGGGCAACATCCCTGTTTCTAATGACAAGAGGGTGGATTTTAAAGAAATGTAATTTTTTTTTAATTTTCACTTTGGAACAATGCTGTTTAGTATAAAAATTCATTTTTTGTTATGACAAAACAAAATTACCCATTTTCATGTCATTTCTTGCATTTTTTGTTAATTTCAATAAATAAGTAGTTTTTTGCTCCCCCCCCCCGTCATTTTTACTGCGTTTTTCACTTATTTTGTCAATTTTAATATCATTTTAACAGTACTTGCTTCAAACAACAATTATGAAGTGCAACAAATGTTCACTGCAGAATTCCTGAATCCTGAATAGTCTCTTAGAGTTCTTCACCCATATATTGTCATGTCAGCCATTGTGAATACTAGGTAATGTAAGGTTCCTGTGACTCTTATTGGTGCCATTGTCAGTTCAGCCAATTTCACGATAAATAACCACAGAAATTTTCTTTTAAAGAACCGTCCAAACCCAAGGTTGCGAGCTGAGTTCATTTGAACAAAAGTAAGAAGCCTCGATTTCATTAACAACATATCCATCAGTTTGAGTTGTTCATCTGAAGTGGTTTTGATACAATTTTATATTTCATTTTCCTTTGTTTTTAGGGCATTTTTAAAGCATTTTAAGAGTATTTTATTGAACATTTTTGGCAATGTTTTAGGTCATCAAACTCTGCCCCCTACTAATGGCTGTCTGAATATTCTGTTCAGTAAAGGAGCTAGTTGTAGTTTACAATTTTCAGGTACACAGTGGGAATACCATCAGGACCAGTGGATGAGCTTGCATTCAATGTGCTCATTATCTGGGCAGTTTCGATATCTGAAAATTCTATATTATCAATAATTCCAGTTCATTTCTCTTCACTAGTCGACAATGAACCTTCAGGTTTCATGTCATAATAATCTCCAAATTCATGTGGAAAGCATTCCCCAATTTCACTTAGATTAGTTATTACAGAATCTCCATTCATGACAATCGTAGGAGAACCAGTTTTACAGTTAGTTTGTCTTTGTATATAACAGAAGAATCTTTTGCCACCATCCTGGAAAACTTGCTCTTCATATTTTTGTTTACACTGTCTCATATTAGAGATGAGATTGTTTGAATTGTTCCTTTAGATGGTGTTACTTTCATCTGTTCCATTTCTGCTATGATTTGCCCACACCCGATGTTTAATTCATTCTATTCCTAGTATCTCGCGAGTGAGTATTTAAAAGACATTTAGATATTTCACAAAAATTCTCATAATTGGTTTCAACACTGTTGTCAGCATCTTTGTTAATATCCATATTTAGTAATGTAGGGTGTCTCGTTGTGTATTTTGCTTGAAAGAAATTCCGTTTGAAGATGGACTTATATGAAACACTGTTATTCATGGGTGATTGACTTGTAGCAATGTGATAGTTACCAAATAATCACTTTAACCAATGTTGGGCCTTAGGATTGGAGGTGTAATGATGTATTCATCATTACTTAACACTATATCAAGAATTGCAGGAGTTTGATTTACTTTATATCTAGTAGGCTGAAGTACCTTCTGGATAAGATTTGAGTCTACATACTGTTTAATTATTTCTCTTTCATATTTCATGTTAGCAATAGCTCCATGTGATGGTTGGAAAATTGCAATCTCCAAAAATAAAAATTTGGATCTTCATGTCGAGGTTCATGATCATCCTCTCAAGTAATTAGATATCTGATTGCCATGCCTTTTATATCAGGTGTTGGTGACCTTTATATTCCTCCTACAGCATATAGTAGGTTCCCATATTCTAGTTTCAACCAGAGTGCTTCCACATCAGGATCCTGTATTTCACACCTTTGTCACTTTTACAGTTGTATTTCCAATCATTTGTTTCACGTACATTATTACTCCCCCTCCTCGCCTATTCAACCTGTCTCTCTGATGTATGTGAGAGCCAGTACATGTACCAGAGAGTCAGGGATATTCAGGTTGAGCCATGATTCAATAAAACTATTGCATCTGGGTACATGTTGTTGACTTCTATAAAAAATTGGTCAAACTTTGGAAGGAGGGTGCATTGTTTTTATACATAATTTTGTATTTATGTCCAAGTTGCTTGTTACTGCCTTTTCTCATTTCCCTTCCCAACTACAATCCGAGGAACTTCCCTAATGTATTTAATGACAAGTTTTGGGTTTGATTCTTGTCTGCTGTTTAGTTCTTCACTAAGAACTTTTCATTCATTTCTCTGCATTGGGGTTAGGTCGTTTCTAGCTTTTACTCTAGTTTCTACTTTACTAGCTGTGGAAATTTCTTTAAAATATTTTTGACAGAGATAGATCTCTCAAAATTGTTTTGGTAGGTCTTCATCAAGATTCTTCATCATCTGAGTTAAGTTTTCCCAATCTGATAATATATTCGACTATTTCCTCAGCTTATATATCTAGTTCTTTCAATATTTTTGTAACGATGGTTAGGTCATGAGATTTTCAAGTTTCAGCTTCATCAGTTGATGGTTCCTGCATGCCATAAAGAATCTCTCTTATGATCAAAGAATGAGTTTTCGGGTTTGCTCCACGAGCCTTAATATTTTGTTTTCTTGTTTTGCCAAAGTTTCTTCTTCTTGATTGAGAATTTAATCTTGACACTTTTTTCAAGTTTCTCCTGCCCCTCCTTGTAAGATTGAATGTCTGCTGTAAGTTTACTTACTGCCTTCACAATTTTGTTGACATCTGTCTTGATTCTTGCCATGTCCTCCACTTGGTTAGTTTTGTCTTCAAGCTTGACAAGTTTATTACTCAACTCCTTAGTAGTTTAATCTGTTCTCTAAGAAACTTTACTCGCTGTTGATTCATAGCCAGCTCACAGTTGGATGAACAGCTATCAAATATTTCACAGTCTGGTTTTCCACTTATCCTTAAACCACAACTAGGGTGAAACGTTGCTTAGCATGTCACGCAAGTTAAGATAGCCTTGGATACTGTTTTGTTGCAATTATTACAGATATTCATTCTGTTGTTTTCTATTTGATTTTCTATCTTGTTTAATTCAGTTGTATAACCTTTAATCAAGCATTGGAGTGGTCAAGTATATCAATCATAACAATTTATAGTATGTTCCCTCATCACTATGGCCAGAATCGCAAGATGTCATGTCTTGCGCTGCAAGGGCAAAGGCATGGGAAAGCAGCGCTACATACATCCAACCTCATCTATCGCCACACTAGAACTAGATGTCATCAGGTGTCTTGCACTGAAGAGGCACTAGCAAATTAGAACAATACAAAGAGCAGCTCATAAATAATAAGAAATAGTTCTAAAAAAAGGATTTATGAAGCAATTGTTGAAGGAATTGCCCTATGTGGTAGCGAGACATGGGAAGTAAATAAAAGACGATGCAAAAAATTACAAGCTTTAGAAATGAATGCCCTTCAAGAAGTAGGATCTCCAAATGAGAACATATCCCAAATGAAGAAATAAAACAGAAAATGATTATAAGCAGAGATACAATTGATAGAATAGAATACAAGAGACTGATGTGATGGACGGACACCTAAGAAGAATGAAAAAGGTGCGATGGCCATTGAAAATATGGGACTGGACACCAGCTGAAAGAAGAAAAAGAGGTAGACCAAGGAAAACTTGGAGAGATGCTATATACAAAGCATCCACATACATATATGCAATGGCATCCACATACCTGGAATAGTGGATGTGTCAGACAGAACAAAGTGACAAAAAGGATGCAGGAAACAGCAAATGCTGTAATACATTCTTAATGTAGTAATGGCTGCACCTTCTCTATTGTTTAGAAGTGAATATTGGACTGCAAGAGAGAGAGAGATAAACAATGTTAAAATCTGACAAAATAAAATTTCTGAGATCTGAAGACTCATATCAGACAAGAGAATCGGAAATGAGGAAATAAAAACAAGATTAAATGTTCAAGAAATGACAAAGTAATTACTTATAAACAGGAATGGCTACATGTTGAACAAATGGAGAAGACACTCATTCCAATGCAGGTGTTTATGTGTAGTTTGCAAGGTAGAAGAGACCCAGGCAGATTGTTGAAGGAATGGCATTCTTAAAAGACGGAACAAGTCTTGGACCTATTGTTGAAGTGGAGAAGAAGAACATTAAAACATTGTCCTCTTGTGAGAAATGACTAGGATGACAAATACTTGCATAACTGAAAAAAAAAAAAAATTGGTAAAAATAAGAAACAAGAAAATTAAATTCACAATATGAGAAAATTATGGTAGAGTGAGCGAGCGAGCATTACTAATTTCCACAGACATTGAAAGAAATGCGCGTAGAAATTGAAGAAAACTATGCAGCCTCTGGCTAAGTGTGAAGTGTTTCCCAGGAGCTCCGGGGAAAATTCAAAAACAATGAAACAGTATCGACTTAGAATGAAATTAGAAATATTTGATTGTGTTATTGACCTTTTCTCATACTGCATGTACTGACTCAATTCTCATACTTGGTGCATCACTTCTTACCATAATACTGATGTTATACCTCAGAAAGGTTCCATGGAAAGGACATCCGGCATTAAATATTTAGGTGTTGCATTAGGGAACAGCAACTTTTTTGATATTCTTGGCATGTAAAGAGCTGTTGGACTGTTTATCCATGCTGAATTACTGCAATGTTTGTGAAGACTGTTTCTGGTAAAATATTTAATTCATTTCAGTGTTTTTTGTGAGTGTTTTATTTGTTGTTCTTTAGCAGTGTGTGTGTGTGTGTACTTTTTGGAAATTCATTTTGTGAAGATTTGTTCAGCAACACTGTTGTTGCTTTGTCACTAATATCAAACTAGTTTCATTTACGAGTTTCTTAAAGTTAGTATTTGTAATATTTTTTTTATGTTTTCAGGCATTTTTATCAAAGTATGTTGATGAAACTGCTGTTTTCCGGAGACGATCTCAGTCTGAAGATGATAATCCACCTTCTCCTGTTACAATGGATGCAGAAGGTGGACCAGTTTCATTCTTGGGATCTCATCACAGAGGACCTCAATCTCCTGCTCAACAGAGGGAAGGTGGTTTGAGATTCCATCCTCCTTTGACTCCACCATCTGGCAGTAATCCTCATACTCCTGCAAGTCCTCACCCTGCCATTTCTCAGGTAAAGAAGGAAAAATTGTCAGGTGTTATATTGTAGAGAGCCTAAAGATCAAAAAGATTCAATGGTTTTCAAAAAAAATTTTCTTATTCCAGCCAAGTCAACATCAGAGTTTTGGTTCAAGCCCTGCAACATCTTTCAATTTAGCATCTCCACCATCTCTTCCACCTAATATAAATCCATCACCCTCAATGCTACCACATCCTTCTCCTGGAGGACTCCTAGCAAATTCACCTTCTAATCCATTGCATGTGCCTAGCCCTGGTTTAATGCCAACGTCCTCTCCTGGTCCTTGTACAAATGTCCAAGTGGGTCATTCTCCAGCCAGTTCTTTCATGGGACAAGCAGGTGAGTGCACCAGATGGAAAGCTTTGTTTTGTAAACACTACTTTTATTAGTGTAACAATGAGAACGAGTTAACTCTCCTGGGAAAACACAAATGCCTCAGTCTTAGATAACCAAAACATGCAGGAAACACTATGTTCCGAAGGGACAGTGTGTACTATGTAATACAGTACAATACATTCTTATATTTGTTCCAGCAACATCCATACTAATTAAAGTGAATTCAGTGGCATGTAACAGTCATCAATACTACAAAAAATTGTGTATGAATTGATAAGAAATTTTTTCAGGCTCTTCGTCAGGACTGCACAGTGTCCTTACAAAGTTGGATAAAGATTAATACAACGGAATTGCTGAAAATAAATAATTTAAATTATATGTTGGAAGATGCACCTCAACCATGCACCTCTCTCCTAAAATATTCCGCAAGAGGCGGATCCTTGGGGTAGTCAAAGTAGGCACTGCCTATCGTGCTGTGTAGTTTAATATATTTCATAATAATAATAATAATAATAATAATAATAATAATAATAATAATAATAATAATAATAATAATAAAAAAAGACTTACACAATTTTAATATTGTGTGAGTATTAATCATATGGAATGTAAAATGAATATTTCATTATCGTGGCACAAGCCACATTTCTATTTAAAGCGTTTGTTTATAATGGGTTGTGTGCAATGCCATTGTGTCTCGTCTCTTCCCACAGAGACATGCACCCACTTGCATGTCTCAGCGTAGGCCCATGCGGGTGCTGCCTAGCTTCGTTCCATATTCTGAGAAAAGCCCCTGTAGTGAGCATGCTGTGTCCATACTTGTCACAAGCACGTTATGTATAAGCTAGCAAATTTGCATGCTGTCTGCGTGCAAAGAAGACTGATTTCCATTCATGTAAGCCGCAACTCATATTTCCACTAGTGTTTACTTTTGTGATAAGTAAGCAGAGTAAGGGATAATTATTTAGGAAATACTTACTTTTTGTTTTAAATTAGTATGCTGCTGATTATTAGTGTTACGAGATTTTTTTATATTTAAATCTGTTTTTATGTATAGCCACAAAACTCCTACAATGTATCAGAAATTTAAGTTATGTAGAACAACTATGTGAACTAGACATACAGTCTTTATCTTTTAGGAGAAAAAATACTGAACGGGCTCTATGATGCTCTGGAATTGTTACACTTCTGTGTGTTCGCTGCTACCCTCAACCTGAGATGTGTTGTCAACCAATGTTGCTGACACAACATTAATCTAAATTCAAACATGTCAACTTCAAAAACATCCTAACGAACTGCATAGTTAATTACTGGAATAACCTTCCTTAAGAGATCTCTGCCAGCACTGTTTACTAATTTAAAAGACTTTACTCGCGTCTCAATATGTGATGAGTATTACAAATTATTAGCATTTATCACACTGTAAACTATATGAAACCTGATAAATATACATCAGTTACAGCTATATCAGTTTTCTGCGGCCATATATACAAATAAAAAATAAAAAAACTCAAAAATTGTGACAGATACAGTGAATGAACTACTGCATACACCATTTTCTCATCTTAATGATATAGAAAAGAGACAAATTTTGGAGAGTAGCTGAACTACTACTATGTTGACTATGGTTGTACATTGTACTGACAAGAAAAATGCTAGGAAATTCAGTCCATGATATGATTCACACAAATGGCTAACAGATAGTGAAGTGAAAGCTAAGCTTGGCTCTTTCTTTAATTATCAATTAAGGAGAGTACTTGAAATAGAGATAGATATTTTGACTTGGAAAAATTATTCAAACTATGCAAAGATATGAAATATCAAAATATTACATACGTAATTCAGTGAATCTTAAACACCAGAAAAAACAAATTGAATCCGATTTCTGAATTATTATCAGAGCAACACAAACTTTTTTCAGAATCTGAATATCTTAAAATCACGTCTGTGTGTGCTTTATGGAAATAATGCTCTGGAAGGTAATCATATCATTGAGACAATTGTTTTGAATAAAATTACAAAAAAATTGGATTGACATGGGGTATGTTCCCCATGATCCCTTCCCAGGATACGCCCTTGTTTAGTAATCTGTTTTACGTACCCTGAACATTGTTCAAGAGCCGCCACTGCCACTCAGTGTGGTCAGTAGTGGAGCAGTATAACTGAATTCTAATAGATTCTCTCCTAATATATTTTGCTGGAGGCCAGTAACAGTGTGTAAGATAAGATTTTGATCTAATGGCAAATGTTGTGTAAAATAAAAATTTTTTTAGTATTTTATTAAAATTTGAATCAATTACATTAAAAATAATAATCTTAAAATGTTGTGGCTTAAATAAAATCAATCTTTTTCTTCTTTCACAAAGATTGCATATGAAGAAAACTCGGCAACGCCGGGTATTTTGTGAGTTTTCAATATTGTCTATAGGTGTAAAAATATATTAAAAAAGAAACGAAGCTCTAGCAATGCTGCAGAATGACAGACGTTCTTGTACTAATTAATTTCTAATTTCTTGTGTCTGGCTAGCATTTCTGACTTACCATATACTCTTGGCAGCTGCAATCTATCACCACCCAAAGTAAATTTTTTTGAAAATTTTCTCAATTTTTTGGTTTCTTAAAGGTAGAACTGCAAACTTTGTTGCTCCTTTTCACAGAAAACTTTTGAGTTTTCCAGCAACTTAATTGAAAGTCATTTGAAGCCCTTCTTACAAATGCAATAATGTGAACAAATTGCTGGAAATGTGCATAACAGCATAAGAGATGTTTGTGTAATTTAAAATCAACGACAATAGAATACAACAAAAAGACTTTTATGTCATCTTAAACCGTGCAATTAGCCATATTAAATGTTTGAAGAAAAAATTAGAGACATTTTTAAAAAAATGGCATTTCACTGTTTTTAAAAGCATGAAATTTTGAGCTCATTTTTGCAGAAAACTATTGAGTTTTCAAAAATCTTTGTCTGACATCATTTAAAGCATGTGTGCTCATAAATGCAATAATGTAAACAAATCACCTCTAATGCAAATATTAACAATGTGAGAGAGATATAAAAAAATTACATTGTGTAATTTTTGAAAACTAGAGAATAGAGCAAAATTATGTTTCTATCATCTTAGAGAGTATATTTAGCACTACGTGTACAAAAAGTTTTTTAAAAAAATTGAACTGTTTTTGAGAAAATCATGATTTTGTTAGTTTTTATAATTGCACATCTTGCATGCAATTATGCTAAAATATGTATATGACCCTAAGTATGTGTAAAAAAAAAACGTGCATGTGCGTAATGAAAGAACTAATTGTGGAGAACAAATTTCATATGAAGGGAAAATCTATCCACAGTTTTGTTGTTGTAGGAAGATGCTGAAAATATTTTTATCTTTTGCTATTTTTGAAAATTGAGATTTAACAGTAAAAATCAGACCAATGTCACCTTTATAAGCGTATTTCTTCTATTCTTAGAAGAAATTTAAAGAAAAAATTTGGAACCATTACTGAGAAAATTTTGAGAATGCCTTGTAACTTTCTCTGTACTAAGTATATTACACCGTATATACGTACGCATACAAGAAAGTAAAGAGTAAATTTTATTTAAGAAACAAAAACTTTGTATTCAGATAAGTTCATGCCTGTTTTGCAATGTAAACTTTTGTCTGAAAGAAATAGAGCAATGCAACCCAACAATATGATTATTATATATATGATAATTATTCCCCAAACACTGCCAAGAATTTTCAATACAGTGTATGTAAACTTGGGCTACATTGCCAGATATTTCTGCTTCATTACCAGATATAACATTTCAATTTAGCAAGTTTTTTTCTGAAGAGTGGGAATGATGTTTACTGAGAGATGTTATATCAGGTTCCTACGCAAAACATTTTTTGTAGTAGTTATAATTCCAATCACAGCATTGGTTCTATATTAACACACATGTGTGAAACAAAGGGAAATGAATTTTAATTATTGTTGATGTTCTGAGAGTTATCAACAGTCCTGCAGTAACACGTTCACAGTTGGAAGAATAACGGTAAAATCCCTATAAAATTCACATGAGTTTTTTATTTATTTGTTTATACAGTTTCTATTTAAAAGGAACAATTTGGTTTAAAAACACCCAAAAAAATTGTTGCTAAAAATGTTGAATTAATAAAAATAACAAAGTTTGGAAGACACTTCTTCCCACCTTCAGATACCAGAATTACCATTGAATTTACAGGGGGCTAAAATATAAATATTAGGTAACAAATGCTTGTACATTTTCATAGCTCATCTGGTTTGATATGTATTGTTTCCATATAAAACTATGCTTCGCATACCATGGGATCAGGAGAATGACAGAGTGTATAGGTTGGTGGATGGTCAGAGTTAGCTTTTCTCATAATGGATGCCAGGTAGTGAAATCGCAATGAAGAGGGTGGGGGTAGAAGACAAAGGGAGCAGTAATTGTTGACTTTTTTTTTTCATTTGGTAAAATAAATTGCCATGACTGTCATTTTGACATATGCAAATGAAGGAAGTAAATTACAAAAAATATGTTAAAAGAGTACATTTCTCAATGTTGTTTGCATCATTTTATTCAGGAAACACTAAATATTTAGAAAGTGTTAAAATCTCAAAATGTCTAAAATTCAAATTTTTGCTCTTTCTTATACCAAATTGTTTCTTTTAAATCCACATTTTATAAATAAACTCATTGGAATTTTGAAGGGATTTTACTGTTATTTTTCCAACTTTGAACTTATTAGTGCATGACTGTCAATAAACCCTATGAAATCATGAACAATAATGTAAGATAACATGGCAGTTAGAAGCAAACACATTAAGATAAAATGTATTTCTTTCAGATTCTTTGAGGTATATGTTAAACAATTTGCATTTATACCTTCTCTGAAATGCAATAACACAAAACCTTTGAGTATCCAAATTAAGCAAGGTGTGTTAAGGCCAGGATGCTAAGTGTTAACATTCTGCTACAGGTTCCATTATGTTATTTTTTTGCACATTTCTCCTTGAAATATTTGATTAGTAATGTTACTTTAAATATCTGAGAACCAGTTTCAGGAAAATAAATTAATTAATCAATTGTCATAAAGTTTCAAGGTCATTTTACACATACATATTGTGATTTCAGAGCAATATTAGTGTATGCAGTTTGTCTGTGTATTAAGGTATTAAAAATAATAAACTTGTGTATCAGGACACACCGATGGAAGTCCGTTCCCTTCATCTCAGAGTATGACGTCCCCAGCTGCATCTAATTGGCCTGGATCCCCAAGTGTACCACGGCCTTCTCCTGCTAGACCTGGTCAATCTCCTGGTACAGGACATCCTGCGTTACATAGTCCACAGGCAGATCATAAGCCAGGTAAATGTGCAAAGTCAACTAATGAATTGAAATAACTTCAATATTATTATTATTATTATTATTATTATTATTATTATTATTTTACTTTGTATCGTAACATGGGAATGGATCTTCCAACCCTTTTAATCTCTTATGCGTCGCATAAAACATTAATGTTTCTGTTGCAGGTGGTAGTCACTTATCTCGAGTTCTTCCTCAGCGTTCTTGGGCAGGAGCTGTTCCAACATTACTGACACATGAGGCACTAGATATTTTGTGTACTCCTAGTGCTCATCCCATGGGTCTACCTGGCCCTCCTATGTCACCATTAGAAAGGTTTCTGGGTTGTGTGTATATGAGAAGACAGTTACAACGTTCAATTCAAACTGAGGAATGTGTGAGTGATATTTTAATAACTTTTTCTTATTTCAAAACCTTTTGAAGTATTATTAATGACAATACATTTTGTTATATAGTTGACAGGAATTCCCACTAATGAACCGGGAGTGGTTCATTTCAAAGTAGAAAGTTTACAGTGTCGTGTGTGTTTGAACACACAACATTTCCAGTCACTGCACATAAAAATCACACCTTTACCTGATCATAAAGAGCAATGGAGTGCTGAAGAAATGCAGGTAAGAGGAGTTACTTTAAACTAAAATGTCCACTATTTTGTTTTGTGAAATGCTTGAACGATCATGCTGCCTGTTTTCCTCAGAAACATCTTTCAAAAAGTCTGGGCTTCCTGGGAAAGACTTTATGTGACTAGGTGACCTTTAATTCATCTTAAGGCACTTGAAAATATGGAATTAAATATGAAAAACACAAATATGTAAATACAGTGAAAGTTTGTTTATACGTTTCTTACCTACATGTTTTCACGTTTATACGTTTCTTTTAGTAGGTTCTGGATAAATTCCTATAATTTTCATGTTAAATTACTTGTTATGCGTTTTACATATGTATGTTTTTCACACTTGTACACTCATAATAGAAGTCCTTTTAAGACCGTATGGAGTTCAAATGATCCTTGTGAGGCATTGGGCGCCCTGCACCGAGGGCCCGGAACTTGTATGTTACTCAAGTTGACATGCGCCAGAGCGATCTGTCGTTTGGCCTGTGAGATGACTTTCCGCTAATGAAACTTGTAATATAGAAGCTCAACTCGGCCAAGCTGAGGGGCCAAGACTGAATGGGTTCACAGAGTGGTATCACAAAGTCAGCTCCCGGCTCACCTCCGGCAGCGAAACTTCCAAAAATTTCAGAGTTGCGTGCATACAGGAGCTCTTTGAAGATCTCAGGAGGCGACAGGTAGCTCCAAGGGCAGGTCAAAGGAGTCCTCTGAAGCAAGTAAAGATGTAAATGAACATTGTGACCATAAGTGAAGTTTGTGCACTGACTGTCCCTCACTCCGAAGGCCCTTTGGCTCACTGTAATATCATAAGAGATCCTTTCAGTAGCGGCATGGCACAAGTAGCTAACAAAACTGACTGCTTTTCCATATGGTGCAGCAGGTGTTTCCAAGCTGTGGGGGATTGCAGTTGTGCGCTTCCTGTCTCCCACATAGAATATCGTTCTTTGACTTACAATCTCAAGTAACATCAAGCTTGAAATCGAAGCAACCATCTGTGAGTTGCCACTGCCAGTTGTAGCCCTCACAAGACATGGCCTTCGTTTCCCGAATAAACGGAGTCGGTTAAGGTCATCATTAAGGTCTCCATTGCATGTCCGCTGCCTCCACCTCAGGGGAGACATCTTTGATGACGAGCTTCGACCGATGATAATTTTTCCAAACTGACCGGAGTTGTAATTTGTGGCTCTGAGGCCCAGTGTTTAAATCAAAATATAGTTCGTCTTCTATCTGGTTTTGTGCTCGTGATATTAAATGAAAAAGAGTGCTAGGAGAAGGTAACTCCTTTCAATATGAAATAAAATAAAACTTTTAAAAGTTGTTAGAGAGAGTGGCAATAAAAAGGTAGATATTACTAAAGAACTGGGAAAATGATAGTGTACAAATATTGAGTTTTAATTTGGCTCATAATAATCAATTTCAGTTATGGTTTTTCTCTCTTATACATTTTTTCCCTTCAGTCCCTTGAAAAACATAAATGAAGTTTTACTGTAGGTTGTAATTATGAACTCCATTAATAAATGCCATTTGCCATAATGTCATTTGCCAAATATCTATTCTCTTATCTTCACTGGCTTCAAACTGAATTTTCCATTTATTGGATATTTATTACAAAGATCATTTAGTCCTGAGACTTTAAAACCATGTTAATTTCAGAATCCTGCCGATTTTGAAAAATTTTTATCATGTGATAAATTAGAGATAAGTGAAAGTGATAAAAGTTCTTGGCAGACAAAACTTTGAAACTTACTTAACCAGAGAGGTGGGAGGATTGATTTGGGATGTTTAATGATACTGTTAATGATACGCTGTTAATTTGAATACAACCCTTTTTTTTTTATTGTCGGAAAAAAATTCTACGTACTAAATATAATATTCAAACACAATTGAATACATGCAAGCTTAGGCTTCCTTAGCTGGAGGCAATACATATTTAGCCTTCCAGGAGATGCCCTCTCCTTGACACAGATGCCAGTTTTCCAGCTATCAAAATGAGACCTTCCTCGAAGTGAAATGGGAAGAGGTGGGTTAGCGATATTTATTATAACCTCTGTGACCTTCCTGAGGGCAAAATGCAAGGAGATGAATTGTGCATTGAATAGGGATTGTAGATAGAACATGTGTGCAGTTGACCTCCACACATTTTGCCCAAAGGAATGTCACATACTGACAGCTTAAACGTTGGGATCTGTGCCTATAACATGGCATCTCCCCGACAACCAAGTATGCTTTTGTGTAGTAGGCTCTAAAACAATCCTGTATACTATGAGGATCATGATGACTTTTTCCACAAAACTAAAGACTGAACATTGCTTGTTATAAGAGAAAACTTGGTGTATGTGATAAACAAAGTATATTCAGGTTTTGGAATTAAAACAGTAGCCCAAGCCACACTTGGTCATAGGACTGAAAGTATTAAAGGTATTAGTTAAGGCTATTACACCAGTGGTGAAAAAGTTTATTTTATGTCTGAAGATATGTGTAATGTATTAACTTTCTGCACTACTTTTAAACTTTCCATATTTGTATTTCATTGGGTACTGATGTGACAACCTAAGTGTCCACGTTTTCAAAGCATAACTTCTTGTTATGAAAATAGTATTGTATTGCATGTCACTTCCCTCTCTTTATCTTTTTGGAAGCATATACCCATTCATGTTCACATGCCATTGAACTCGCTTGAAGGCAGTTCTAACTTTCTGTATAACATCAAGGATAAATGCTCATTTTCAATAATAAAGAGCAATAAAACTTATTGGGAATACAATGACAACAGCCATTGTGTAATACTTACTATAGAAAAAAATTATTCTTGGAACGAATTACTACAAAAAAATTAGTGGTGGAAAATGTATGTAATTGAAAAATGAGTGATATTGTACTGAGATAAACTGGATAAATTTGAATTTGCTCATGTCTTGGGAGATAAATAGTTCTTCATAACCTGTTCTGAATTTTGGCAAAGCTTGAGCAACACCCCTAAATTGAATTTGCCCACCACCAGTGGTAGTGACAGAGAAAATGTTAAGCTAAATTTTAAGGAAAGATAAGCTTTTGATGCTTCTGAATTAATGTGAAAAATATTAACAAATGCTTGTTGAGTGTGGATATGGTTTACTGAATGATTTAATGCTAAATATTTACCATTCTATGCTTTCTGTGCATTCACAGATAATAGAGAAGTTTTTTGATACTCGTGCTGCCGCTCCACCGTACAAGCCAAATTCCTTATCAGGTTTTGGTCGAATGTTGAATGTTCCATACAATGTCCTAAAAGATTTTGTACAAATCATGAAATTGGAGTTGGTAAGTAAAACTAGTTGTTATAATTGTTGGTTTTTTTTCCAATGTTTTTTTGTTTAATTGTATTAATTCGGTAATATATTATTTCAAATTATTTGCAGATGCCAACTCTAATTCAACAACAACAACTCAAATGGGCTGTTCAATGGAGCTTACGAATACCACCTTCATCAACACCTATTGTCCCTACTGGCATGGCAGCAGTTCTTGTTTGTAGAAATAAAATTCTTTTCTTTGTAAGTATTATAAGATAAAAATAATGAATGTTGTTATACTTGGCTGGCATGTACTGATCTCTGTTTTAATTTTATCCATAGTTACAAATTACTCGTGTGGGAGTGCAGTATCCAAATGGTATTGAACCTCCATCTCTAGTATTACCATTAGTTTATGATGTGAGCACCAATCTCACTCAGTTAGCTGAAAAGAGGGATCCAGGCCCAGCAACTGCTACAACTGCAGCTAGCCATCAGTTGAAGCGATTTGCTGAATTTGGAGTCACACCAAATGAGTGTTCATTATTTCCTGCTGTCCGAGACTTGCTGGCTAATCTTATTCTTCCATCAGAACCTCCATCCCAGGTACAAAATGTATAAATTCATGTTAATGGAGATTATTGTGGTGAAGTGGTGTATTCTTTCAAGTGATTTTCTTAACTTCAGATAATGGCTTACTAACAAAGTATTAAAGTACTCGTTGCATTTTTAGTATAAGTAGCTAAAATGCATCATAATAAACTAAAATTTGTGTGTACAGTAAAACCTGTTCAAACAGCCCCCTTCAATTAAGTGATCACTTTTATTAATGGCCATTTTTGTGGAACCAATTGAGTATTCTTAATGTCTTTAAAATTCCCTTTTTTAGGGGGTAGCCAGCAAAAAAATGAAGAACAATTTGAAATTTTTAAATTCTAATTTTCAATATTATATTAAATTTGGCCCAAGATGCAAAAAAAAAAACTCAAAAATCTGTAGCCAAGGAAGTGCTTTTGAATCATTAAAAAAATACCAGATTTCCTTTCTGAGGTCGCCGTTGTGTGCATGCAATTGAATAACAACCCCCCACTCCGTATTCACTCCACCCCCTCCCTGCCTCCCTGGCTTTTGCCCCAGCCGCCTTCACTTCACCGCCCTCAGTCGCCTTTGCCCCACCTTTGTTGCCATTCATTGCCCACTTTCGACCCTTCTGCTCTTTTCCTCTTGTGTGTGTTTGGTTTGAGGAAGAATTTTTTAGTGCAATAACTATTACAAATAATATCTAAAAAAAGGTTGTGTCAGAAATAGCTTCAAAAACACCTTTAAATGTTTTGCTGTAATATAGTGCAAAATTGTTTGATATTAGGGTCCCAAAACAATTACTATTTTGTCAAAATTGTAACATCCATGTTTTGTAGCATTAAAATATTTACTTTATACTATATAGATGAGAAAATAACAATTAGCATTAGACTTGCGTTTATATGGTAGATTGAATGTTATAGTAGTGTTGTAAATTTTCATCTGGTATTAAAGGGTGCTTTATAAAATGATTAGTCAAGCCTTGGGAGAGTAGGATACTGTTCGAAAAAATCAAAATTTTTCTGAACTTAAGTGTGTAATGAATAAGTCAAATTTTAGGCCCTTGTAAATCTGACAGGTCTTCTTAGTCCCACAAAAGAAATTGGTCAAATTGTTGTCATGTGCTTAGGGAGGCATGAATTCTGAAACTTCTGTCTGGGAATGTATTTACATATCAGAAGAGTGGAGAAGTTGTTTGTGAAAAGTTACACAAAGGCCAAATAATTTGTGAAATGTTATGGCGTAATTGTATGTTGTAATCGTATCACCATTTCACCAGCCTCTGTTCTGTAATTGAAGTGGATGTAGCTGAAGTAATACAAAATATTTATTCAGAACTTCAAAATAATTCATATTTACAATCCTTTCATGGCTTCATCCTTTCTCTGTTTTAATCATGAAATTTTCTTTGTAATCATGATTTTTATCTCTTGGTATGTGATCTGCAGGTTGCCTCCTCTCCAGCGCCACCCATGCAACAATCTCCAGCAATGCAAATGCATTCTCCTATGACTGGTGGTGTGGGAGGAGTTGTGGGAATGCCATCCCAACAAGGGGGACCAACAGGAGGGCCTCAGCAACCTCCAGGTGGCCTGCAATACCCTGTGGGCATAAGCATGGGGCAGCATCCCATGATGGGGCCACAATGAAATATCATTGACTTTGGGTACCTGCATTTTAAGTGCAAACACTCTCGAGACAAGACATTTCTTACTGTGAGTTTGTTTTTATTAGAATCCTTGTATATGAAGAGGCACATTACCAAAAGAGCCTTGATGTATCATAAATAAAGTATTTAATAAAATTCTACTATTATTGAACTTGGCTTCCGGAAGAGGGTTCATTAACTTTGCTGTCATGTTGGTAATTTTGTCACATTTGTGTTTCTGCATCAACTTGGATTCAAAAAATACTTCAGTGAGCTATTTTTATTTTTTTATTTAATTAGAAATAAAGGTCAGTGGTCTGAAAGCAGCAAAAGCTTCTTCTAAGGAAATAAATTAAAAAGAAAAGCAATAAAATCTTATAAGACTGCTTCTGTAGACATCACTGATGTCAGTGCTAGATATTTACATGTTGATTAGGAATTTAAAAAATATTCCTGCCTTAATTATTCAATTGAAGTCTTTGATTTCTGGGCTCCTGTAATCACATAAAAATGCATGTTCTTTGACATTTGTACACATATTTGTATCACGAAAATTTTAAGGAAATTCCAAATCTTGACATTTTGAATACAGGATTCTGGTTATGGACTTTGATAACACTAGCTTGAAAGAAGGATGTTATGTTTCCACACACAGAAAAATTACTTAACTCAGGTTTTTCATCTTTTTATAATATCTTGGAGTAAATGGTTTACATCAGAAGTGGCCAGCTACCACAGCACTGAGAGTAGTGTTTATGTAGACATTTTAAATTGGGATGGGGTTGGAAAAGTTAGGAGAGTGGTAATTTTTAGATCTTAATATATTTCAACTAGAATTCAGAAAGGTTACACAAAATAGATTAAGCTATTTGTTTATAAGTACTCTCTTTGTGACAATTTATGTAATAATTACAAACACACTCCTCTCTTATGATAGATCAATTTCACACTATTTGATTATGTACGTTGTGAATTATCGGTAATAAGCATGCCATGCCAAGTTACACGATTTCTCTTTTTATGGTTTCAAATATTCTCATCTATGTCTATTATTTGCATATTGGCCATTCATGACCATGCTACATGTTATTTTCCAAGACCCTGGATAGATTAACGAGTATAATTATGGGAAATAGAGTTTTTTGGATGTATCCCTTGATAAGACAAGGTTTTTACACCTTGAATTATGAATAATGAGGTGATAAGATGATGATTAGGGGTGAAGGGACTATCACAAATACGACCATGGCTACGCAGGACTCAAACCTGCAGCCTCTTCAGTGCAGACTATGGTTGCCGCAACGATCTGTGCTAGGAGGCCGGCTGTCTATTATATTATTATTATTATTATTATTATTATTATTATTATTATTAATTTACAATGTAAATAAAGGAATATATTTGTGGTTGTATATAAAAGTCATATATGGATTATTAACACTTTTTTCTTCTGTCTACATTTTTTGAAAGATTGGCTGACCTCACCCATGAAATGTAGTTTCCCAAAAATTGGGCTGAGGTACTAGAGAGGCTCAATAAAATCCTGGTTGAGGGCCATGATGTTGAGGGAATTGGAACATACTTATCAAAGGTTTAATAGTGGATGTGTCAATTTGTAAATATAATTTTTGCTATTGTCTTCTATAACTATAATTTAAAAATGAATGTGTTTAACCTTTGAACCATAAGCACAACCCTATCCTAAAACTCTCTTTAAGGCTGTAAACCCCAAAGCTCTGGTAGTTGGCCACCTCTGGTCTTTAAAAACAATTGTTACCCCTAGGATCATTGAGACAGCAAAATAAAGTTTGTGCTGAAACTGCCTCAAATGTTATAAACACAAGGATGTTGCAGTAGCTGAATTACTCTGCTCTGGGTTGTAAGAGTTTTCAGAAGAGAAAATAGGTATCAAGTGACTGTGAAGCAAAGTTTGTGCTGAAAAGCTTGAAAATTGTATTGTGTTCTTGATCTGTGATAAATTAAGAATTAAGTGAGACATTTTGCAACTTTGGAAGTGTTATGGTTCTGACAATTTTATCTCTTTACTGGAATTTTATAATTAGATAATGAACATAACAACTACTACAGAAAATTATTATTAAATAATTTGTACATGACTGCCTTAATGCAATGAAGAATTATATTATTGCCTGCAGATTTTGCATGTTCGCTCCCTCTTAGCACTCAAAATATTCAATTGTTTAAGATCAGCTGAAGTCAGAATTACTCATTTTTTGGGAGGATCTTAGGCTAGATGTTACCATATCAAATTTCAAAAATAATTTTAGTTTAAAGAAAATTACAAACATATTATGGACTACTTACATTTTAGGAGATGTTTCGCAGATTTTCGATGTGTTACCAGTGATATCGGCAATTTAAATGTACCTCTTCCAATTAATAGAATGCAGAAGTCTGCATCTATACAATAACCAAGATAACAACTTATGAAAATACCAGTCTTAGTGCCAGTAGTGAAAGTGTTTAACTACATGATTATTTACATGGGTATACATTACTTACCCATGTATCTATCTTTAGTCAACCTTTTGAAAGATTTCTAATGTATTGAGTAAAAAGTTAGTTCATGAATTAATAAAATTTAGTTGCATTGTACTTATAGTTGATATGGAAGTTTGAAAGGTATGTCATTACCATCAATTGATCATTTTGATTCTTCCCTTAAGTGAAACTTGTTTTGTTTTATTGTAATGAAATATCAGACTTTTTATCCTCCTAAGAGACTAGGCAGTAATCTCGCTGATGTCTTTGGGGTGAATGGAACCTTTATATCACTATGTAATTCAAAGATAGGTATTACATAATCCGGCTTCACTATTTGCGGATTTCAACATTGTTTATTCTAAAGTTTCAAGAATTATATATTTTTTTTGTTTTATAAGTAATAGATGTTATTGTTTCTAATTATGTAAATATTTTTTGTTGATGAAAAATACCCAAGTGTTGCTGACTGTCTTCACTTTTAGCAAGAATTTTTAAAGCCATTATTACTTTAAAAAATATCACAACTGATTTTTAAATACTCCCTTACTCCTTTTTGCATGTTCAAAATTGGGGTCAATGAAATTAGTTACATTACATATTTCTCTTTCAAGTTATTTAAAATTGTGAACTTGGCAATGCAATGCAATGCATAGTAGAAACAATGAGACATTTTGACAGACTGGCAATCACTTATAGCTTGCATCAGAATTCATGTAAGGTCACATATACACACTGAAGCAGCAAAACTTAAGTAATGGCTTCTATCTTCAAGCAAACTGACAATTTGGTGGTAAATGGTCTAATTGACCTATTGATCATAAATGAGATAATGAACATTTCCTTAGTATTTTATAATGAAAATAAGGATTGCTAAAGATTGTCTTATTAAAAGAATAATGAAGTTCCAGTGAAGTATGAAATGTAGAATAAATCGAGTTAATGTATTGTAACTCTTCAACCTGTTCAAAATAAGAAGGGGATATTGCAGGCCTGAAAACTGTTGTGGTAGAAAAGATGCAATTTTTACTATTAAAAACAAATTTAATACTCTACATAAAAGACAAAGCAATTGTATATACAATCTATAACTGCATTACTTTTTTCTCTGAATTTTGTTACACACAACATTGTGACATTGTGTGAAAAATTAACCAATGCATTCATACATTTTGATAGGAAATTAAATAGTGAGTATGCTTCTTAGTTCCAATAGCATTGGGCACAAGTTAATCAAGATATATTGTTGGGGTATTGCACATCTTGTCTAAAATGTGTTTGCTATTCTCACCATTTGGAGTTAACACAGTACATTGCAGTGCTAATAACCTGCTTACAGAATATAAAACTTATTTTGTATCTTACCACAAATTGGGAAGCATTCTACACTAACCAAACACTCAATTATAACATAACTAGGTTCTAAATTTTCTATGATACAGTATTAAAAAGCTGCACTTTTACAAGCATATTCAAAATCCAAATATGCAAACAATGATCAGCACTGAACACAGACTTACATATTTAGTATTAATAATATATATTAATGTATCAGGCACACAATTTCTTTTACACAGTTTGCAGTAGTAAATTAGTATTCCTAACTTCATGTAATCTCGATTTAATGATTTTGGTCCCATGCATCTGGTACAATGTGTCAAAATTCAATTTCTTCTTTTTTTCCTATTTGGCAGAGAGGGATTACACATCTGTTTAATAGGAACAATCTTCTATTAGTACCTGGATATTATGTTGAAGAAATTTTCCATTCATGAAATATTTCTCTTTACACTAAGCTTATTTTTACTTCACTCGCACATCCTTTTTTCCTTATGTACATTTCCACGGAAAGTCACAAAACTATTCTATCACACTATTTTAGCAACACACATTTCACATAAGAATATATACGGGGCTGAGATACACATCTTTCTCCACTTATATTTCTTAACAAAATTTGGTGAACTTGCATTTTCAAATTGTCTGCTGTTCCTTAAAAATAATTTCACACAAGAATTTACAACTTTATAGCAATAGCAAGCACAGCTTCACAAATTCAGGTACCCAGCTTTCAGTTTCTCTGTTGAATGTGACAATTCACCATCATTAAAACACTGTATGAGATTTGTACATCAGGTATGACACTACTTGATGTAACCATCTATTGAGCGGCACAGACAAAAAGCTAGGAATATTCCAAGAAGCTGAAGCAGTCCCAGACCAATGCCAACAGCAATAACAACAGTCATATGCTGCAGAAGCCAAGCCATGAATTTATCATAGCAGCCCTAAAACAAAACACAGACAAAATAAAACAATTCACAAGAAAATGCCTATGTCAGAATAGGTAAATAGCTTAATGAATCTTTCTCAAATCTTAATACTAAAAATAATTACTTTTGTTTTGTTATAATTGCAAATCAGTCTACAAGAAAAGTAACATATCAAAAAGTGGTATTTTGCAATAGAATAGTTTTATTTCATGAGGTGTTTATCTTCATGAACATGAGGTTTAGGCCTTTTGGCCTGTTCCTTTGAATTTTTCTAGTTTTTCCTGGTCATTCCCAGCGTTTTCCAGGTCTGCTTGGATCCCCCTATCCCTATTGCTTGAAATTGAATATTTTCCATGGGAAACAATTTTTGTTCATTCTTTTTGTAGGTTCTTGCCACATCCTTTGTCATTTCTCAATTTCTAAAACAATGTTTTTAGCTTAAAGTTTTTTCCAAAACTTTTATTTCCTATTTTCTCTCTTCTTGATGTTTTCAAGAATCTCTCTTTTCAAGCATTCAAATCTCATCTGGGCTGTTTTGGTTCCTTTTTGTGTCTATTTAGATATCCATGTTTCACAACGACATAATAAAGTGGGGTTGTACCAATATTTGGTAGTCCTAGCTTTGTCTCAATATTCTCAGCAACTGGTTCTATTATTTTATTTTCAATGGCTTCTTTTGTGCTGATATATTTTTACTTATTAATTAAAGACTTTTTTTTGTGAGTGATATTATCATTTTATGTGCCTTCTGTGTCTCTTGTAAATTGTCTTCAGATGTTGCTAGTAATACAGGGTCTTCTGCCCTAAAGTATTGTATTAATTTTCTGGTCACAGCTTCTAGAGCGACATTTCCTCAGATCTGTTTACTTCCCCAATGTGTTGGCTGTTGTTTTAATCAATGTGTTGCCTGACTTATGAATTATCTTCAGACATGTTTACTAATAAAAATACACAAGTTTTTAAACATATTTCTTAGATTATCATTAAAATTACCATTTTCAGGCATGTCTCTTATGTTGTACACAAACTATATCAAATTATTAAAATTCTTGACAGAGTTTTATCTGTGGTCTCTGAAAACCTTAGGATTATGGATTTATAAATTCCTTTCAAGCAGGGATTCTCCACTTTCTGAGCCTACGCCTCCTGTGCGGTCTGGAATCATATCACGCCAAGTTTTAAATGCATGGTTTGAACTGTTAGAGGTTAATTGCCAACTGAAAAGAATCAGGGAGCATGTCCACTTCAATTCTCAGAGGATTTTGTGTTAACCAATAATGGTAGGCATCTGGATTTCAAGGATACCGAATGCTCTAAAACCAAATTCTTCAACTATACTCAAATTTAATTTGTGATGAACCCCTGATCTTAAAATTAAGTGCTAATAACATGTGAAGTAATGAAACAATGCTTTCTAACATCCCTTTTTCAAATCAATTAGATGTGGCTGAAAATACTTCCTTGTCAACATTTCCTACCTTAAACTTGAAATACAAGCTTTCAAGTTTAAGCTCTAAAGTTTATTCTAAAATATCAATACAAAATATTTTTTATTAGTGTACATGTGTTTAATGCTTAAATATTTTAAGTTAAAAAATATAAATTAATTTTTGCTACTTACATCTTTCCAAGCCAATGATGGGGTTCTGGGACATGCTTCATAAAGAGGTTTGAAATCAGCTCTGTCACCTTGAAGCTCACAACATGCCTCTGGAACTACAAGACTCGTGTTTGAGGTTTGCCATTTTGAAGAAGCGAAGTCTTTGTAGTCATCCACACCACAGCACTTCAGCTGGAAAATATAATGGACCTATTATAATTGAATTCTAAAGAGAAAAAAATTGTTATTGTAAAGAAAAGCAATACTTCAAAATATTTCTGAGACCTTTCTAGCTTAATTTCATGTTAATTACCAATTTTAATGGACTGGATATACTCCTCTACTCTGTGAGGACAGATGTTAACATTTCTTTCATGTTTTATGATTCTGACCATACATGGCAGGCTCAAATAAGTTTCAGAAGACTAGAATGCATGCTTTTTGCTTTCAATTAAAGTAGGTTTATACAAATAAATCAACAATTAATTTTTTTTATTTAAATAATTTTAATTTGTAAATACTTTGCATCAGCCTTTAAAAATTTTAAAACACTCTTGTTCTATTTGAATTTTCTCTTGATATCATTAGAACAAAAAAACTTAAGTGAAAACCATTGCTAGTTAGTTCATATTAGTATAATTTTTGTAGGATGTTACCTCAGCCATGAAATAATTCCACATGAGAGTAACTGCATCGGGTTGATCTCGAGGTCCATAATAATCCTTAATAGAATTCTTCAAGAACGTGCGAGCTTTCTGTTCAGCCTAGAAAATAATAATAATGTTTAATTTTAAAGATACATAACAAATTATTTGCAAGAATCATCTTAAATACTGTAAGTTGGACACACCTCTTTTCTATAAGCAGCAGCCAAAGCACCAGCAGTTATTTCCATTAAAAGAATTATCACCAAGAAGACTCCGTACTGTAAATGAAGAGTAAAAAAATTTACTTTTTTCTTTGATTTTATTTTATTTTACCCAGAGTATATTTGTTTTACTTACACATGTCAAGAGGCATTGGGACTCTCTTAAAGCACCGCAATATCCAAGAAAGCTTACTAAGAACACCAAAGATCCTGCAGCTATCAGTATGTAAGATGCTTGTTCTATTACTGTTGGATAAGTAAATTGTTGAAACTGAAATATGACAAAGAATTATTTGAATTGTATTACAAATTAATGATAATATTTTACATGATCCAGATGTGTTGAAAAAATTACCTATAATTCAACATCTTTGAATATTATTATTTATTACTATTTTTATTTTTTTATTATTATTAGGTGATGAGGGGTGAAAGGACTAGGATGATAGTAGGTGTTAGGTGGGATAGTTGGAGGTGGAAGATGTTCATGGGATTTTGACACCATCCCGGCATTCCCCATGTGACTGAGGAAAACCACGAAAACCCCTGTCAGGATGGTTACCCTGGGGATTGACCCGGACCTTCTGATTGCGAATCCAGTGCTCTATGCGCAGAGCCACTCCGTTCGGTTGAATATTTTAATATATTAGTAGAAATTTAAAAATCAATTTTCATTATCAAAATTTGATTTTGATTGTTATATCAGCTAGAGGAGGAAGTAAAATTGCTGCTGAATATAAAGATATTTGGCTTTTTGTACTAGAAAGGTAAAGAGAAAAAATATTGTGATCAAAACACAATTGAGTTTGTGGTTCATGTGTGTACATTAATAGGAAAGCTCATGTTCAATTTCTATAAAAACAACAACAAACTAACTAACAAGGTCCTTGTAAATTGTGTTAGAAACATCTGTGTTGGGTTTGTGATCTACATAATTTAAAACTTTATTTACTTATTTATCATCTGAAAGCACTAAAAACCATAACACATGAGGGTGAATACATGAATAAAACACACTCTTCAAAAATTTTTTAATTTACCATTCTTTCTCCGAGTCCTTAATTTTCTTTATAATTTTGAATTGAAATTGATAATAACATGGAAATGGACCGTGTGATGTGAGGGCAAACAACTTTTGGATCTCAACTCAGTGAAATCCCTGAGTTGTGTGTCAATATATATCAAGTGAAAATAAAATGAAGTTCATTAGTTATACATTCAAAATTATTTTAAGTTCAGTCAAGCTAGAGTTTAGAGTTAACAGTAAAAAATGGATATATGCCATCTTCATAAGTCTATATTACTCTATTCCTTCAAAAATTTAAAGAAAAAATTAGGAGACATTTTTGAGAAAATTTTGAAAATGTCCCTGAGGCTTCATGTAAAGTCCTCCCAAATGTTAAAGAATGTGAGCTAGCTACACTTACCTCTTTTCGCAGGCTTTCATTATTAATGATTTGCGTGACGGAAATAAAGGAGTGCTTGTCAACGGCAATCCAAATGCCTACGCCAAGCACGGCTGAGCCCGCCAGCTGTAAAACAATAACCAATGACAGGTATGAACTACAATGTGACAGATTATACCTTCGACAGGTGACACCAAGGACAATTTAAATCTTGTTGGACCATTCGGAGCCCTTAAGTACATGAAATTACTGCTGCTGCACCCAAGGGGGAGGAGCTACTGGATCAGGGTCCCCACCCTCACAAGCCAACGATACATATTAAAAAAAATAGGGCTTCTTCTAATTTTCTATACTAACAGAAGTCATTCTATATAAAAATGTTAACTTTATGAATATAGAGGTGTATGCATATAGGGTGTTCACATTTGAAAAATGTCGGTCTTTTACTTAGTTTAAAAAAATAAACACTTGCTGTGATGTAACCAGTGACTCATTAACTTAAAAAAAAAACCAAATTGTCCAATACTGCCCTAGAACTTCGAAAATATACAAAATCGTTCCGAAGTCGTAGTTGATCAGTCCTTCAACTATCTAAAGATACATTTAAGAATTCAAAGATATTGAAAATTGTTGTACAGTACGACCTAGTATGCAGAAAGGAGGTCCAAAAATGTGGTTGGCTCTTCTCTAGTCTTAGACAGCACGTCCCTAAGGTTATACCACTTTGGTATTGCCCTTAATCATTTTACAACGCGAGGACAATGTATGTGCAAGCGGTTTCGTGTCCCTCGACCATTTTTAAGGAGAGAAGATTAACTGTTAGTGATTCCGGGCGCGTCATCGACTAGGCACATTAGTCCCGTAAGTGTATTGCATGTTTTTGCTGGTGGAGGTGGTTCGCTGTCTGTCGAGACTCGGCACCGACCTATGGTCGAGTTCGGTCAGTGGGTTTTCCCTAACCAGGTACCTTCCACGAGCGGGGCACCGCCCCAGCCGAGCAAGCGCTGTGCTCCCGACCGGTCTCCTGGCATGTGTAGTAGATGTGTTATAGTGTAGTGCATATTTGTGCAAGGGAGACGTCTGAAAGATCGCACGCGGTCTGTGACCCGTTTGTTATAGGGCACTGCTCCGGCATTCACCTGGTTGATCGGAGAAACTACGGAAAGCCGCAAGTCAGAGCAACTGGTCACCAGAATTCTTGTCAAGACAGCGACTGAATTCGACCTAGCTATGTAGTTCGTGTCGAAAATCCTGCCACCGTGAGGACTGGACCCCTAGGACCTCCCGGTCAGAGGGACTGCAGTGACATCAGTTGGTGCCCTGAGCCATCTCTCCCGGTAAGGAGAGAAGAGAGGTCGCTCTTTACTCAAATGTACTCTCAGAAATTTTAAAAATAATGTAACAATTCAAATCTGGCAGAAAGGAAAAACAACGTTTCGTAACATTGCTCGTACCACTGTTTTCACAAGGGTTTTATTGGGCAAATACTAAATTAATACACCAAGTATATTGAACACTGTTACCCGTTTGAAGTTAGTCTTTTTGTTGACATTTATTAATATGTCAACAGTCAACTATTAAATAGCAATTAAAAAGTGTTTTATTACCGATTACTTTTGTCAAACTATATCGATGTTTTCGTTAACTCCTGCCGAGAAACCCAGCTGATATAGGTATACCTAAATGAAAACATCTATTTCACGATTACAACCAAGGTCAACCTATTATTCCAATGAGGTGAACTTCGTTTACACTGTAAGTGCCTTTCGTCCGTCGACGGCAGCGCCATCAGCTCCCGCGTGCGTTGACCCGGGGTGGGGGTGGGGGCGCTCATCAACTCTCCACTATACTTACGAAGAGCACGAAGTTGAAGATGCAGAGCAGGTACTTGGCAAGGGACGTGCCGCAGTCGTAAGCCATCGCGGCGGCGGCGACCTGCAACCCACGCGGAGCGACATGGCGGTCAGTTTGATTGAGGCGAATTAGGCGGGCGCGCGGCCAGAGGCCATCTGGAAGAGAAGGAGGAGTGCTCCCAGCCCTCAAGGCCCGACCCAACAACCCGGTGACCCGCCGCGGGCACACGGCAGAAGGCGGCCTCCCGCGGCGCGCCGAAATTCACGGAATCGATTCCTCGCCGCACGCGCACGCACATGCCGTCGTGCGTCGCACGGCGCAGCTCCCTGGCCAAGCGTGGAAGAGGGAAATTTGTACAGACACTATATTCCAGAAGCACATCTGCTTTTAATGAACATCCGCATCCGGTTTTAAGAAATAACCTTCATTCCTTTTTTAATTAACAGTACACGTAAGCACAACGTGTTTAATTACTTCCTCGATTTGAACGGTACTACAGAAACATAAACCAATTGAATTACACCATTTTACTCTTCGTCGGAATGCCTTTGAAGAACTATTTTGTTGCTTTCTCAACCAGGTGAAACGAATGCAAGCGCATACGAGTGAGAACGCGCGGCATACCAAAACCTTCGCTCCTCTTAGTTTCACTAGATGTTACTGAACAACTCATTTTAAAAAAAATAATGAAAAAGCGTAGTGGTGCAACAACAGTGCTTTCTTGCATTATTTCTAACTGCTCCGCTATATTACACTACTACATAAACATGCAAAAGAGTTTTCAACAAGCAAAAATTATTTTCCGCGACTTGCGAGGAGAAAACTTAAAAAACTTGAAGCAGTTTTGGAGCAAAAATTGTTTTAAAAAAAATTAAAACTGCCCATATTTCGCGCAAAATTACACGATAGCTGTGCTAGACAGCTGACCAGACCTTTTGCCGTCAATCGATGTTTCGATATCAAGGACCTACAAAATATTGATTCTGGCTACATCTCGTGTTAAAGAAAGTGATTTACTCTACACATTTATACACTTTTTTGTTTCTAACGCGCGTCAAAAAAGTTTTTCTGCTAAAAATTCGCTGTTTTCCGGTGCACGATTACAATACTTTATTAAAAATCTAAATTTGGGGGATAATTTGTATCGAGAAAGAAATCTCTGACTTAGAGGTGTAGGAGAGTTTCGAAAATGCATTTTAAATTTGAAATTTTCAAAATTTCATAAGTCTTAGTCAAAATATGAACTAAAATACTCTTTACGAATGTACTTTCGTCAATTCTAACAATAAATTTAAAGAAAAACAGTGAAGCTCTTTTCCAGAAAATTTGGAAATGTCTATAAACTCTACGTAAACTACCACCAGAATTAAAATATCTTAGTGGTCTTCGGAACTGCACAACCAGATCTTTCTCCTGACGTATTTACCAAGTTTCAGCTCAAAAGCTTGTAATCTGACAATTACGCAAAAGAT